AAAATTAAAAAAATATTTTTCCACTAGACATGGCTAGATCGATTCAGCTGTTCATTCTGATCAAGAATATATATGATTTATGGGGTCGAAAATGATTCCTTCATTGTGTTATAAGCTTCTGACTAATAGTAAGACCCTGCAAAAAGGTATAAAAACAGGCAATTTTTTAAAATAATCAGTGTTTTCAAACTTCGTTATTAAGCCAAAAATGCATTAATTTTAAATCGGAAAGCTGCTCTATACTAGTTTTTATGCATATTTGTTAGCGCTATAAAAACTAGCACAAAACAACTTTCCGAATTGAAAATAACGCATTTTTGGCTTAATTATGATGTTTGAAAAACGATGATTTTTAAAAAAAATTCCCTGTTTTTATACCTTTTTTCTGGGTATTATAATTTTAGTCAAAATCTTTTAACAGCATCAACAAACGCAGTATGGAGATTTGTTAGCGCTATAAAAACTAGTATAGAGCAGCTGTCCGATTTAAAATTAATGCATTTTTGGCTTAATTACGAAGTTTGAAAAACACTGATTATTTTAAAAAATTGCCTGTTTTTATACCTTTTTGCAGAGTCTTATTATTAATTAGAAGCTTATAACACAATGAAGGAATCATTTCCGACCCCATAAATCATATATATTCTTGATCAGAATGAACAGCTGAATCGATCTAGACATTTGAAAAAAAGATAAGGGGTTACATCATTAAATTGGCAAAATTCGACATAAAATTGAATTTTTAAAATTAAAAAACGCAGTATGCAGATTAGTTAGCGCTATAAAAACTAGCACAGAACAGCTTTCCGAGTTGAAAATAACGCATTTTTGGCTTAATTATGATGTTTGAAAAACGATGATTTTTAAAAAAAATTGCCTGTTTTTATACCTTTTTTCTGGGTATTATAATTTTAGTCAAAATCTTTTAACAGCATCAACAAACGCAGTATGCAGATTTGTTAGCGCTATAAAAACTAGTATAGAGCAGCTGTCCGATTTAAAATTAATGCATTTTTGGCTTAATTACGAAGTTTGAAAAACACTGATTATTTTAAAAAATTGCCTGTTTTTATACCTTTTTGCAGAGTCTTACTATTAATCAGAAGCTTATAACACAATGAAGGAATCATTTCCGACCCCATAAATCATATATATTCTTGATCAGAATGAACAGCTGAATCGATCTAGACATTTGAAAAAAAGATAAGGGGTTACATCATTAAATTGGCAAAATTCGACATAAAATTGAATTTTTAAAATTAAAAAACGCAGTATGCAGATTAGTTAGCGCTATAAAAACTAGCACAGAACAGCTTTCCGAGTTGAAAATAACGCATTTTTGGCTTAATTATGATGTTTGAAAAACGATGATTTTTTAAAAAAATTGCCTGTTTTTATACCTTTTTTCTGGGTATTATAATTTTAATCAAAATCTTTTAACAGCATCAAAAAACGCAGTATGCAGATTTGTTAGCGCTATAAAAACTAGTATAGAGCAGCTGTCCGATTTAAAATTAATGCATTTTTGGCTTAATTACGAAGTTTGAAAAACACTGATTATTTTAAAAAATTGCCTGTTTTTATACCTTTTTGCAGAGTCTTATTATTAATTAGAAGCTTATAACACAATGAAGGAATCATTTCCGACCCCATAAATCATATATATTCTTGATCAGAATGAACAGCTGAATCGATCTAGCCATGTCTAGTGGAAAAAATTTTTTTTAATTTTTTCCGAAATTTGAAAAAAAGATAAGGGGTTACATCATTAAAATTGGCAAAATTCGACAAAAAATTGAATTTTTAAAATTAAAAAACGCAGTATGCAGATTTGTTAGCGCTATAAAAACTAGCACAGAACAGCTTTCCGAATTGAAAATAACGCATTTTTGGCTTAATTATGATGTTTGAAAAACGATGATTTTTTAAAAAAAATTTCCTGTTTTTATACCTTTTTTCTGGGTATTATAATTTTAATCAAAATCTTTTAACAGCATCAAAAAACGCAGTATGCAGATTTGTTAGCGCTATAAAAACTAGTATAGAGCAGCTTTTCGAATTAAAATTAATGCTCTTTTCGCTTAATTACGAAGTTTGAAAAACACTGATTATTTTAAAAAATTGCCTGTTTTTATACCTTTTTGCAGGGTCTTAGTATTAATCAGAAGCTTATAACACAATGAAGGAATTATTTCCGACCCCATAAATCATATATATTCTTGATCAGAATGAACTGCTGAATCGATCTAGCCATGTCTAGTGGAAAAATAAATTTTTTAATTTTTTCCGAAATTTGAAAAAAAGATAAGGGGTTACATCATTAAAATTGGCAAAATTCGACAAAAAATTGAATTTTTAAAATTAAAAAACGCAGTATGCAGATTTGTTAGCGCTATAAAAACTAGCACAAAACAGCTTTCCGAATTGAAAATAACGCATTTTTGGCTTAATTATGATGTTTGAAAAACGATGATTTTTTAAAAAAATTGCCTGTTTTTATACCTTTTTTCTGGGTATTATAATTTTAATCAAAATCTTTTAACAGCATCAAAAAACGCAGTATGCAGATTTGTTAGCGCTATAAAAACTAGTATAGAGCAGCATTTCGAATTAAAATTAATGCTCTTTTGGCTTAATTACGAAGTTTGAAAAACACTGATTATTTTAAAAAATTGCCTGTTTTTATACCTTTTTGCAGGGTCTTAGTATTAATCAGAAGCTTATAACACAATGAAGGAATTATTTCCGACCCTATAAATCATATATACACTCCTGTTCATAATTATACGACACCTATGAAATTTTTGTTTCAGCGGTCGTAGGAGAATGGAAACACACAGTAGATCAAAATAAAGTATGCCGAATAATAGCCCAAGGAGTTGTGCACAAAATGCGCTATTCTTATCCTTGCTTGCATCACTCGTTTTCAAGTAACGGTAAAAAAAGCACACACGCCCTGATTTAGGCTACCTTGAAATTGTTTTATAATGATACGACACATTTCATTATTTTTGTTTACAGCTAATATTTTATTGTTTTAATTGTTTATAACTAAATATTAATAGTTTATAACGGCGCCTTGTGCTTTTCCCACTTCAAAAATTCTTCTAGGCATTGAATTTATAAGGTTTTTTAGGATATTTTGGTCCAAGAGAGACCATTGTCTTAAAATTTCATTTTTGAAACTTTTAACAGTCTGAAATTTGTTGTTATTGGCGTAATCTCGCCTGGCTAAGATACCCAAGATGTTTTCGATCGGGTTAAGGTTAGGAGAGCAAGCCGACCAATCCAAAACATTTATTTTATTGTCATTGAGGAACCATTGCGTCTCTGTGCATTCGCATTATCCTGCATAAAACATAATTTTGGTCCTTATTTTGATCCGAAAATGACAGACGATCTTGTAACACATTTTTGTAGTCTGGACTTTTAATTTCTGAGCTTGTAAAGCACAGTTCAAGCGTACCAACCGCATGAAAGGTTCCCCAAGCCATACCTGATCCGCCTCCAAAATTGCATGTTAGGAACATAAGGGGATCCTTACCCAAATCAAGCAAATAGGGACGAAACCCATCTGGGCCATCAAGATTACATTTTTTCTCATCAGAAAAAATTATCCGAAATGTAAAATATTGACAAAAACCTATATAACCAAAATTGAGTTAAAATTCCATATCGAGGTCCAGTTTGTTTCCAAATTGTTTTCGGCAAACTGAAGTCGTGCTCTTTCGGGCTGCGGTTTTAATATCGTAATTTTTTTTAAAACTTCTCTTACAATATTTTCGGAGCTTAGTAATGTTCGTCAGATAGTCCTACGGGACACAGGACGACTGCAACACGCAGCAAGTGATGCACACGATGAAAAAGAATTGCTTGCATTGTTAAATACTCGACGTTTGTCGTGATCAGATAGCTCCGGCTTTCTTCCAGAGCTACGCCTGACACCGTACCCATCCATATCTTTCAAAAAATTGGTAATAACACAGCGTGTTTGACCCTTCAGCCGGGATATTTGGCTAACATTAAGGCTAGACTCGTTATACGCCTTAATTTTTCCCTTCTATTCTTCGCTTAAAAAGCTACCATGCGGCATTTTATTAAAAAATGAATAAAATATTTAACAAAATTATAAAAAACCAATAAACCCTAAACCTTCCTTTTTAGCCGCAATAATTGAAATGTGTCGTATCATTTTGAAACAAATTCAGGGTAGCCTAAATCAGGGCGTGTGTGCTTTTTTTTACCGTTACTTGAAAACGAGTGATGCAAGCAAGGATAAGAATAGCGCATTTTGTGCACAACTCCTTGTGCTATTATTCGGCATACTTTATTTTCATCTACTGTGAGTTTCCATTCTCCTACGACCGCTGAAACAAAAATTTCATAGGTGTCGTATAATTATGAACAGGAGTGTATTCTTGATCAGAATGAACTGCTGAATCGATCTAGCCATGTCTAGTGGAAAAATAAATTTTTTATTTTTTTCCGAAATTTGAAAAAAAGATAAGGGGTTACATCATTAAAATTGGCAAAATTCGAAAAAAAAATTGAATTTTTAAAATTAAAAAACGCAGTATGCAGATTTGTTAGCGCTATAAAAACTAGCACAGAACAGCTTTCCGAATTGAAAATAACGCATTTTTGGCTTAATTATGATGTTTGAAAAACGATGAATTTCTAAAAAAATTGCCTGTTTTTATACCTTTTTTCTGGGTATTATAATTTTAGTCAAAATCTTTTAACAGCATCAACAAACGCAGTATGCAGATTTGTTAGCGCTATAAAAACTAGTATAGAGCAGCTTTCCGATTTAAAATTAATGCATTTTTGGCTTAATTACGAAGTTTGAAAAACACTGATTATTTTAAAAAATTGCCTGTTTTTATACCTTTTTTCTGGCTATTATAAGAACCTTGTTATTATAAGAAACTTGTAAAAAAATATTTATAATTAAATCTTTTTCGATAAAATTAAAAGATTTACATTTATTTAGAATTTATCTAGTCACAACTTAGCTTAAAAATTATGGAACACACTAAACCTATAATACTCCCCAAAATAATCCATAAATTAAGCGAACAAATGCCGGCACCTGACCCCGTATCCGTATCATTCCACCACTGCCAGTTTCCGTTGTGGAACACGGGATCGGCCCGATAATCGGATTTGGGAACTCGGGCGCTGGGAGTCGCTCCCACCCGGAAGTGCTCCACCTCCTGGGCGAGCTCCTGGAGTTGGGCGGGATATAGTTGGGCCAAGTTATACCGCTCGCAGGGATCCTTGGCCAGATTGAAGAAGCAGTGCTCCTTGAGGGGCTCACACTTATACTTGGGATCCAGAGGATCTTCTCCTGCCAATGCGGGACACTGTTGCGTGGCTTCACTTCGCATCTGCTGGATACGATCCTCTGTCAGTCCTCGATCACCCAAGATACTTTGAACCTCCGATGCCAGAATATGCTGCCCATAGTTATCACTCAGGGGATCGTCTTCATTGGGTTCCAGTTCTCCTAACCAGTGATCATACTGCCCCCCGAAAGTGCTCCCGTTGATATACTTCAGGGTATCCCTCATGTACGAGGAGTAGCCAAAGATCTCGTCAAGTGCGTGAATGAAGGTCCTGGGCTTTGGTTCCTCGTTTTCACTTAAAGCTGGCCAGAGATTAATTCCATCCAGCTGAAGATCCTGCGGCAAGGGTACACCAGCAGCTCCTGCCAGTGTGGGCAGCCAATCGATGGCGTGGATGGCTTGGTGGGACACGTAACCACGCTCCTTGAGCAGTGGACTCCACAGAGCACCGGCTGATCGAATGCCACCCTCCCAAGGGGATTCCTTTTGCTGTGATTGGAACGGAAAATATTTATTATTTTAAGGGGTTTTCCCAGCAATACTTACCCCTCGATAGGGAAAGTTTGAACCCGCATTGGAGTGAATGCCCTCAGTGGGTGCTCCATTGTCGGAGTAAAGCAAAACAATGCTATTGTTCAGCATGCCATTATCCTTCAAGGCGCGCATTGTCTGAGCTACGCTCTTGTCCAGACTGGAAATCATGCCTTCAAATAGGAAATATTAATATTTACAAATAAATTAACTTACAAATATACTATCTTAACTCACCAGCATATGTTCTCCGCTTGGAATCCTTGATGTGTGCGAACTTGGCCACCTCCTCGGGCGGCGCCTGCATGGGATCATCCTCGTTGCCCGTATGTACGGCCAAATGGCTCAGAACCATGAAAAGAGGCTTGGTCTTATCATGCTGTTCAATAATCCTTTTTGCTTCCGAAGTAAAAGCCTCCGTGGCATAGGTACCATTTGCCTCGGGACAAGGCTCCAAATCCCGCCGGAAGTCAAGGCCTGCCGTATAGTTTCTGTCCAGCATTCGAACCTGGTGATCATAGTAGTCAATGTAGCCATTGTAGTACCCAAAATGATGATCAAATCCCCGCATTGTAGGTGTAAGATCCTTGCGCCAGAAGCCCAGATGCCATTTGCCCACCAAATGGGTGGAATAACCCGCTTCCCGAAAGAGTTCCGGCATCAAACGCTCACGCTTGGGCAAGCCCCAAGGTTCATCGGTTATGATTACCCAATGCTGCATGCCTGGAAGTTAAAATAATATTTAAAATATTCTATTAATATTATAAATTATTATATCACCTGTGTGTATGGGATATTTTCCTGTCAGTAAGGTGGCCCTTGAAGGAGTACACAGATTAGGAACATAATGCTTGTTCAGCAGGACACCATTATAGGCCAAGGCATCGATATTGGGCGTGAGGATCTGATTTGAGCCATGAAAACTCACATCGTTCATGCCCTGAAAAGGGAGGCATTATACCTTATTATTTGTATTTTAATTTTTAAGTAATAGTTTCTAATTAAACTCACCATATCATCAATTAGAATGATTATTATATTAGGCTTGGCAGAAGTGTCAGCTGTTTTAGCCAGACTGAGCAGGACACTCACTAGCAACAAGTATAGGAGTCTTCCAGGCATAATTAATAATTTCTTAATAAAAAAAAAGAAGCATTTACAATATTAGATATAAAGATATGAAATGGATTAAAAATGTATGAATTACAGAATGTTTAATACTGGTTTTAGCCTTAACTTTTTATGGTTTAATACCAACATTGTCGTAAGTAGCTGACTGTCTCGTTATTGGCCATATGTTGAAATCCCTGGCATGTCCCAATCGGCTCAATTACTATGTTGCACATCACATAGGCAGTAAGAAAATCTGCCGAATTTTGTTAACCATAATTGGCAATTGTATTATATAATCTCCCCGAATTGTGGCCACCTGACCTATCCTAGAGAGACCGCCATGTGCCATGTCTGGCTGGCCGCAAAGTTCATTCAACCATTCGGCCGTGTGTTGTTTTATATTGCTTCTTTGCAACCATTGTTAAGATATTATATAAATCATGAAAAACACTTGCCAGCTTGTACTTGGGCTTGCCAATTGCACTGAGGAGTTTAATTTCTTTTTATCTCGGCCAAAACTCTTGTTTAATTGTCGCAATGACCCATAAAAAAGGCTAAATATAATGAAATCGGGACCAGATAAGCGAGACACAGGCCGTAAAAATCTAACATATGAGGTGTGTCTTCAAGCCAAATTCCAAATGGGTTAATAACGCCACAAAAACACACTATTATTAGGCTGATATTAAAAGTGGCATGCGAGCTGGATGCGAATTGCGAGAATGGGAAAACGCTCCCCCCCCCCCACCTGGTGACCTTGACAGCTTGTTAATGTCGTGACCTTGATTTAACACATGTGAAGTAATCGGCGGCATCCAGTTTTCTGTTCATCAATGGAAAGGTTCTTGAGTGTAAATCCCCCAATAAATGCATCGAAACTGGTTCAGTTCGATGAGGCATGAAATTTTCCCAATACGAAGGCTTTTGGAGAGTTGTTCAAGAACAAAGCTTTTACATCTATTTCTTATTATTTTAAAGCAATAAAACATATTTTTATATATTTTTCTGTATTTTCTATCTGAATCTTAAAAATTTTTTTTACGGTCCTCTGACTAAATAAACTTCAAGTGCTCTTGAATTTCACTTCAAAAGAGTTCTCACCTTTTATACCGACCTAATAAAAGTAGAGATTGTTTTAAGCCAAATAAAGATCTGATTAGCGCGACAACAAACAGGTTCAGACTTCAATACGTTTGCACTTGAATATACAAGCTAATTAGTATTATTTAGGAATTTATTCACTTTAGATACGTTGTTTTTTCAATTGATATTTTTTAGCTCATGAACTTAGATTGCATTAGGAATCTTTATAGATAAATTTGTAAGGCTTTATTTAGAAGGCTTTCTCAGTTGATGCCATACTTGTTTAAGATATCACTTGCTTAGCTTAGTAGCTAAAGAATTTCAACATTTAATAATTTTTAGTCACTAACTAAACACTCAACTGTTTCTTTTCCGGGTTCACCTGTGAAGGGCAGGCGCTGCTCAACGATCGGTGGGGATCCTTCCGCCAGCGGGTTCTCCGCGCGACTAAGCGCTCCACTGTCTGTTGGCGCTTTTAAAGTGACAACCTTTTTTTTCGCCGGCACCGCAGCTTGCGCGAAAATCGCATAATCGTATAACAGCCAGACCTTACCTTACCTTACCTTACCTTACCTGCTAACTGCTATAAAATAGCAGAAAATACAATCGTGAACGAGCCAAAACACAGCCATAAAAGCAAAGTAAAAACGTGTTTTTGCAAAGGCAATCAAAGCCAGCATAAATGTTTACATTATAAATTACCTTGCAGGTAAAACTAAAGCTAGATCGAGCTTTGTGAAGGAACTGAGCTGTGAACTATTGAGCTTTCTTTTGTTTTTGTTACCAAAGGTCAGGGAAGCACGCTCTGTGATAACAGCAGAGCTGATAACACTTCCTAAACGGGTTTTTTCAGAGGTCTAATTAAACTGATTAGTATTCTAGAGATTGGTTTCAGAAGACTGTGACAATGCCACTGTCAAGTTAGCAAGGTTAGACAATTCGCATGGTTAGTAATAGTAGTATTATTTTTATAACTTTTTGTAGAGTATTATAGTTTCAGTCAGAAGCTTGAAACGACCCTTCTTGTAAAAATTAAATAAATATTACTAATACCAGAAAACATTTCAAAAATTCTTGAAATATCAAATCGAATTCAAATCAAATTGTAAATCATTCTCAACGATAAGACTGAATAACAGATTATTTTTAGGGGACTTCTATGCTGGGAACTCTCCCTATCAACCAACCAAAGAGCACCTAGATCAATAGTTAATCATCAATCTAAAAAAATAATTCATATCTTATCTTTGAGGTGAGCCCCAAGACTAGGACCACATGGGGTCGGGATCTATAAAAACAGCCAGCAGACGGAGACTGCCACAACACCTTCTCCGTCAACTGTCCAAGCATGTTCTCCGCCAAGAGTTCCTTAGTTGTGGCCGTGATCCTGGTCCAACTGGTCGCCTTCATCCAGGGTGGTGTCTACAGCACGGAGGATAAGTGGATGTATCTGGACAAGACCATGGATTTGCCGGAAGGAGCAGTGCTCGGCGGTATTGATTCCGTGGGTTACTACAACTACGTCGGTCGCGTGACAAGCGGCTATAATATCCTGCCCGCCAGAGTTGTTCCAGAGCTGGGAAAGGCCACCTTCAACACCGACACCTTATCGAGCCAGGTTACTTCCTACGAGGTGCTGGTGGCCAATGCCACCGTTAGCTACCACTGGATCCGCAGCTTCGATGGTTTCCGCGAGAATAACGCCGTCGCTGTGGGAACCAATGCCTCCAATGATCGCGTCTACATCTGCCGTGCCCGTTACGATGGCGGAGTCTTCATCGGAACCCTATATCTTAACAATAGGAAGTGCATGATCAAGTTTGAAAGCCAGAATCTGCGCGAGTTTGATAAGTACGAGGTCCTGGTCAGGGAGCGACATGTGATCGACTTCGTTCCATACCATTTGTAGAAAGCTAATAAAATATATATTTATTGATCGAATGCATTGATTTTCTATTTTTAATATCATATTTTTAATATAAGAGCTTACAAATTGTCTGCTAACATTATACATAGAGAATGCTCGAATAAGAGGAATGGAATTTCAAGGTAGATTTCATATCGATTGAAGGATGTATTTCTATATGCAGTTTGTTAGCGCTATAAACACTAGTACAGAACAGCTTTCCGAAATTAAAATTAATGCAGTTTTGGCTTAATTACGAAGTTTGAAAAACACTGATTATTTTAAAAAATTGCCTGTTTTTATACCTTTTTGCAGGGTCTTAGTAATAATCAGAAGCTTATTACACAATGAAGGAATCATTTCCGACCCCATAAATCATATATATTCTTGATAAGAATGAACAGCTGAATCGATCTAACCATGTTTAGGTGAAAAATAAATTTTTTAATTTTTTCCGAAATTTGAAAAAAAGATAAGGGGTTACATCATTAAAATTGGCAAAATTCGACAAAAAATTGAATTTTTTAAATTGAGAAACGCAGAATGCAGATTTGTTAGCGCTATAAAAACTAGCACAGAACAGCTTTCCGAATTAAAATTAAGGCATTTTTTGCTTAGCTATGAATTTTTTAAAGTTTGATTTTTTACAAAAAATGTCATATAAAAATATCCATTGAAAAAATGGAATTATTATTATATCATCGATTATTAGATTTCTGATTCGATCCTATAATTTGATTGAAACTAAAAGGGAATATCAATTTTAGCATCCCGAAGTTAGTTTCCATTCTTGTTTTTAATATGCTTTCCATTGAAAGAAGTGCTGAAATATTGTTAGAGAAATATTACGTATACGTATACGTATAGATACATATTAAGTATACGTTAAGGTTTTTGAAAAGATTGATTTATAATAGTTAAAAATAAAATACTGCTAATCACCTATTTGAAACACATTTAAGGTCCCTAAAATGTAAAGTCCTTAAGATTACATTAAGTCATTGCCCATGATAAGACTGAAATCAATTTGACACCTGATTATTTTTAGGGGTTTTATGGTTTTCTATACCAGGAACTCGCCAGATGTCACTATCAAGTAACCACTGAACTTTCAAGTGTTAATCACCAATCTAGAAAAATGATCTATATCTAATCAATGAAGTGATCCCCCAAAGAAAATATACAATCAGTCTTAGTCGGAACGGAGACCCCATCGGGGAGGCCTCTGTATAAAATAGGTCTGCAGACTGAGATTGCCACAACACCGTTTCCGTCAACAGTCCAAGCATGTTCTCCGCTAAGAGCTCCGTAATTGTGGCCGTGATCCTCGTCCAGCTGGTCGCCTTCATCCAGGGTGGCATCTACAGCACGGATGACAAGTGGGTAGTTGTGGACAAGACCGTAGATCTGCCGGAGGAAGCAGTGTTCGGCGGCTTTGATCCCGAGGGCTACTACAACTACGTGGGTCGTGTGGTGTATAGCAGCAATATCCTGCCGGCTCGAGTGGTTCCAGAGCTGGGAAGGGCCAACTACAACACCGACACTTTGGGCAACCAGGCCACATCCTACGAGGTGCTGGTGGGCAATGCCACCGTTAGCTACCACTGGATCCGCAGCTTCGATGGTTTCCGGGAGAAGAACGCCGTCTCCGTGGGAACGAATGCTGTCAACGATCGCGTCTTCATCTGCCGCGTTCGCTGCGATGAGGCACTCTTCATTGGAACTCTGTATCTGAACAAGAGGATGTGCATCGTGAAGCATGAGAACCTGCCACTCCGCCAGTTCGACAAGTACGAGATCCTGGTCAGGGAACGCCATGTGATTGACTATGTTCCATACCTAATGTAGATTCGCCTACTGTGCTGGGAGTAAAATCTAATCAAATAAATATTTATTGAACGAAAATATTGCTATTGTGTTTATTGGGGGAACTATGGCCATTATTTTCTAATTGACTTATCATGTTGCTAAAGATAAGAGCTCAGAACTGATAAGGTCAACGCAACCATTCAGAGAGGGAGTCCCCAAAGAGGATACACTTTGATTAAGAATTTATTAATATAAGGGATTTCTATTATATACGTTTATTGTTTTATTTACCAGAAAGTAATCTGAAACTTTATGGGCTACTTGTTATAAAATAAATTAAATCCATTCTGAATATACCATAGAATTAAAGAAAACGCCAATAACAGCTTTAGCTCGAAGCAGTTTAAGACCATTTAAAAATAGGTTTAGTAAGAAAATAAAAGGAAGATATATAAAAAGCTTAGACTTTTAATTTAATAACTCAAATGTTTACCAACCTATTGTATTAATATTTTCATATGAAAACCTCACTAATATTTTAAATACCTAATAATTCTTTTATTTTAGGCTTTAGCTATGACGATTTAATGATCATCAAGTCATCTTAATATTCTCTACTATTTCGCAATTAGACTAAATGTTTGGAATGTTCGCCTTAAGGCTTTCGTTCAATTACATTAAATACACTAAGTATATTATGGCTAAATAATAATTTATAATATAAATATGTTTTTAAACAAGAAATTATATTATTCACTTATTAATAACCTGAATCATCGAATTAAAACATACTCTTAGATTATACAATAAACACAAGTTATGAAATAATTACTAAATGTTGAGGGGACTTTTGCTACCAAAAAAAAAGGCTTATTTTTAGAGAATGCCATAAATCTACTATGAGTAGACTCACTCCCAAGTCAGTTAGTCACCATTACCGATGCTATCGATGCCAATCTTCTGATAGCGATAAGTGTAATTGGAGACGAGAGATAAGGTGGCGACTATAAAAGCCGTCAACTAACTGGGCAATTACTCAAAGCGAATCCACCAGCTCCTCAAGATGTACAAAGTTGCCTGCTTGGTCTTGGCCCTGTTCGCAGTGGCCAACGCTGTTCCCTCCACCTATGGTAAGAGTTTTAACTACAAAAAAATATCCCCAAAGCCGAGAGTAACACTCACTCCGTTGCTCCACAGATACCGAGCACATTTGGAAGGCTGGTAACCTGTCGTACATCGTTCCCCAGAATGCTATTCTGGGTGGCTTCGATCCCTATGGCTTCAACACTTATGTGGGTCGCGTGAAGTCTGGCAGTGACATCCTGCCCGCCCGCGTGGTTGTGGAAACCGGCACCGCCTACTTCAACACCGAAACCACCTCCTCCAAGCTGCTGGTCTACGACATCCTGGTGGCCGAGCGCAACCTGAGGTACGTCTGGGTGCGTAGCTTCGATGGCTTCTATGAGAAGGGAGCCGTTGCCGTTGGAACCAATGTGAAGAACGAGCGTGTCTACTGCTGCCGGGCCAGGACGGATGGCGGTGTCCTGATCGGAACCCTCCTGCTCAGCCAGAAGCTCTGCATCATCAAGCACGAGACCCTGGCCCTGCGCAAGTTCGACAAGTACGAGGTGCTGGTAGCCCAGCAATTTAATGGAACGGTCTACTATTAGATCGAGTCACTTGTGATGTCACTTACGATCTCAGGGTCCCGTTTAAAGATAAATAAAAAGAATAAAAATATTTAACTAAAATTATTACAAGTGTTTTGAGTGGTTTTGAGGGCATTATAATTTTAGGCAGAAGCTTATTACACAATGAAGGAATTATTTCCGAACCTATTAATCATATATATTCTTAATCAGCATCAGCAGATGAATCGATCTAGTAATGTCTGGTGAAAAAATATATTTTTCGGATCATTTCAAAATTTCCAAATTTTAAATTTTACATCGTTAAAATTGTCAAAATTTTACAAAAAATTGAATTTTTTAAATTAAATGAAGTATGCAGATTTATTAACCCGAAAAAAACTAGCACAGAACAGCTTTCCGAATTAAAAATAATACATTTTTGGCTTAGTTATGAGTTTTTTAAACTTCGATATGTCCAAAAAAAATTCATAATGCAAGGGTATAAAATTTGAGCTTCTCGAAGTTAGTTTCCTTTCTTCTTTTAATATTGATATTTATTGTTAATAAGAAAAATTTACTATATATTGGTTATGATATTGAGGGCGATCTTCTATTTATATTTTATTTATATTACATCGGACTATAACTTTCGCCACAATGGACAATACATTTTTCCTTATTCTTAATCATAAAAAACGAAGCTCAATTATATTAATACATTTTATTACATAAATATTTACAAACAACAAATAAACAGGATAACTTATTTATATTTAAATTGGCATTGAAAATGAAGTCTGATAATTTTGATTTAATGTGTTTTTGATAGCAGGAACACCAGCCTGCGGAATACTGAATTTAATATTACTCGTAAATCTCTAAGAATGATTGTGTCGGGATTACATTTCAAAATATAAATAAAATATAGCTCTGATAAATACAGTTAAGTCCCTTTGACTGACAGAGATCTCCGCTTTTTTTTTTAAGTTTTTAAGGGGGTTTTGCAAACTATCAGAGTTCGCAGAAGAAATTGATAAGATAAGCAAACGGATTGCCAATTGGACACTTGAACCGCACAGACATTACTCAGGACTGATTAGGTTTTCACTAAATAATATAAGCCATAAATTAGCTCAACAGGTTTTCATCAACTAAATGATGAACCCCGATAAGAGCTTTAATTCTATTTTGTTGGGAAACAATATAGTTAATACATTGACTGGCATCTGAAATATAGAAAAGAGAAATAACATTGGTACAGCGTTTCAGGCTTAAGTTTACAATTTCTTACTTACTCAGGAAAGGATCCTGTACTTAGATCATCGTTAAACTGTACAGGGTTCCCATTAGTAACCAACTAAAGTGGATCATCTGTGCCGCTGTGGAAGCCTTCTCGTCCTGCCACCAGGTCCACTCATTTCGATATAGGCGAGGATCGCACTTGGGATCCGCTGGCTTATTGTTGGGAGGATGAGCATTGCGGGCAAACTGTTGAATCCTCTGCCAGAGTTCCAGAAACACAGTCGAGTTGCGGTACTCCTCATAGAGATTGCTCTGCTCACAGGGATCGGCCTCGATGTCAAAGAGACATGGTGCCAGCTGGGGCAGGCAGGGTCTGATTCCAGTCGAGGGTTCCACACACTCAACACTGGCCTGTTTCCTCAGTCCGGTGATGTTGCGTTTTCCAGAACTAACCTGCTGCAGCAGCTGCCAGACACTGGTATTCCGAATGAGATCATCGTACACCTCAGAGCGAGGATTCACCTCGCCGCTGGTCACCCGCTCGCCCAGCCAGCCATCGTAAATGCCATTGCTGGTGGTGCCACTGATCACCTTCCACTTGCCGCGCATATAGGACAGATGTGGTTCCTCCACCTCGTCAATCACATGGACAATCTCACGCTCCACCGACTCATAGCCATACTTGAGGGCCGACCAGAGATTCAAGCCATCTAGATGGAGTTCGGGATCTGGGGATATGCCCGCTGCTGCAGCCAACGTGGGCAGTAGGTCACCAATGTAGATCTGCTGCTTCCACACGCTGCCCAGGCGTTCGAACTCTGTACTCCAAATAGCTGCTGAGGATCGTAGGCCTCCCTCCCAGGGGGAGTTTTTTTGCTAAAGGGAAAAGGGTGTTAATAAATACCTGTATCGATATATATACATATATAATTACTCACCCCCCTCAAAGGATAGTTGGAGGCAGTGGTGGAGTGCTCTCCCTGGGTTGGCCCTCCATTATCGGACATAAAGAGCACAATGCTGTTCTGAAGCATATCCTGTCGTCCCAGAGCTTCAATGACCCTGCCCACGCTCCTATCCAAGCGGGAAACCATCGCTGCATAGTAGCGATGCGTCTCATTGAGGATGTAACCGAATTGAGCCAGCTCATCTTCAGGAGCCTGCATGGGATTGTCCTCGTTGGCGGCATGGGGTGCCAGGTGACTTAGCAGCAGGAACAAAGGCTGAGTACTGTTCTTAGAACCATGATCATCTATCTCCTGCACAGCAGCATCGGTTAGGACATCGGTGACATAGTGACCCACCTGGTCATGGGTGGATTTGAGATTTTCCCGGAAATCATGACCATGGTAACCCTTGCTCTAAGCATTATTAGTTAGTACTGAATATGAACTGATCGAAAGGATTCCTCTTACCATTTGCTTATAGTTCTGATCATAGTAATCCACATAGGCACCCAGATAGCCCAAATGATGATCGAAGCCCCTCTCCGTGGGAGTAAAGTTCCGCTGTGACATCCCCAGATGCCATTTCCCGATGAGACTGGTCCGAAAACCATTTTCTTTGAATATATCCGCCATTGTGGTCTCATTCAGCGGCAAACCCCAAGGCTGATCATTTACTATCACGAAATGTTGCATGCCTTAAAAAGAAAGATTTATTATGGTTTTTATTATATTCAGAATTTAATTTAATTAAGATCTTAGCTACTCACCTGTATTAATCGGATATTTGCCTGTTAGAAGCGCTGCCCGACTAGGAGTGCACATTGGAGCGGTGTACAGATTATTCAGGATCACGCCGCTATATGCCAAGGCATCAATGTTGGGGGTAAGGAAATTATTGGAGCCTCGAAAACTCACGTCGTCAAAGCCCTGTCCCAAAGCCTTAGTTAAACCAAATAAATAAAAATCATACTTATAAACTTACCAGATCGTCTGCCATTATAATGATAATGTTGGGCTTGTCGGAAGCGGCACTAGATAGGGTTATAAAACCGGCTAATCCAATTGTTAACAACCAGAAGATCGAGCCATTATCCCTCAGATGGGCTGACATTGCCATAAGTGATTGTAGAGGAAGAAGTGGGCCAGAGCTACTCCTACTAAAAATAAAAACCATTACAAATTAGTGCAAATAAGCGTTTAAAAAATTAACATATCGAATGGGCGAGCAATCATCAGTTTGTGACAGTCCGTAAATGATGAATGAGTTGGTTGGCGGGATCGTTCCGGATATATTAGCAGTATAATGGCCACAATCTAACCTATTTGGTTACTCGTTAATTTTCGGAAATTTCTACAGTTTAAGCTGTTTCTTTGCCGCTCAATTAAATTACAAATTGCTTGGCAAAAAAAGAAAATAAAAACAAAATTAACATTAAATACAAATACCTGTCAACTTTGAAAGTAAACATGTATCCAGAGCTAAGCCAAATGCACTTAAGCAAATGTTTTTTAACAATATTAACTGACAAAGTTACACGCTGATGCCAGGCAAATAAAGAAGAAAACAATTACGAGAAATGCAAATGTGATGAGGCTGGGAAAGAGTTAATTAGGAAGTTAAAACTGATCTCTGTGACGCTGAAACTTTAGCTTGGGAGTATGCAAAAAGCAAAGCAGCAATGCCCCCTAAATATATTTTTAAAATTCCACTTTTCGCAATAAATATGTCAACAGCACTTAAGAATATTATTTAACACACTTCATCTGCCATAGCGATAATAAAAATAATACAAAATTGCCAGTCATAATCGTAAATTATCAGTTAAATCTTTTGTATTTATTTAATTTATATTTTCAAATCGAAATTCTAATTTCACTTCTTTGTCTTTAACTCGCACGCCAGTCAATACAGAAAATAAAAGCAATTATATATTCGAATAATCAGCGGCTTCTTGCCGAATCACTTTATTCCGTTCACACGCTTTTATTATCGTCTCAGACTGACAAGCAAACAAAAACAAATGTACTCTATACATAGTATATATATTACTGTCTAGAATCAAACAAATCCAAAAGCACACTTCACTTATCACTAGTTAGAATAATGCATGCCGCTTTCACTCACAAATATGAAATATACATTAAATATTACTAAGTTCTGATCTCTGATCCGCCAAATTGGAGGTGCGGAGAGTCACTGAGTAGAATCCCAGAAGGGGAATCGAAGCTAAATGCGGGTCTTGAACGGTTGGCTCTCTAACCTGCTTTGTTGTGGGTGTTTTTCACCAACTAAAGAGAGAGAGGAGCGAGATTGGATGAGCTTGGCCAGCGTTAGTTGAGATCCATTTCATAGTGCATACTTTCAGGATGAAGTGGTTTCTTTAGACCAAGAACCTTGAACCTTGCTTGAAATAATATTCCGTTACGATTACGATTCTAAGGAACTAGGAACCTATCCTTCATTATCGCCCCTATCCTCCATGCAGTGTCCTTTTTAAATCCTTGAGTTCACAACCTCATCTTGGGAGCAATAAGGCTGGAACTTGTGGTGAGTCAAAGTAGGGTACAGAATCGTATTTAGGCAAACAGCTGTAGAGGTATATCATCCACATTGTTTAATTTTCATGGCTAGTTCAATAAACAAAAACAAGAAAGAAATCTGACTCCGGGAATCGAAGTATGTATACCCTTTCAATTTCAATTTTACATAACCGGATTTCCCTTCATAAAAAGAAACATTACTGCTGAGATAAAAATATAGACAGCTTTATCAGATTTTCTTAGATTGTCATATAAAATTACAAATCGTTACTTTGATATAAAATGAATTGTATATTAATTAAATGTAACGAAGGATATATATAGCCTTACATAAATTTCTATATTACAAATACCATCGCTGCTTAAAATTGTTAAATTTTAGAATGAAAATATGTTAAATATGTGAGAGTTATATATATTTTTTTTTTTCAGTGTTTCCTATCAACTCTGCGCTAAAATAACAACAGCAATTGAAAGTCGAATCCAGAAATGAGGCACATTAGTCATCAGATTATTAAATCGAATTTCTTTAAAATTATCATGTGGAAATGTGATATATGTGTGCGCACTTGTTAAATATTTAAAAGAAAATATATTCTTCAATGACAATTTTGTATACAGTTGACCGACCTTATAGTTTTACAAAATTATTATAAAAATATTAACAATTGCATATTGCTTGTACTTATACTCTCTATATTGTATTAATATAAACATTAAAAAGCTCCAAATATCATGATAATTTTGTGGCTGAAAAAAATCATATTAGCATTAGCCACTATTTATTTAAAATATTATAGTGCCGCACGTGATTCGTAAAATATAAATAATGAAAAAAGAAGTGCTCAAACAATCACAGAAGTTCAGTTTAGGGTGGAAACTGATTGCTGATGAAATAGAAATGGCTATGAAATAAGCTCAACTACAATTTGGAGAGCCAGCAAAAGAGAGCGATTTTTACCGGCCAAAATCAGAGCTGCCAGGCCATCGCTATGAGTCTAAAAATGCTATGAAGCATATCTATATCTTTGGGATTCGAAGAAGTCGACTACCCACCCAGTTCCTCTCTTGACGAAACCAAACAATGGATTGCCAGGGACGTAGCCAACTTATCTTGCTCCACAGGGTTCTAAAAAACATTAATATTTTATAATAGTAAAAGTATCTTTATATATTACATAATGAAAATAAAAACAAAACCATATTAAAACAGCAAGAAAATATATTTTTATTTAACAACTTTTTTTTCAATATAATAAACAAGCTGTGTAATCAATATATTTTATTTATACTTGTATATTTAAAATTATGAATTTTATTACTCATTTTAATCATAAGCTTGTAACGCTGTTTTGGCTTAGTTGTGGCTTCTTTTTTTATAATTTTGATTTGTCGAACAAATTGTCATATAAATTTATTTATAAATATCGATTTAAAGCATGCCAAAGTAAAATTTACCAAACTTTCGCTGGCTACGACCATGCCAGGTGTGAGAGCCAAAGGTAAAAAAGAAAGAGAGCGAGAAAGGCAGAGACAGAGAGCGGCAGCTGCAACGTGTGTTGCCTGAATGGAAATGTGATTTTATGGCCGGCTGACAAGAAACCAAAACACATGGTCTGCCACAGAACAGTTATGTGAGGAGCCGATAGCGGACGCAAATTAACAAGCGGCACAGTTTTAATTGAATTTAATCGAATCGATTCGGATGACAGCCATGGAGGAGTTCGCCGAGTACTATGGGTAAGTGAGTGAGTGAGTGAGTGTGCGCCGTGTGGGGGGAGCCTCAAGAACACGCGTGCAACAAGTGTCTAAAATTAGCACCAAATGCAATCAAATACAGCGGCTAATTTTAGCCACGAGTTAGCACCCACAACCTATCGTATCGTCACACATATCAGCTGAACCGAGTATAAACAATAGCCAAAACTCCACGCGTCCATGTCAATGAAAAGCTCAAACAGAGCCAATAACGTAGCGCCGTATGAAAACAAAACAATTCGGAGGGGTTTAGCATCGATCGAAATGAAGAATACTCTTCAGAGAGTCAAGCTTCCAGCTGTCTTTAATTTTATTTACATTTACCGCGAAAACTTTATTCATTTTGCTGACTGGTTTAGCATGACCTTTTGGGTGGAAGTTGGAACGAATTTCTATATGCCTGTGAAATGGTTTTTATACCTATGGAATTACCTGGGAATTATACTGTTAGTCAGAAGCTTGTTACTCTGTAAAAAAATCATTTCCGAACCTATAAATCATATATATTCTTGATCAGAATGAACAGCTGAATCGATCTAGCCATGTCTATTAGAAAAATGCATTTTTTAATTTTGTTCTACATTTCAAAAAAAGATAAGAGGTTACATCGTTAAAATTTGCAAAATTCGACAAAAAATGGAATTTTTAAATTTCAAAACGCAGTATGCAGATTTGTTACCGCCATAAAAACTAGCTGAACATCTTTCCGAGTTGAAATTAACCCATTTTTGGTTTAGTTATGAGTTTTTTACAAATTTACATATAAAACTCTTTATAAATATCAAAGAACGAGAATATAATAACGAAAATGCTTACTAAATTATCCTTCCTGTATATTCTTCTTCTATAAATATCAAAGAACGAGAATATAATAACGAAAATGGTTACTAAATTATCCTTCCTGTTTATTCTTATCAAATACCCGATATAATTAAACAAACCCGATATTTACAAATTCAAACTGCAAATAAAATAAGTAAATATTTAAAAAATTAAAATAAAACCTTAGTTCTCCAGGACTCAAGTTCCAATCTATGCACCCTTCTATTTATCAAACACATAAAATAAACAAAAGTGTGTAATTACTGAAACCGCTAATCGAACAAGACAATTTGTTTAGGGCTTGCGGTAAACTTGGCCCAGCGACCTGCGCTCAGTCTTACGGAGAATCGGAGAATTCCCACATATAGTAAATATTGTAAATGTATAAACATGTATGCAGGTGGGGCCAGGAGGAGGGATCCACAGAGGTGACGGGCTACCAATTAGCATTATCAGCGTCAGAGACGTGATTCCACCACATTCGTGATCGGGGCCGAGGATGCGACTTTGCCGCCCAGTTCCCAGTTCGTGGGGGGTAGCTCGGGCGAAAGCTTCTCTGTCCGGCTCCAAAATTCACCACGATCCCCCGGAGCCGTGGAACCCATCCGCTATTTAATGGCAACCGCGTTCACGGCGTACGCTCAGAAGTAACTGGAACGCTTTCTGTCGCTACACGCAACCCCGATCAAATTTCAAATTGCAAATTCTAAAAACCCAAAATCAATTGACTGGCAAACCGATACAGATACAATCATAATAACTATTTGAAACTCGATTCAAACCATTCAAACCGAAGATGGCTTGTAATTTGTGATATTCAGTGCTTCTTTAAACTAAAACAGCAAAAAAAAGTGCTATAGGAAACCCACAAAAACCTAAGTAATTGTTGGAAAAGAGTTTGGACTAAATCCTAAGGAAAGCAGGTGAGAGGGGAAAAATTAATTCAAATTAAATTAAATTAAATTAAATTATTTAAATTAAATTAATTAATTAATTAATTAATTTATAATAACTTATGGTTAATTTTTTGCTTTGCGGATATAACTTGTCACTTAAATCTATATTCCCCGTTATTAGTTTCTCCTATTTTAAGTTTAAATCTCAATACAAATTATTTATGGTCATTTCCTATCATATTTGTAAACAATTTTAAGTAGTTGCAACTAAGAAGAATCTTTAAATTTTCAAATCTCACTTTGGCTGACCCAAAACTCTACTCTGGGTATGTGTGCCAAGAGGGAGATTTCCCCCCACTTAGTCATCGGGGATTCAATCGCAATGATCACAAGACTCCAATTTAGATCAGATTTAGCTGCCGGTCATAAAACCGTTGTCTACATTCGCACATTAACAGACGCCCACTAATTTTCTTATGGCCTGTGCCATAAGTCCAACTCTTCGAAACTCTTTCCACAAATTTGCGAACGTGTTAATATGTCGGTTCTGTAAACATCGAGTACGGATAGTTATATATAGCACGGGTCAGCAGAACCCCTTAGCCCTCAGACCCAATTACATACATAGCTTAGCTTATCCATTATAATAATATTAATAATTGTTTAATGGACTTATTCCAGAATGCCCAGTTGGAGCGTGACGAATGCATTTCGCGTGCTCACACGCAAGAAGCCCCTGGAGGACTCCAATGAATCCAAATTGGCCAAAGTATTGTCCGCCTTCGATCTGACGGCCCTGGGTATTGGATCCACACTGGGTGTTGGTGTCTATGTGCTGGCTGGAGAGGTTTCCAAGCAATATGCAGGTCCTGCTGTGGTTGTTAGCTTCCTGATCGCAGCCATTGCCTCGATCTTTGCCGGACTGTGCTATGCTGAGTTTGGAGCTCGTGTTCCCAAGGCAGGATCGGCGTATATCTACAGCTATGTGACCATTGGGGAGTTTATCGCCTTTCTCATCGGCTGGAATCTCATACTCGAATACGCAATTGGTGAGTTTCCAATTAAGGGAGCAGCAGCCGCCGTCTGATTGATTTGTTTTAATTGACCAAAAATTCTGTTTGATTGTGCGTTAGGTTCTGCCAGTGTCGTCAAGGGTTTAAGCACCTATCTGGACCAGCTTTGCGGGAATCCGATGAGCAGCTTTTTGGGCACACACATGCCCATTAACATCGATGGCATGGGTGCTTATCCGGATCTGTTTGCCTTCGTGGTCACCATCCTGTTCTCGCTGGCCATCGCTGTGGGAGCCAAGGAATCGACCAGGGTTAATAATGTCTTCACCATGCTGAACCTTGGAGTGGTGCTTTTTGTGATCATTGCTGGGCTCTTCAAGGGTGAGTATTTGAAAGATTTTAATTAGTTATTTAACTAACCAATTAATATATTGATTCTTACAGTTAACAGCAGCAATTGGTCCATACCCAAATCGGAGGTACCCGAGGGCTATGGCGATGGTGGCTTCATGCCCTATGGCGTTTCGGGAATTATCAAAGGTGCTGCTGTCTGCTTTTATGGCTTCATTGGTTTCGATTGTATTGCCACTGCCGGCGAGGAGGCCAAGAATCCCAAGAAATCCATTCCATTTGCTGTGATAGTCTCCCTGGCCATGATCTTTTTGGCCTACTTTGGAGTATCTACTGTGCTGACCATGATGCTGCCCTATTTCGAGCAGGACGAGAAAGCCCCACTGCCTCATGTCTTCCGGATTAATGGCTGGCATGTGGCAGAGTATGTGGTGAGCATTGGAGCCATGTTTGGTCTGTGCTCCAGCATGATGGGAGCCATGTTTCCGCTGCCAAGGATCGTTTTTGCCATGTCCAACGATGGACTATTGTTTAAATTCCTCGGCGACATTAGCGACAAGTACAAGACGCCTTTCAAGGGTACCATGATCACTGGACTGCTCACTGGCATCCTGGCGGCTGTGTTCAATCTTAGCCAGTTGGTAAACATGATGTCCATTGGCACCCTGCTGGCCTACTCCATGGTGGCCAGTTGTGTCCTGATGCTGCGCTACGAAGTGGACGATCGTAGGGAGAGTAGAATCGTTGGAAATGGAAGAGCCATGGGTCAGGATCAGGACCAACCCTGTGCGTTGTGGAGGCGAATCTTCAATCTTAATGGCCAGACTGTGCCCACCAAGCAATCGTCGAGAATCGTTACCTACAGTGTGACTTTGTTCTGTAAGTTTGAGTTTGCTTTAATTTTGAAAACAAGAACTTATAGGAATGTATCCCTTTCAGCTCTATGGTGCATGGTCTTTTCGCAAATACTCACCAAGTTTGAAGAGGATCTGGCCAACGTAACGTCTTTCGATGGACTCAAACTGGTGCTGGGCACTATTCCCCTGGCTGTCCTCCTGGTAATCATCTCGCGTCAGCCCACCTCCGGGGTCAAGCTATCGTTTAAGGTGCCCCTGGTTCCCTGGTTGCCTGGCATATCTATTTTAATCAACATCTACCTGATGATTAAGTTGGACATCCTTACCTGGGTGCGTTTCAGTATTTGGATTGCCATCGGACTGGCCATCTTCCTGTCCTACGGCATCCGCCACAGTCGGCTGAGGCAGCGGGAGCAGCGTAACAATTCCATGGCCATTATGCGAGACTGCAGCAATTCGGCCCTTCTGGGTGGTCAGGAAAATTCCAAATATGGCAATGAGGTGCCCCTGATCCTGATGCACAGTACATCCTAAGTGTACATTGATATTTATCTAACTTATACATTAACCATACATAAGTGATGTAATTCTCATCATCTACATGCTCACCTAAGAAACTCACACACCTCCACTCAGCTTCATACCGTAAAATAGGAAACCAAAAACTACGTAAAGTACAATAAGTTAGCTGAAAGCAATAAACATGAATATTCAAAGGATATATCTGATGTTTTTACTCTACTTGATAGTTAATTACATTTAAAGACAGTTCGATTGTTAGATGTTTGACTTTGATATTATAGATTTTGTGGTTAAAATTGTCATACAGTACAACCAACGCATCCAAGAAGCTAAACTTAAAAACCAAGTACCTTGCAGAAATGGTCTTGGATAATTATGGTAGGACTACACTTAAAAACTATTGCAATATTTCCCAGCAGCTATTCTAGACTTTCGACTTTTCGGGAACCTTTCGCTCGGCATTCTCCCACTCCAGCTCCTCCTCAGACTCCTCGTGCCGCTCCTCTTCGACGGTCGTCTCCTTCTTCTGGTGTCCGAGCAGGATAACCTCGTTGTCCTCTGCCTCCGCATTAAGGGGCGGGGCATAGAAACCACTGTTGGCCAGGTTGCAAGTGAACTCCTGCTTCCTGGGAGCGTTCACTTCGCGAGCAATCACGGACACCGCACTAGGTACCGCATTTTGGCCAGGTTTGAACGAACCCAGGCTGTCAGGGACTGGCTTAGCCATTCGAGGATTTTCCTTGGTCAGACCGCCGGAAGTCAAGTTAGCCGCCATTTTCGGAGGAAGTTTAAATCCAATATGCGGCGCATTTCCGCTATCCATTTTAAAAACATGCCGGTTTCGGGAGCTGCCCAGCTGCTTTTCAACGCGCAGGGACTGAGCTGGCACCATGGGCTGGCGACGGACCATTCGCCGGACCCTTGGTTGAGTCATCTCCTGTGCCGACTCCTCGGTGGCTGGTTCCTCTGCGGGACCACTCGAAGTCTCCGCGAAACCATACATCCGCTTGTGTCGCTCAAAGGCATTAACATCGGTACTATTGGACATCAGTCTGCTGGCCGAGGTCTTGGACACCTCTGGAGCCTGCTGCGGTGCCAGCGTTACCGCTGCTGGCATGTTGACACTGGTGCCCAGTCCCAGGCGCTGCTTCACATCGATCAATGTTTGCTGCGCCTGCTGGCGGGCCTTTGACGCTCCCACTTCCAGCAAATATATCACCTCCTTGCGCTTTGACAAATGGTAATGAATCAGCTCTCGAATCGGGGTCAAGTGCTCAATAACGGCCTCTGCCACACGCTCCTTGTACTTGGCCGTATCTAGAGTGCTGGCCTCGTCCACCACCGACTTGATAGTCTGTCCTGTGACCTGAGAATGGATGCTTATCAGGTTGCTAACTCCAGGGCGCTTTCCGGGACTATAAGAGATATCCGAGGCGAAGTCAGTGACCGCTGAGTTTATCTTCTTTTTTATTAGGTCGGGTGAGTCAGTCAGGTTGATTATGCCATTAAGATTCGATTTTGACATCTTTTGGCCAGGATCTAGGAGGGACAGAACGCAGGAGACCTCCCCGTTCTCAACCATTGGCTCGCACACAGGAAAGGTCTCGCCATACCGACTGTTGTAAGTCTTAGCCAGGTGCTGAGCCAACTGGATATGTTGCAGCTGGTCAGCACCCACAGGAACATGGGTTGCTCTGCAGGGGAAACGGAAAATGAGGAATATTATTCAACCCTTAAGAGCGAAGGCAACCTACTTGTAAAGCATTATGTCTGCTGCTTGGAGAACCGGATACACGTACAAGCCCAGCGGGACATCTTTCATCAGGCGAGACTTCTCCCGGAACTGAGGCAAATGAGCCAAACGCGGCATGGCAGTCAATGAGCTTAGGATCCAATTAAACTCGGAGAGCTCGGGAACGGCGGACTGGACGAAGAAGGTACTCTTCGCGGGATCTATGCCGCAGGCGAGTAGTGTGGCGGCCAAGTTCAAGATGTTCTCACGCAGCTGCGGCGGATTGTGAGGCATCGTGATGGAGTGCATGTCCACGATGCAGACGGTCACGTCATCGTGGGCATTCTGAAGCCGCACCCACCGCCGCACCGCGCCCAAGTAGTTGCCCAAGTGCAGGGAGCCGGTGGGTTGGATTCCACTGAAGATTTTTCGCGGCCATGCCTGCTTGGGCGACGTAAAGGAACAGGTATATAAACAATCCAGGTTAACCAACCAACTCACCGTTGTAGAGCCAGCGCCGGTCTTCGGGATAGTCGGTTCGTGGCTTGTTTGATTCTGTTTACCGCCGCCGGTTACCTGTGCGGTAGCCGAAAGCATGGCCATGGAACGCCTGACCAGACCCTGCTGAAGAAAGCTTCCAAAATGGATGCAGTGCCTCTGGCGAAGGAGAAATGAACTCGAATCCTTCGTGGAAAGTAATGCCGCAACGCACCATAGTTTGCCAGCTCGAAACATTGCAAACAGTTCTGAATTTTACACGTTAATCTATTAAGAAAAATAACAAATGTGAATGAAATAAGATTCTGCCGAAAATGAATTATTTATTTTGAAAATAATGACTTTGGAAACCTTGCCAGAAAGATCTAATTAAGTAGGCCAAACGAATTTCCAACAGGCTCTGTAAACCAAGGCAGCGATTTCAAGCCATCGTTTAAAATATTTAAATACGAAAAAACTATATTAACATCACAGTCAACTAAATTAAAACAGCATCGGCATGTATGCTTTCTTTGTAAATTAAAGAACTACGGTTGAAGCCTCAACTAAAAATATACCCCTTTCGCAGACAGATATGTAAAAAATTAATTAATATATATTAATAAAGATAATGGGCCAAAACAATTTCATTTTACATTTAAACGTTAGATTTTGATTTGTCAAATTAATTTGGAGTGCTAAAAAATATCTAGGATATAACTTTGTCAAGCAATTTGTATAACGACAAATTTAACAGGTATGATATTCGCTAAGTATTACATTAACAACAGTTGCAATATTCCTGTGCCTAGATCTTGGCTTTGGTTTTCCCAGGACCTTTGCGCTCCTCATCTTCACATTCTCTCTCCACAGTCTCTTCCTCCTCACACTCATCGTACTCCTCCTCTTCTTCATCGTTTTGGTCCTCAGACTCTTCGCTATGCTCCTCAGACTCTTCATACTGCTTCGCAGTGGCGGTCTGCTTCGCTGCCTTCTGGGCGATAATGGAAGCCTCGGTGTTCCGCGATCCGCTCCAGTCACTGGTGGTGAATTGCGTGTCACCAGTGGTAGGGCAGTGTCCACTATTTGACGGGTTATAGGTGAAATCATGTTTCTTAGGGGCATTCATTTCGCGGGCAATCATGGAGAGCGCACTAGGAATTGCAGTTGTGCCTGGATTGTTCGAACCAGCACTCGAATACTGTCCAAATCCGATGCTGCGTTGGACAGGCTTGGGGGCCGCGCGCATCCCCTTGGACAGTCCCCCAGTACCCATGTTGGGTATGAATCCAGGCGGTTGTTTGAAGCCGATTTGCGGAGCGTTAATGTTATCCATCTGGAAAACATGTTGCGATTTTGTGCTTCCTAGGTGCTTCTCCACTCGCAGCATTTGAGTTGGTACCACGGGCTGACGGCGGACCAGGGGCTGAAGGCGGGCCGAGGGTTGGGCAATTGATTGCTCCACACCGGAATCCGATAGCTGCCCGGTGGCCGACTGGCCTGCATCACTGCTTGGCGGTTCAGAAAAGCCATACATCCGCTTGTGCCGCTCGTGGACATTGGTGTCGGCGTCGCTGGACATAAGCCTACTGGCCGAGGTCTTGGGCATCTCAACGGGCAGAGGCGGCGCCACCTGCACAGCAGCTGGCATGATAGGACTGGTGCCCAGGCCTAGGCGCTGCTTCACATCGTCCAATGTGCGTTGCGCTTGTTGGCGTGCTTTTCCCGCTCCTTCCTCCAGTAAATAGATCATCTCGTTGCGCTTGGTCATGTGGTGTTGAATCTGTTCTCGTATCGGACGCAAGTGCTCGACAACGGCCTCTGCCACACGCTCCTTGTACTTGGCCGTATCCAGAGTGCTGGCCTCGTCCACAACCGACTTGATAGTCTGTCCAGTGACCTGGGAATGGATGTTGACTAGGTTGCTGACTCCAGGGCGCTTGCCAGGATGGTAAGAAATGTCTGAGGTAAAATCTGTGACCGCTTTCTTTATCTTCTGCGCGATTAGTTCGGGAGGATCGGCCAAATTGATCGTGGCCTTGGGGTTGCCGTCTGACTTGGACATTTTTTTGGACGGATCTCGAAGAGACAGAACGCGAGACGCCTCCCCGTCTTCAATAATTGCATGACACACTGGGAATGTCTCGCCATAACGACCGTTGTATGTCCTAGCCAGGTGCTGAGCCAACTGGATATGTTGCACCTGGTCAGCGCCCACAGGAACATGGGTTGCTCTGCAAAAAAAGAGTAATATGAGAAGTAATATCGAATCTCTAAGACCAAAGCCAACCTACTTGTAAAGCATGATGTCTGCTGCTTGGAGAACCGGATATACGTACAAGCCCAGCGGGACATCTTTCACCAGACGGGATTTTTCCCGGAACTGAGGCAACTGCGCCAAACGTGGCATGGTAGTCAGTGAACTTAGGATCCAGTTGAACTCAGCATGCTCGGGAACGGCGGACTGGACGAACAGGGTGCTCTTTACCGGATCAATGCCGCAGGCAAGAAGTGTGGCGGCCATTACGAAGATGTTCTCGCGCAACAATGGCGGATTGTGCGGCATCGTGATGGAGTGCATGTCCACGATGCAGACTGTCACGTCCTCTTTGGCATTTTGTAACTGAACCCATTGTCGCACCGCGCCCAGATAGTTTCCCAAATGCAGGGAGCCGGTGGGCTGTATTCCGCTGAAGATTTTCCGCGGCCAATTCTGTTTGGGCTAAGTAAAAAAAAACAGTTATATAAACAAGCCTGGCTAACCAACAAACTTACCAACTCGCTCTTCGAGACTTCCTGCGATTGGCTTGGATGCTTCTGATTTGCGCCGCCGGTTACCTGTGCGGTAGCCGAGGGAGCGCACGTCGCTCGGGTGGCCAATCCACGCTGCAGACTCCTTAACTCTGTGCGGCGCCTCTGGCTGTGCGGAAACGGAAACTGACTCTTCTTGGCCATTGCCGATAGACTTCGCCGTAGTTTGCTAGCGCGAAACATTGCAATGCCTTAAGAATTTCGTGTCCCAAACCTTCAAGCAAAATATGTACGGAATTAATAAAATAAATGCTAAATGTTAGTCCGAAGATTAATTTGTTATTCTTTTGAATTTTTGACTTTGTAGGAGTTGCCAGATTGTTTTTGAACAACCTGTGCTCGCCACAGCTGTTTAGAGAGATGCCCAACATTTGGGTCTCTGCGGAATCTGGCAATATTGTTTGGCTAGTAATGATTTCAAATATCCTTTCTTTAAGACTTCTTAAACAGAAGCTTAATCACACTTATAGTGCATTCTATAATGAGCAGACATACATATATAAATTTAAAATGCTTTGAAATGTTAAGAAGCATGGCCTTTTTTTACCAATATTTTTCAAATGGTTTAAATAAATAAAATATATCTAATTATACAGTAAACAGTGCTGTATTATAATATACTTTAAAATGTTTAGCCAAATTTAGGCATTTATACTGCATTATATCGAGTTTTTCAACGGTGTTGTATTTATTCTAAGCCTAATACACATAGTACATTGCATTTAACGCCTTGCGTTATTTTCAATATTTATGGTATGGTTTCCACTTTACTGTTTCTACACTGAGAAGTAAAAATATGCATAGACGTTCGCTTCGGCTGTCAGGAGTTGATTTCGTTTTGGGGTGTTTTGCTGTAAATGATGAAAGCAGTGCAGATTAGTCCAAAAAGTCTGGTAAAGGTCGTTTTGAGGATCCTAAAAGTTGATGGGTTTGCCGAAGGCAGCAGCCACATTGGCCTCACGCAAAGCCTCAGCACACGTCTAAAAAATAAAGGATATATCAGTTGGGTTAACTCAATTAAATTTAAGTAATTGATCAATGAGATCCTCAACTTACGGGATGTGCGTGGCAGACGCGGGCAATATCTTCGGCTGCCGCTCCATATTCCATAGCCAGGACTGCCTCGTTTATCAGCTCGCCGGCAGCAGGTCCAATGATATGCGTGCCGAGAACCTTGTCCGTGGCCTGGTCAGCCAGAACCTTAACAAAACCGTCCGTCTCGTTGTTGGTCTTGGCACGAGAGTTGGCCAGGAAGGGGAACTTGCCCACCTTGTAGGCCACACCTTCCTGCTTCAGCTGCTCCTCGGACTTGCCCACCCACGCGACCTCGGGATGTGTGTACACCACACTAGGCACGCAGTTGTAGTCAATGTGGACGTTGCCGCCGTTGATGCCTTCGATTGTGATGAGGCCCTCATCCTCAGCCTTGTGCGCCAGCATGGGTCCGTGAATGCAGTCACCGATGGCATAGATGTTGGGCACCACTGTCTGGAAGGTGGCGTTGACGGGAATTCTGCCGCGATCGTCCTTCACAATACCAACAGCGTCCAGACCAAGACCCTCAGTGTAGGGACGACGTCCCACACTGACCAACAGGGCGTCGCACTGAATCTCTTCTTTCTCGCCAGATTTAGCATTCTCCACGGACACGGTGACATCATTTCCGCTGCGGGAGGCGCCGATCACCTTTGTGCCCAGCTTGAATTTCAGGCCCTGCTTAGTCAGCACCTTCTGGAAGGTTTTGGAGACCTCATTGTCGATGCCCACTCCGCCGATCGTTTCCATAAACTCGATAGCGGTAACTTCAGCGCCCAGACGCGACCACACCGAGCCTAACTCCAGTCCAATGACGCCGGCACCGATTACCACCAGGTGCTTGGGCACCTTAGCCAGCTTCAGTGCACCAGTGCTGCTCACAATGACTTCCTCATCGATCTGTAAGGGTATAAATGAGGTTAAGAATATACATTTTCATAGAATTCCCACACTTACTTCGATGCCTGGGAAAGGAGTAACCTCCGAGCCGGTGGCAATCAGGATATTCTTGGTCTTGACCGTCTCCGTGGAGCCGTCGGACTTCTGCACCTTCACCTCGTTGGGGTTGACGATGCTGCCGAAGCCTGTGAGCTGTGTCACCTTGTTCTTCTTGAAGAGCATGGCAATTCCACCGGTCAGCGCCTTGACTGCGTTCACCTTCTGCCCCATAAGCTTCTCCAGATCGAGGCTGACATTGCCGCAGTTGATTCCGCGACTCTCCAGATCACCGGAGTGGGCCATGTGATAGTAGTGCGAGTTGTTCAGCAAGGCCTTTGAGGGAATGCAGCCAACGTTGAGGCAGGTGCCACCCAGCGTCGCCTCCTTCTCCACGCTGACCGTCTTCATACCCATCTGGGCAGCCTTGATGGCGGCCACGTAGCCACCAGGTCCGGAGCCGATCACCACAATGTCCGCCTCATGTGTGGTGGAGTAGCAGCGGGAGTTCAGGGCGCCCAGGATGGCGGCGTTGGTACGTAGAGGTGTCTGGAAAGACAAGCGATTAGTGGAAAATCTTGGATTTGTCTGATAAGGAGTGCTGGGTCAGTGTTTATCACGCCAGTCGCACGCAGCTCGCACTAATCTCCGGCCGCGTATCAGCTGCTAATTGGCCCAATTAACGACCTTGAAACATGGCCAAACAAATCACTAGCCACCAATAAATCAGCCATGTCTATCATATGGACATTTCCGACAATGGCAATGTATTTTCCAGGCTTTTTTTTCCTTTTCGCGACCTCCCAGTTAGGTTAGATTGCATAACTCCGGGCGAAAGGCAATCGGGAATCGCATGATCCTACCTTGGCAACAGCCGACACGACATGTCGAATGGTGAACTGCATGGCTGGTGTGGCGGTGTTTGCGGTGAGTTAGGATTCTAGTTATTTGACTAAAAACACAACAATAATTTGATGTGTATATTTTCTGCTTTTCGTGTTGTGGAGGGCTAGAGGCGTTCGCAGGGCTGCAAAAACTTTCCGATAGCAGTCATATGACCGATATCGATAGCTCATTTTCCACTTCAGAGAATAACCCATCTCTGAATTCTTTAAATTACAATTCCAGTGGAAACTAATTTAAGACTTTTTTAAAATACATGTACTTTAGACAAATACTGAGACTTGAAGCAACAACAAGTAAACAAATTTCATTTGTTCTGAACAATCGATAGACTGCAGGAGGTAATAAGTACGGTGTGGAGAGGTCAAAAAGTGTGACCGTGAAAGGTTTTAGGCGCCAGTTTTGAATTGCTCAAACCGTCCAATATACTATTAATATTATAACTTAGTGAATACCACATTTTGATCATTTGTCAGATTGTTTATTAATGTATTATACGGCTGCTAATCACTAAATTTAATTACTAATAGTACAGGCATTTTTTGTTGTTGTGTTGAATCTCAGCTTACTCATGGGTTTATAAACTTTGCTGGAAGAACGAACCATTGCAGAAATAATAAAATGAAATACTGACCCTAAAAATTAAAATTGCCAAAAAGCTTTTGTGGAGATGCGGGGGATTCTGAGCTTGCATAACGGATTGGGGAAAATCTGGAATCGAGAGCGGAAAATTTTTGCGTGCATTTTGTACCATATCTTGCATTTAAATAAATCTCATTAAGCTAAATATTTGTAAATAAACGAAAAATTGTTGGCTAATTACAAAAATAAACTAATTTACAGTTACAGTAATCATAAATTAATAACTAAAAACGACTTTTATCGAGAAAATTGCATTTAGAGGACTCTCAGAGGTCCATCGTTGCATCTGGGGTGCGTCTGCTGATGAGAGGTAATGAGCCAAGTCTATTTTGCTAAAGGATCCTGCCTAGAACTGCGACATTAACATGCCACTGCCGCCGCTCCCAACGCCACTGCCTCCACCCCCACCACCTCCTGGACCCCCGCTCGTGCCCAGCACAGATCCCAGAAGGCCACCGCTTGACATCTGCTGCTGTTGCTGCATTGGCATCTGCTGCTGCTGTTGCTGCATTTGCATCGACGAGGAAAAGCTGTTCAGACCGCCAACGACTCCGGAACCCATACTGGCGCCCAGACTGGATAAGCCGGGACCAGGCCCACCCCCCAATGATGCCAAATTGGTGGCGCCCATAACACCCGCTGCACCGCCTCCCATGCCCGCTCCACCGGGCAGCAGACCCACACCCGGCTCGGGACTCTGATTCTTCTTTTTACGCTTTTTCTCCTTTTTGCGCTTCTTCCGCTCCTTATCGTCCTCGTGCCGCTTCTGCTTCTTGTGCTTCTTCTCGTAAGTCTCCAGGCCAGCCGAATCTAAAAATAAGCAAATAGAGTCAGATGTGTGGGACAGGCTAAGTGAGATTTCGGCGTCGAGTTTACCCAGGAGCGTGGATTCTTGTCCCGTGGTCACACCGTCTTTGTGTTTGTGCTTTTTGTGTTTGTTTTTGTGTTTTCTCGCAGGTGTGACATATGTAGTACGATACTGTTCCGGCAGCTGCAGGGGATTCGGTTGATTAATAATTAAATAATTACAGAGATTCCAAAGAGCAACTTACAGGATATAACAAATGAATTGACATTTTAAAGTATAATAAGGAATTTTTTTTTCGTTCAAAACAAAGAAATTTAACCACTAAAACATATGCATACACGTATTAATTAGTCAGGCAAACTACCAAAACACTTCGTAAAAATCTGTAGTATTGTTAGTTTCTTCAAAGAAGTTTATCATGAAATCAGGAACCAACTAAAGTTAAACCAATATTAAAATTCGGAAAGAAGGAATAAATTAGGTAGCACTGTTAGATACATTATATTTCTGCAGGACCGTCCTCGTTTTCACGACTCATTTCACCTTTACTTGACGAAAATATTCAAACTAATGGAGTGAGTTTTATACAGATTTTACCAAAAAGACTACCCTAGCAGTGTTATAAGTAAAAGGTGAAAGCATGCTTGAGAGTGAAAACTGGAACGGCCCTGTGAGAGACACCCACCGGTCCGGGATGCAGGCGGAAACCGGCCAGCTGCACAGGGGTTAACGGGATGAGCTCCTTGCCGCCTATAGGCGGCTTCTCGATCACGCTTCGCAGCGTGCTATTCTCGACGGGATGTGTGATTAGGTCGTTGATGCCAGGAATATTCTGCAGGAACGAGGCCAGTGACTCCTTGAACTTTTTCTCCTTGAACTTGGTCAGCGTATGGTGTAGTCCGTTCTCGGTCATGAGATCCTTGTCGCCAGTCAGTTCCGCCTTGGCGGGTGGCTCCTTCATTGAGTAGAACGGCCCCGTGTGGATGATTGTCGGCGTTTTCCCAAGCGATATCGTTGTCTTTAACGTGCCCGAGGAATCCTGGCGGGCCACAACTGGGGATCGGCCTCCGCCGTGAGGCGACGACCGCGGCGAGTCCATCATTATGTTGCCGTAGTTGCTCATCATCTTGGCACTGGCACCCACACTCGCACGCGCCTCGCACACGCACACACACAAGCACACGCAGGCAGAGCAACAACTGCAACAACAAGGCCAGCAGAAGGTTGCGCCTTTCGCGACGCTAGCAGGCAACGCCGCCTAAGCTTACACTTCAATATGCGCCCCGGCTACGGTAGATTACGGCGGACACTTGTCTGGTCGAATACTTGATCGGTTTTCGGTTTCTGTGGCGTTTTTTAGCTGACTTGGGGTGCAGGTCTCGCCATCTTGTTGTGTCCGTGAACCAGTGTGACCGCATTGCGAAAGCTGGCGAAAAACTGAGGCTAGACCGAAAACGCGATGTGGACGCGGCATGAAAATACCAAAAATTCTCCATATATACTAGATCCGAATAATACCGCCTGCCGAATATAACAATTATTTATTACTTATTTTGTTTCTAGTCTCAGTATTTGTCTAAACAAAAATAAGCTTAATAATAACAATAAATAACAAAATGCAAAAAACTACGACAAATTCTAAAACCATACATTTTAAATGTAATTAATTTATTATTATGAATATAATTAACCATATTTTATTTGTATGATGTTCACCTAATTAAAAACCCGTTGAACTTCGACATTGGACCACGACAAGAAGAGCCCTTGAAGAACTTGAGCAATTGTTTTTTGAACAGATGATAGATGAATATTAAAAAATAGCTATTTTTAAGACTATAAGCTAACTAAAAATGTCATAGGCTTTTCCTTTCTTTAAATATGCTAGATCTAGCCTGAAACAAGCTAAACCGGATTGGCGCAACAGCAACAGGCGCGCCAACAGCTGCTTTATTTCTCAGGGAGTTCCTCAATCGAAGAACCTTAATTCATAAATTAAAAGTGATGTGTAAAAGATAGCTCGACACCGCGCAGCAATTAATGATATCTCGGATTGGTTCACTGAAAGCAGCCATGACCATCTACAAGCAGACGTGCACGAATCTCCTGGAATTGTCCTCGGGCAAGGTGACCGAGTGGCTAGACAGCTTTGATTCTGTTATAACAGACTGCGATGGTAAGTGGGGAGGGGGAAGGCGGAAAGGGGGCGTGTGTGTGAAAGGATATTTGCCCAGGAAGTTGCGTTACATAAAGCTATGTATTCACCAATTTATGGATCAGCATCTGCCAATACGTCATCAAGCGTACAGAGGGCTTATAGGCGTTGCTGTTTTTGCTGCCTCGCCAATTTCAATGTCAAAAAGTGAAGTGCGTGATAAGAGCGGCGACGTCGCTCTTCGGATACCCTACAAATGCGTTTTTGTGCGTCATGTAATTCATTCTTACATATATATATTAGAAGTCAATATTTACTACTGACACCACTATCCTCTTCTCCGCAGGCGTCCTTTGGATCTATGGCCAGGCCCTGGAAGGATCTGCGGACGTGATGAACCAATTTAAGGCCATGGGCAAGTCCATCTACTTTTGCACAAACAACTCAACCAAGACCCGGGCGGAGCTCCTAAAGAAAGGTATCGATCTGGGCTTTCACATCAAGGAGAGCGGCATCATATCTACAGCCCATGCCACGGCCGCCTATCTTAAGCGTCGTAACTTTAACAAGCGGGTGTTCGTGATAGGAAGCGAAGGCATTACCCAGGAACTGGACGCCGTTGGTATTGCCCATACCAAAATTGGACCCGAGGTCATGCAGGGATCGCTGTCCGACTTCATGTCAAAGCATTTAAAGCTGGAAACGGACATCGGTGCCGTGGTCGTGGGCTTTGATGAGCACTTCAGTTTCCCCAAAATGATGAAGGCCGCCTCGTACCTGAACGATCCTGAGTGCCTGTTCGTGGCCACCAATACGGATGAGCGTTTTCCCATGCCTAATATGATAGTGCCCGGCAGCGGTAGCTTCGTCCGTGCCATCCAAACGTGTGCTGAGCGTGATCCGATGGTGATTGGCAAGCCCAATCCGGCCATTTGCGAGTCATTGATCAGCGAAAAGAAGATCAATCCCGCCAGGACTTTAATGATTGGCGACCGCGCCAACACGGACATCCTGCTGGGTTATAATTGCGGCTTCCAGACCCTTCTAGTCGGCTCCGGTATCCATCAGCTGAAGGATGTGCAGCAGTGGAAGCTGAGCAAAAATGGGGACGACAAGAAGCTCATACCTGACCTGTACCTGCCCAAGTTGGGGGACCTGCTGCCTGCGATTGTCAAGAATTTGACGGGCGAAAAGTAAATGAATTAATTGATCGTGTGAGAGGAGGCTTTACGTTAGTTACATATGTTTATGCAGGTCGCAGAATCAACCATTTTTAAATATCTAACACAAATTTATAGTACAATTTATTCGGCGGAATATATACATATTTAAATCTAAATAAATACACAAGCATTTTGTAGCAGTTCACAAACCGCATCAGTTTATTGATATGCCCCAAGCAATATTTACCCTGCTTTTTGCCCCAGCAAGCTTTATGTGGGAGGGAGTGAGAGGGCGATAACAGTTTTCCCCAATCATCATGATGGGGAATCGCGGCTCCGCCGATTTAGTCGAGTCGCAAACATTTGGCGGAGCAGTCTACGGCAGCAGAAATGTCCAGAGGCGGAGAAGCAATCAACTTGTCCGATTTAACCGGGGAGCAGGTGAGCGAGTGGCTCCAAAGCTTCGACACGGTTCTCTGCGACGGCGACGGTGAGTTGGGGGCAGCGCCATAGGTGCGAAAGAGAGCAAGGCAAAGTGTTTACAAATGTATAGCTTTGGCCAGGGTTGTCGCCTTGTTGCGAAGCTGGCCACTGCTTACATCAATAAATAAAGCTCAATTTGATCGTATTTTATTTGAATATTAAATAAAAAAGTTAAGTTTAACTATAGATTTGCGAAAAAAGAGAATTCCATTTATTCGATGATATTTTAAGAATTGTTATTTGCAATTTGAAATCTACATAAGAATTCAAGATTGTAGCAACAAAAAAATATATTCCATTTTAATTATTTAAAAAATCCTAAATATAGAAGAAATAATAATAATTATATATACATATTATATATAATTTAATTATAAACTGCAAGAGTATATCAACTGGCTTCCCGAAATTTGATTCCTTTCTTGTTTTTATAATTTGCAAATTCTTGCAATTTAAAAAAGCTACCAAAGGTGATATATTTTTAGCCAAAGCTCTACTAATAACCCTTGTTTTAAAATAAATTATAGATTTCAAGATTCTAATAAAAATAAAATACTATATCAGTCAATAAAGGAAGTTTAGTTAACTTGAAGGTCAAAGAAATGTTCAAAATATAATACATCAAATCCCTATTCCGATTTTCCCGCATTTACCAAAAGTCGTTACATTTCGAACTGACACAAAAGCTAAACGAATCAAATATCCATTTGAAACACACAAACACAGGCACCATTTGGCAGGATGACACGCCCATTGAGGGGGCACCGGATGTCCTGAATGCCCTGCAGCAGCGCCAGGGCAAAGCGGTCTATATCATTACGAACAATGGACTAAAGACACGCCAGGAGCTCTTCGAGCGTTCCCAAAGACTTGGCTTCCAGCTGCCAAGCGACCGACATATAATTTCGCCCACGACCGCCATAGCCGACTATCTTGTCCAGAGTCCAGAGTTCGATGCCAAGCGACACAAGGTTTATGTGGTGGGCAATGCGGCCATTGCACGGGAATTAAGGCAGCATGGCATCGACAGCTACGGAGCCGGTGAGTCGGAGGAACTTGCTCCGGGCGACAAGTGGCCGGACTTTGTGGCTCGCGAGTTTGGTAACCCCAAGGCAGCCGAGAGTGTGGGCGCCGTCGTGGTCGGATGGGATGAGTACTTTAGCTATTGCAAGATGGCTCGTGCCTGTCACATCCTTTGCAGCAATCCCAGCACTGCTTTCCTGGTGACCAACCGTGATGCCGTTCACAAGTATCCCGGCTTCTGTATCCCTGGCACCGGCGCCTTTGTAGCCGGCATTGAGGCTTGTGCAGAGCGAGATGCGCTGGAGATGGGCAAACCAAATCCCTTGGTCCTTGAGCCGCTGACAAAGTCCGGAGCATTGCGAACGGAGCGCACGCTTATGATTGGTGACTGGTAAGCGGGATTAAGACATCCTTTCATGGCACTTGTAATGAGTTCTTCCTCCCCTGTGCTCCTCCCTGTTCCTCCTCTTTTCCAGCCTGAAAATAGATGTCGGCTTCGCTAGTAATTGTGGCATGTTGTCGCTCCTGGTGGGCACTGGGAGATACAGCAGTCTCTCGGATGTCCAGCGGGAGAAGGGTAAGCTGCCCCAGCCAGATGTGTATCTCCCCCGATTGAGCGACCTCCTGTCATATTTGTGAGATATGCCAGGATCAGGCCTGGATCCCCCGCAGCTATTAACTAGTAAGGTTAATCTACTTTTGTTTACGACTTTTATTTTATTAGAATTTCTTTGTTTTTTTTTTAGTTCTGCTGGCAAGTAACACTCTCTGCTGGATATTTTTTGTATATTGGATTGGGTGCCAAATCGAAGGATCGAATATCTATCCAAGAACGAAACTAGATTGAACCTTTCATGTGTATATACAAAATTAACAATTGCATAAAAGACAATTAATAATAAAATTAATAAATAAAATCCACGATAAAAAGCGATTCTTCACTAACCATTTGAAGGTCTCAGGATGGATTTAAGTTATCGTTGACCTTCAATAACATTTGCTGAACATTTAACAATATATTTTTGTGGGCTTTGTGTGACTTATTTAAGTATCTTCTTATCGACTAATTATTAATCAGCAAAGACGGCATTTTCCTAACAATTTTTCCTATTTGTTCGTGATCCCAGTTTCCTTTTGCAGCAAACTAAATATATTTCTCAACTAAGCGATGTGCAAGCATTAAAATTAACATTAACTCGCAAGAAAGCAACTTAACTTATTGGCTAACTGTACAAATTAGAAAGGACACCCCCATTATATAGAGAAATTAATGCTCTATATATACTCAGGAGGTGTCCATTATAGCAAGTCCTCTGATATGTTAGATTTGAATCTGTTTTGTGTACTTTAGCAATTTAGCGCGCAAAGAAATCCCATTAAGCATTGTCGTTGTGTTGGTAGCAAATCAGAAAAAGAGCATAACTGAATCTGAACAGTAAAAAACCTCCTTATCCTGCTTGTTCCATCCCAATCCTTATACATCTTCCAGCTTTTCCTCCAGCTCTTAGTTGACTGCTCGCCGCCGGCGATCGCTTACTGATTTCTTCGAGGACTCTGTCTAAATTGCTAAAAGGTAACATCAGGTGCTCGCGTCCGGCGTGCTGGCCAGGATGCGTGAGCTCCGCGACAGGTAGCCGTACCAGTAGAACACATTGATCAGGAAGAACAGCAGCGGGAAGACGATCCTTGATGCTCGATCGATCTTCGACACGGAATTGTACTGCGGGGTGCGTTTCCCCTTTCGCCGGGCCTCCATCTCCTCGCGGCGATAATAGGACATCCTTCGCCTGCCCATATGAGGTGGACTGGACTGAGCAGCTGCAGCTGCCGCCGCCGCCGCCGCTGCAGCGGATGTGGTTGGAACCTCGTGAGCTCTGAGTTGTGTCTGCTCGTTGTCCTCCTCCTCGTCCGATGAGTAACCCACATGGGGCGGTCTTCCTTTCCTCCGCCGCCAGTCAAAGAAGCTCAGGAGTTTCAGGGACCACAGACCATGGCGACGATTTCGAGGAGCCCGATTCCTGGAGGTAAGCATGCCCAGGCGACTGCTGCCGGCCGAGTGAGGCGGTGGCATGCTGATCGCACACATGGACAGCGGAATGACCTCGTAGATCTTGGACTCGGTGCTATCCCGAAAGTCTGATTGCTGCTCTGTCTCTGACTCCCCGGACTCCGATTCTAGCTCCTCAATGATGAAGTAGCACTCTCCCGATCCGTATTTGGTAAAATAGTGCACCACGGCAAACTGTAGGATTGTGGCAAAGATGAAGGCAAACGAGAGGAACACAAAGAAATCCAGGGCCGTGGGATACGAAACCTTGGGCAGATCGGTTCGTGCCTCCAGGCCAAGGAAGGTCATCGTCAGCACGGTGGTAATCCCAAGGGAAACTCGGTCCGCGGTGGCCTCGCGGTTCAGCCAGAAGGAGACCCAACTGAGGACAACCAGCAGGCAGCAGGGACCGTATACCTGGATAAGAAAGTTGCCCATGTGACGCTGCAGGTGGAAATTTACCATCAGCATGGAGTATTCCGCTGGAAAAAGATATAATTTCATGATATACATCTCTAAATATTTAAAATTCCTCCACTTACATGGATGGTTGGTCTCCAGGGTGATGCTGCCGGCCAGATTTGTGGTGGATACTGCCCCACCGGCCGTATCCCGTCCAGTGCCGAAGGCACCTTTATCCAACTTTAGTCCTGTGCCACGGACATGCTGATTTTTGGCCGCCGGACCGGCAAACGTGGTCAGCACTTTGCTGGTGGGCCTCGGACGACCCCCAACATAGGGCAGATCCTTGTTGTTATACGGTCGACGCTGTGGTGTCGGTGCCGCCGCCTTGTACACGATGTCCGTCAAATTGCCAGCAGGACAATCAACCAAATCGAATTGCGACAACTTCATGTCCTCGGCTATGGCAACGGCAGGTCGTTCTTTGTTCCAGCGATAGATGACATCGGACGTGGTGTAGCCAACTGTTTCGATTATATTGTTTTTGTGTTTCGATTTTTGTTTATTCTGCTCAATATTGTCAATTAAGAGGGTGGCATGCGGAACTCAGTGGGTGTCCTGGGGAATGGGAACTGATACCCCTTCAGTTGGGGCTTACTTTTCTACTTTTATTTCAATTGGTATTAGAAATTACTGAGACATCTGAGGTACCTCTAGATGTTTTAAGTTTTATTTATGTAGATTTTTATATAAATAATAACAATATTACCTTTTATAGTCAGAAGCAGTGAAGGCCGACCCTATAATTCATGTATATTCTTTATCAAAATCAACAATTAACCTAATAAAAACTAGCATACGAAAGCTTTCCGAATGGTAATTAATGTTTTTTGACTGAGTTATGATATATTTTCTCTGCGAGGGTTTATGAAGTTATGTACCTTCCTTTCTTGTTAATGAATACTCTTTGTTTTTATAGAGCCATCACCCAGACGTTAGTAGAGTAAAGAATGTTTTAAACTAAATCTGATAGACACTAATCCTATAGTTAACTCTCATATCGCCTACCTAGACTAGGAGTTGCTACCCCTCACAGGTCTGTTCATTCAATCATTTACCAAAGCTATCTCACTAACCAGCAGCACCACCCACTATTTTTCGCCCCTCAATCACTTCCCTCACGTGTGTTGTTCAGTTATTTTATTTGGTTGTTGCTCGCTGCTGGCTGCTTCTCCAAAATGCACAAATTGCCAAACATTGCGCCATGTGTGAGGCAGGTTTACCCACCACCAGAAATCTCCCATCCGCACATCTCCATCCTGGCACCTGTCTCCATCGCTGCCGTCGCCACGTCTGTTTGGCAATCGCTGACTTTGGCAATATTTTGCGAGTTCAGTTCGCTCGTCGCATCAAATGGGAAATTGTCAACATTAAGCGGCTGGCAATATACGATGGGGAGACGCCGAGGGGTAATTGAATTCCTCAGTGCATACAGCCAGCATTATTCACAACAAATCGGAAGTAATAATACATTCCTAGCACAGGTTGGGGCGGAGGCTTGTTCATTTGCGATAAGCTGCCAAGGCAGTTAGCACCAGGTCTTAACAGGAAGGCAGAGAGACAGGAGGCAACACCATTCCTATTACACCCCCAGAAAAAAATAAATTGTTGAACAAATATTTAACAATGTAAATGTAGTTCACTTTTTGCCAGACAAACAAACATACATATGTGTGAATGTATTTCGTTGAATACTTTCTATTTAGCATTTGAATAGGGGGGAAATGTGATGGAAATGCATCAAATGCCAGGAGATTTAGTCATTGTTGTAGCCGGAAAATAATGGAAATGTCATATGCAGGGGAACAAGTGTGACGAGAGGAGGGTTCTGGGGTATTTTTGGTAAATGGTAATTAGAGTTGATGGCAGCATACATAATATACTAGAATTTTGTCCATTTAATTCCATTTTAGCAATTAATAAACAGAGTTGGATTTGTAAAAAAAATGCAGCTCTAAATCCCCCTCTAGTTCCCCACAACCACCAAGCCTTGTTAACTCTCTCACGGCTTTCAAACCGCATTAGGAAATGCCATTAAGCCATTACTTCATCTAATCCGCATCCATCATTCGGACGCATGGAAACCACTTCAACCTATCCGGCTCTTGTGCCATTTCCCATTTCCCCCTGCTTCAATTCAAAGCCCATCTTTCTCCCCACAGTCACATCCAATGTCACGGCATTTTAGCGCAATCCCCAGCTCAGTCTCGTCGTGGTCCTTGGACAGAACAAGTGGACATTTTGCCGAGAAGAACAAATCATATCAAAGCGCAATGAGCGGCAATTATGCATAATAATTACCATTGAGCCCACTGAGTTCCATATGCCCCACTTGTCAGCGCCTTTCTGTCAATGCCACCGTTATCAACGGATATACTCACATGAACCGAACTTCAGGGGACACTTTTGTATGTCCATGGGAAAATCGGCGAGATTCATGGGGCAGCCGGCTTTAATTGTCAGACGGCTGGAATATAGTACGCGTCCATTCTGATAGATCCGCACAAACTTATTTGGCGTGGTAATCGTGTGTAAATAGCTCTGCTTGCCATTGTAAAAATACGTATCCGGCTTCCAAATCCGCGCCAGCATCGAGACGCTCAATGCCAGCGTGTCCTGGGCACCCTCGAATGCGAGACGTTTATCCACCCAGGATTGCCGAAAATAACAGTCCATCGAGTAGGTCTGGAAATGGAGATGGAGAAAGGGAAATACAAGGAAGTCAGACAGGTGAAGGAGGAGGAGGTGATGACCCTGCAAATTGAACTGGCAAGATGCTAAAGGGTTGCCTGTTGAACTCACTTTCATGACTGAGACACAGGAAATAATAAAAGAAAAATATATAAAAATGTTACGTATACGTAATATTTTAAAGGGTTATGAAATATTACGTATACGTATCATTTGTATTATTGCATGTTATATTACTTAAATTTGTATTATGCCATTGAAAACTAATATAATAGAACTGAAATATAGTTATTTAATGTACTTACCATATCTACCTCTGATATGGGACCCATGCTGCGGACCATTATATCAACTTCCACAGTAGCTGGTGGTCCTAGAAAATGGAAAATAAAGTTTAGTGTTCTTTAAATACTATCCTAGATAAATTAAACTATTCACATATTAAAAAATATTCATAAACAGTAGTTTTTTCAATATATTACTGTAAATGAATAAGAATTTATTTGTCTATTTTATAGTACAGAAAACTCTTTAAGATTCAATGCCTTAAGTATAAAAATCATATGTTTTAAGGCTTGCTAAGACAGTATGGCATTTAAGTAATTTAAATCTCATTCTAATTTAATTTAAATTCCTAAATAAAATACCTCAAAACCTTGTCAAAAGCCTTTGCTCTACTAAGCTTAGCTCAGTTATGGAATATGGGCTTTTCTTTTGAACCGAAGGCCACACAAAATCCAACTATATAATCCACCTACCTTACTACCCATATATCGGTTTTATTCAACCATGAATATTCATATGCAAGTCGCGGTCCCTAAATGAAAATGTTAAATGCTCCTCCTCTGTGTGAACAATGACACTTAAGCCGCTTGGCAGACAGTCCCAAACCCCTTCGGTAGCTGCCAGCTTTCCAGCCTCCTGCCACCCATTTTTATCTAGCTTTTCTGCACTAATATGCAATTTTTCAGGTCCTAGATTCGCCTCCGTTCCCGAAGCGCCCTCGAAATTCTATTTTTTTTTCGTTTTTGTTTTTTGTATTTTGCCTATGCGAACAGTTTTTAATGACTTTGCTGCCGACGAGCTCAGTAGGCAAACATGCGTCGCGTTCGCAGGATGCGGATGTGCATTGCCACGTATCCTTTGAATCCTCTCCAGCTGGAGCCGGATGAAGAGGAATGGCAGAGGACACAGAGAGAGAGAGAGAGAAGCGGCCCATTCTTAATGAAGTGTTAAAAAACAATGTAATTTGGTCTTAAGCCATCGAGCGACACACAATTTTCGCCGCGTTAACCAAAATCACGTTAAGCCTTCTCCTCTCTCGCTTCTCCTCGAACCGAGCTGATGGCACTTTAAATTTCGAAAATATTTAAATTTTTATTGCTTCGACCATTTGCGAGATTGAAAGGAATCGTATTACCTCGAATTATACTCCATTTGGAGCAAATTGAAATGGTAGGCCCTTGAGTGGAAAAGCAATAAAATTGGTTTGTATGCAGGACAAATATTTGTCGGTTTCGACACTCACTATTTACCGATGGAGAGAGGCAATAATCAAGAGGCCTAGTGACTCGTCCTAGTCACCTTGGTGCCTGGTGCTTTGGTTTTCGTCAGTGATGTGTCGCCTGGCAGCGATTTCCGCTTCATTAAATGCTTCCGTTGAGCGGAAAATCTGCGAATCTGTGCTGATTACGCCGGCAAGACGACGGCGCGTGTATGCCCCCCACAAAAAAAAGGGTAAACAACATTTTGGGATTTGACATAGACAGGATTTGCTAGGCGGTTTTTGATCGGTAAAAGATGGAAAGGTAAGAGACTTGGGTACATATATCCCTCGAAATACTTATAAGATCTCACTAGACTTCTTTCCAAACTTCTTTTCATCTAATTAACATTTTTAAAGTATTCTCTACTCACCACCAAAGTCCGGTCTTATGCTATTGTCATAGCCACGCAGTAGATTATCCAACAATTCGGATATATTTGCATGATTATTACTCTGGGTGAGCCAGGCTGACGACAGTCCGGTGGCAGTTGAAGATGAGGATATGTGCGACATGGAGCCCATCTCATCCAGGCGATGGGCATCGCCGCGTCCCTTGATACTGCCGGCCATGACCCAGCCGGATCCTGAACCGGGGCTGATGGACAAATGCCAGGCATTTGTGTAAATGCTAAGCATTAAAACGCAGCAGCTAATCAAAAGTTTAAATATGCGCAAGTTTAAGCGTTGTCCTTGGTGCCAGGAGTTGTTCCTCCTCCTGCTCCTGCTGCTGCAGTCAGGACTTGGACTTGATGCCCCATCTCCGATGAGGTCACTTGATGCATGGCCACAGCTGGAGAAGGAGACGGACCCGGAGCCGGATGCCACTGCTGTTGTTTCTGTTGTTGTGCACATATTGTTCGGTTTTGTTTGTTGTTTGTTTCGCTGGCTGCAACTATTGTTTAGTCGTCCGATGGCCAAGTCTTCAGCCATTGCTGCTGGTCTAATCTACACATCCGTTTGTCCAACATTTTGTCGTCCGAACTGGCCTCTCCATCGCTCCTCCCAATGCTCTATCCATTCCTGAGCCCCAGCTCCTGCCGCTGACAGCGAGGAGGTCCTGAGTGTGTCTGCGTGTGTCCTGTGTTGACTCGCCTCTTTGCTCGTATTTATTCTCATTTATGCACCGGAAGTTGCACTCGGTTCGAGAGCAATTTCATAAGGCGGCGGCTTCTTCTTAATTTCTGTGATTCCTTTCAGACTAGCATTAGTTCCGTTTGTCTTGTCTTGTCCTGACCCATCCAGTCCTGTGTAGTCGTCGCTTTTGCTGTTTGGCCAGGCGATGAGTTTCCTTAAATTTGTTTTTTTTTTTTAATTGCTCGAACTTGTTGGACTTTGCAGTTGGCAGTTTTTGATTGGCCAATTAGCCAGCGGCATCAGTTATCAGCTAAAACTATTGAGATAATCGCTTGGATTCCGAGGCAATGGTTTCATCATTTCTTTGTTTACCTTTAATAATTAGTTGTTAAATTGTTGAAATATATGTTAAGGGTTTTTGATCAAGTATAGAAATTTTGTAGTATTAGGAAATACATTTTTAATCTAGAAGTTTAGTAGCACTTTGCACTTTATAGTTATTCTTTAATCATTTATTTATATTTTATTATGTTCAACACGGCGCATGCGTAATATTTAATATTCAAAGTCAAGGAGATTGTATAATTATATTTGCAATTGTTAAAATTGTATAGTTATTTAGTTATGCGTAATGTAGTGTTAGTAGTTTTAATAATTGGTTTATAAATGGTAATATGGTTTCCTTTCTGACAACATGGCGTATGCGTAATATTGTATTAATAATTTATTTTTCGGGAATTCCATAAGATAATTAATTAGCTTAGGGAACCGTCTTACGTATCCTTTTTGAAAGTTCCTTGCTCCCTTTCTTACAACACACTTCAATCGTGACCACACGGCGTATGCGTAATTTCGAGTGTTAAAAATTGCGCACTGGGGAAAACTCGAAGATTAATGAGACCCACTAGCAGGAAGAAAAAAAATATATAAAATTACGATGGCCTCATATTTTCACTGTACGCAAAAAAAAATTAAATATTAATCTTGACTGAACTCTTCGGGTTTTAATTGATGGCAAGTTATTAAGCGCAAAATATGCCAGGGAATCGGAATCCGGAATCCGATGCCGCTGCTCCTCTAACCAGCTCGTCAGTCGGTCGATTCGTTAATGAAAAATCAACCGGAAAAGTCAAAGGCGCTGTGTGAATAATGCTGACTATGAAGGCACATCACCAAGGCTGCAAGACAACATCTCATTTAATTATGCAAAAAAAAAATAAAGGGGAAAAATATAATGCGACCCCATAACTTAATTATGTCTCACCCACTAACCTAATTTTATGCATGGCCAATGCCGACATCCGGACAACCGACAACAACAACCGACACAAAGGCATCTATGCATCTCCTCATCAGCACATCCGCATCAGGTTGCGATAACTATTTCCAATACTTTGGAGTGGTCCCCTTGGCCACTTGCATGTTGCCTTGCCTTCAAGTCGGCCGTCTGATATCGGGGCAGCCTCATCTTGGTGCATCTTGGTGCATCTTCGTGCAGCCTCGACGTCAATGCTACTTGCCACTTGATTAGACGCTTGTGTTGGCTAATTATGGCCTGGCTTGAATTTTCCTTTTGATTTCGATTCGGATTTTGGTCTGGCACAAAGGAAATTCGCATTATTTTTAGTTGATTTGTCACACAGCAAGGCTGCTAAAAGCTGGCTTTATATATTTCGGAATTCAAGAACGCTACAAGGTTAGTGCTTTCCCTTTTCATTCTTCTTTTTTTGGGGATTGCTTTCATCAGCCTATCAAGTGTTTTCTTTTGGTGCTGTCTGCTTTACATCCTGGCTAATTATCTTGGTAACATAATCCTCCAAAGACGGGAGTTATATACATTTTTGTCCAGAGAAATCAGAGCCATATACTGGGCTGTTAATTACACTCTTCAGTTTTGGGAACAAATTGCTCTCAGAGAGCTTCCAAAAATTTGCCATTGCTTTTGGCTTATAATTTCTGGCTTCGCCTTTTCTTGGCTGGTGCGAACGGGTTAAAATTAAATGCAGGGAATACCCATTTTCTGCTCCCACACACACACAGGATGCTTCTTGGTTCTCTGGCAGAGAACAACTTGAGCACGTTCAACGCATTTTCTCATCAACGTCGAAATTGCACTCAATTTTTGAAGGCTGCTGACGGTCCTCTTCTCGGCTTCCACTACCCTTATTTCCTATCCCTCGCCAGCCAGCGAATATTTGTGTGATTTTTTTTTTGCTTTTTGAAGGAAATGCATTGTTAGGAGGCTTTCCCAGAAGGGTATGGAAAGTATCATGGTTGAATTAGGCAACTTTTTGTGAATGATTAAGATTTGAGGAGGAGAAAATATTTACTTTGAGCTTGGAGTTTGATGTTTTGAGACTATTAAGTAAAGAAATTAAATTAAAGGACGAATACAAAACTCTTTAGAAATTGTTAACTGAAGTTGCAACTTTTCCAAGGAAGCAACTTTTTCGGACGACAATCTGTCTTCAATTTAGATATTGACAGGCAGTGAAAAACTACAAAATTAATTACCTAAAAATACAAGTAAAGGGTATACCCTAAGCCAGCTGTATCCTTTAATAAAATCAAAGAGTTTCCTTTCCTTTGTTGATGTCCCAGGCAGCTGCTGCCTATATCCATGCATCTGAGTATGATGGGGTCGTCACTATATATTTTGTGCATCTGCAGAAGCGCCAGCAGCAGGTGGTTTAAATGTGACTAGGAAGGCACTACTTTATGCCATCTGCTCATGGAATATATACTCATACATAATATATTTTAGTTCAATTTTTTAGAGAGCCAAGAAGTGACATCTTTTGCGTGTGAAATGGGATTGTCAGGGCCGGTGGCTTTCCGCAAGTTTTCTAGTTAAGCTAAGTAGCATTAAAGCCGCAATTTAATTAAATGCAAGTCAAAAAAATTTACTCTGTGGTCAGCTCAGCTGGTTCTGGGGGCCCCTTCCTTTTGGTTTCGGTGAACTTTATGGCCCCGGGCCAATGCAATTGTTCTAATTATTTCACAGTTGAGCGACAGCGACCGGCACGTGCCCAGCTCCCAGTCTCCGGAATTCACGATCCCGTGTCCGGATTTTACAGCCCACACCCCTCGACCCTCGTGGACTGATTCACGTTTTGCGGAAATGTTTACCGAACGGAGGAGCAGCTCTGGCGAGGATTAGGGAAGCGTGAAATGCAGCTGAATCGCTGGGGTCGAGGCATTATAATGCACAAATGTTTGCACTTGTCTCCGCTAAGTGGGTTCCCTTGTTCACAGATACCCAGATTTCGAGGGCACAAAAGCTAATGTGGAATTTTCAAACTTATTGCAGGACCTTCGATGACCAAACACAAACTAAATTTATTGGAGTTTGAATAAGGAAGTGGCAGTAAGACTGTTAATGGAATTAAAAACAGAGAGTACATATAGTAAATTGAATGAAGAATTGTAAAATGATCACAGAACAATATATATCTATAGCTAGCTACATAATGGCATTATTTTCTGAACTATTAAATGGTTCTTTAGACTCTGACTTTGTAAAAATTGTAAATTCGTATTGAAATAGATTCAAATAAAACTGATGATGCAAATTCCCCATATGTTTGTCATTAAAAGCCATCATGTTTGACCCACTGCTGGGAACCAAAGACTCATGTATAATTTTCAAACATTCCATTTGTCCAAGCCCCCAGACTTTGCAGTTGGGCAAGTAAACAAAAACATTTCAACTTACTTGCAAATTTAATGAACACAAATGCAGCCGAGTCAGACCAGTAACGAGAGAAGATATAGAAAAAAATACGAAAAAAAAACTGGGGAAATGGGAAATGTAGAATGGAAAAGCCAAGTCCACACCGCTCTCCTTTTTGATATAATGACACACAAAACGCATTCGGACGACGCTTAAGTCAGCTCCGGGTGGTGGAGGTGGTGGTGGTGGTGGTGGTGCTTGTGGCACTGCCTCACCAGACACGCCACAATCTTGACTTGTGGGTCAACCAACAAATCCCCAAACCAATTCAATAAGAGCAATAGAAGCGAAGGAAGGACGCCCAAGTGTACATAGTAGAGAGAAGGCCTCGACTGCAAAAAAAAAATCTACAAAATTCAATTAATTTAAATGCAGTTTTTTGTGTGAGCCTGTATCCTTATGCTATACGTGTACAGGGGGCAACAATCCAGGAAAATAGAGGAGGGTGCCCGGCCGGATACTTTACAATGTAAATCTCAAGAGTGCGATACCCCAACTGCTGCTTTGCATTTTTTCTATTTGAGAGATGTTTTGTGACGGCTTCAACGAAAAAAATGTAAGTCTTCTTCAAACCACAAAAAAAAAGATAGAAAAGATGCTAAAGATACAGATCCTTTGGAAGGTGAAATAAAAGAAAAAGATGTCTAAGGCGATTTAAGTTGTCTTTGCAATCTAAAACTAAACCATAATTAAGAGACAGTGAAATTATTTACAGGAGAAGTTAAAATAAAGATAAATAAGAACGGAAACAATTAATAATATTAGTTCTAAATTAAAGCTGCTGAAATTTATAATCTTCCAGGAAATTATAATCTCCTACAAAGATATACTTCTATATAAATTCTAAAGAATATTTTTTTAGCTTCAGTTAAATATATCTTGGACTTCCATTAAGATATTACTTAAGTTCCAAACGTATTTAAACTTTTAACATATTTACATAAATGTAAAACCTATTTTAAAACAAATCCAAAACCCATAAACTTGTTTCATTTTCTGAACTAAAATTAATTTACTCGAATTTATACCGCAATCGTATTTATATTTTGTATTTTTCCCCATCAGCTCCTCCCAAATCGATTCCCTTTGGAGTAAATAGTTTTTGTTAATAGCTCGAATTCTTCCTTCTGCTGCTCTGTGTGGGTTGACCAGAATCCTCTGGTGGATTATTTTGCGGGCATTTGTGTAAATTTTGTGCCCTCGCCTGCTGCCTCATGGAAAATTTATGATTCTCTAATGCCCGTTTAAATCAGCGATAATTGCACTTTATTTGCACTCAATTGTAGACAATCTGCGTCATCCAATATGGTATTTCAGATGTGTCGATTATGTCGCAGTATTTGTTGCCATCGAAAATGTCATATTTGTGGTTTATTGTACATTTTTAGCAGAGCTTCTGACCGCATTTCAATTGATTTTTAATATGTGTTTATTATACCCTTGCAGGGGGTTATTATTGTTTTAAATTGTTTTTAATGAGTCATTTTCGAACCCATAAATCATATATATTCTTGATCAGCATTGACAGCTTTAAAGCTTGGTCATAAAAAAATTTTTCAAAATTTTTCAAGGACACAAATTATCAAAAAAAAAAAAAAAGTAATTGCCACAAGTCATATACAATCCAATTCCCAATTTAAATCCTAATCAATTAACAATAAAATATGGAGAAATAAATGCTTTTTTGACTTCAACTACAGTCCCTGAAATAATTGCAAATTGCAAGAGTATATAAATCTCGGCTTCCCGAACTTGGCTTCCTATCTTCTTTTGGTTTGTATTTTATTTACTCTTTATAATTACAAATTAAATTATTTCAATTAAGTATTCCCTTTAATGTACTGATTAATGGTGTCTAATTACTGATATCAGTTTTTAAATATTTTATTTGAAAATCGTGCATGAATTATCAAACCTCGCTAATTAAGTTGATTTGGACAGTTTAATTGGCGCAAAATGAGGGGGGGCAGAGGGATAGCGGGGTTAGGCAATTACGGGTTGACAGTTCAATTAGGGCCCGGTCATTTGAGTTGGTTAGAAAAAATCAACCGACTTGCGTTTTGCCGCGAATCAAAGTTTTATGGGACTTCAAACAGCTGAAGCCCAGATGTTGACAATTGCGTATACGCCTCGTTGGCTTTGCGGGGAATTGCATAATAATTATATAATGTTGTTTGATTAGTTGGGAATCGAAGAGATTACGTTTGTATTTTATTGAGGGAGAAAATCGTTTTTTATTAGCATTTACATTAGTTATTAAAACTAACACTTTTACGAATATATTAGGCACGAAATTTTAACATTGTTCAAGTGTTATATTTGATTCGATTAATCTTTTATGTTTAAATTGTTTTTAGATGTTAATTATGTTATTTTTGCATACGCCATGTCATATTAATTATATTTTATTATATTTAAAATAAGTATTATATTGTAACGTTAAAAGATTTTGCTTTAATTTGTTGCTTAAGCCTTTGTAATCAATTAAAGTATTTAAATTTTGTGGCTTACAGCTTTCATATTATTTGTTAGGAAGCATTTATAATATTTTTTAATAGCAGCTTAAGGTTTTAAAATGGTTAATTAATAAGGCTTTATCCCCTATTTCCAAAGATTATTTTAAGATTTTTCTTGTTCACTTTGCACAGAATCCAACCCTCTTTCCGAAATACTTAAAATTCAGCTGTGTGTTATTTCAGCCTTTGGCCATGGGTTGCACTCTCTAATCGTACCCAAAATACACACTGAAATCTCTAGGCGAAGATAAATAAACTATAGGAGACCAATCAAGGCGAAAACCAAACCGAATCCAATTGAAACTGAAATGAAACGCGAACCCAGAGAGACACAGCCGGAGGAGATTCGGAGATACGTCAAAACGCGCCAAGCGCGCAACGCAGACTGCGCCGAAACGATATTGAGTCCGGGCCAGAAGATTGAACTGGGCGGCCACGCAGAGGACATGCAAAAGGCGCAAAATCACTAAAGCCAGCGACGTGCCCACCCCGGCTCAGGAATCCATTAACACCACCCAAAGGGGTTGTAGGAGGAGGTCGTGAAGGAGATGGAGGAGCACTAGGAGGAGGAGATGTCGCCCACCCATCTTCGTCTGGCTTTCATTCATAAATCCAACTTGCACTTTTGTTTACGCCACCAAGTCCTGCGCAGGCGTCTGGCCAAACCACCTGTGGCTCATTGGGCCAAATGCCTTTTCCTTTTCCCTTTTTTTTGGCTTATAAGTAAAGATGTCAGTTTGCCTGTTGGCCCAAAAATTTGACTGCCTCTGTCAATCCAAATTGGCAACTTGATGGCTGTCCCCAAATTTGGTTCTAATAACTTAATTGCCTTTGTTATTTTTTTTGGGGGCTATAAAAGGTTGAGACTTTTGGCCAAAAGGTATGAAAGTGCTCAGAATGATGGATTTGGCTTTGTATAGACTGATTGTCTTCAATCTGCTTCAGCTCAATTGGAAGAGTGTGATGGTTTTTCATTGCTGGTCCTTGGACGGTGAGCAAAGAACTTTTCGAGAGTTCCCTAAGGGCTCTTATTATTTAAATATTTAGAAGCTCTTCCTCTGGCTGAGATGCTGAGTGGAAATGACATTTATTCGCAATATATTGACCTGCAACAAGGCCATGAGCATTTGGCCAATATACACAAGGAGTATTTGGACAGTGACTTGGTCAAATTGGCTGTGTTTTTGGACTTGAACTGTGAGAAAGCTGAGCTTATTACAAATCAGGTTGGACTTTAGTATAAGTTATTAAACAAAAATTAAATTTAAACTATTCACAGTCCAGTCGTGCCCGTCTGTATAATAATAATCTCCATTGGCTGCTCTACGATCAGGCTGGGAACTTTACCAAATTAAGACAGCTCTTTGGGGCTGCTAATCTTAGTTTGAATGCTGATGTGACCTATGTCAGGCAGCAGGAAGAGGATCTATTTATCCTTTATGATGTATACAACAAAGGCAGCCACTTGGGTGGACAGCTAAACATAACCATTGACCAGAGTCTTCAGTGTAACAGTAGTCACTGTCAGGTGAAGGAATACCTAAGCAATCTGCATGAAGGAACTCGCCTGCAGCAGCGTCTAGACTTGTCCAGCATCACTTTTCGATTGGCTGCCTTGGTGGGTTAATCAAAAGAATATTTAGTAAATTAATTAATAGCTAAAATTATGCTTTTTCTGTACAGGTTTCTGTGCTACCCATTAACTCAAGCGAGGACGTTCTCCTAGAGTTTCTCAATAGCGAAAGGGACTCCCATATGGACTCCATTTCTCGAATTGGCTATCACCTCATTCTGCATACTCAAGAAGTGCTGGGTTTCAAGTAAGTCGTAACAAAATAGGGAATAATAATATCATATTCAAAGAAATCTTCCAGGTTGGACTACATTTGGTGTGGTACCTGGAGCGTTCAGGATGCTTTCGGTGGCGCCATTGGCCTGCTGGTCAATGAATCCGCAGAGCTCTCTACTTCTCCTTTTGTCCCATCTTGGAATCGCCTTCATTACGTGCATCCCATGACGGAACAGGCTCCCTTTCGGGCTGTGTGCATGTTCCGGACACCACACAATGCTGGGATTAAGGCGGCTGTGTTTCTGGAACCCTTTACACCCACCGTTTGGTTTGCCTTTGCAGGTTTGCTGCTCTTTGCTGGAATCCTGCTATGGTTGATCTTCCGACTGGAGAGGCAGTGGATGCGACGGTGTCTGGAGTTCATGCCCTCGCTGCTCACCAGCTGCTTGATTAGCTTTGGAGCTGCCTGCATTCAGGGTTCTTATTTGATGCCCAAGTCATCGGGTGGAAGATTGGCCTTCATTGCCGTGATGTTAACCTCGTTCCTCATGTACAACTACTACACCTCGATAGTGGTGGCCATGCTGCTTGGATCGCCAGTGCGATCCAATATTCGGACCATCCAGCAGCTGGCTGACAGCTCTCTGGATGTGGGATTCGATACGGTACCATTTACCAAGACTTATCTGGTGGTGAGTTGATCAAGTCTGCTTCAGCTCCAAGATATTTGATGTATATGATATATAGTCTTCGCCACGATCGGATATTCGTAGCCTGTACAAGCAGAAGGTGTTGAGCAAGCGGGATCCCAATAGTGTTTGGCTTTCTCCCGAGGAAGGTGTGATCAGAGTGCGCGATCAGCCTGGATTTGTTTATACCTCGGAGGCCTCCTTCATGTATCATTTTGTGGAGAAGCACTATCTGCCGCGTGAGATTTCCGACCTGAATGAGATTAGCCTAAGACCCGAGACCGCTGTCTATGGTATGATCCATCTGAACTCCACCTATCGGGAGATACTCACTCAACTGCAAGTGCGGATGCTGGAGAGTGGCATCACCTCGAAACAGAGCCGATTCTTTAGCAAGACCAAGTTGCATACCTTTTCCAATAGCTTTGTGATCCAGGTGGGCATGGAGTATGCAGCTCCCTTGTTTTTGTCCCTTTTGGTGGCCTACATAATGGCACTGATGATACTCCTGCTGGAAATCTCATGGGCGCGTTATGGCAGAAAGAAGCTAGCCAGCGTCTTTCCACAGAATTAGTTCAAGAATACATCAAAATATGTAGTAGGTAAGTTTCCCTTTCTTTTTTTCCTAAATTAACTTAAATTGTTCAGCAATTGGTATAATTTTCATATCATTTGGAATTGGGGGTTGACAGGTTGCTGTCGTCAAACCATTAAGTTGTCAAGTCAAGTTCAAATCCTTTCCATATTGATTATGTGTCTTATAGAGGCATTATGTGTACCCTATAAAAGCTGAAGTTTGCTCATAATCAGTATTATTAATTATCAAGTTATTTGTCCGAGAATCAGCCATGCTAGAGCTGCACAGTTTAATTTTATACAACTTTCTACAAATGGCTAAGTTAAGTCATATCTTAATATTGCACTGCTGGTCTATGGACTGTGAGTGGGGTTATCTGAGGTACATAATTTGTTAATATTTTCTAGGATTTTCTCATTTCAGCACTCTTGCACTTGGCACAGATGACACAAAATACAAATGCTTTTATCCAGTTTGAACAATTAAACCCAGACTTTCTACCAACTAACTTACTTAATAATCAAATACTTAAGTTGGGCGTTTTTTTGGACCTCAATTGCAATGATAGTGAAGTTGTTTTGAATGAGGTAAGAAAGTTAAAGGTTTTTAATACTAAATTTAATCAAATTTAATTTGTTTAGGCTAGTGCAAGGCGTCTTTTTAGCCATCATTATCATTGGCTTGTCTACGATCGATCTTTAAATTTTTCTCGCTTCAAAAAGACTCAACTCTATATTGATGCTGACCTTACTTATTCAACAAATAATCTTTCCAATGGGAACTTTATACTCTATGATCTCTACAATAAGGGACTACAGCTAGGAGGAGAGTTGAATGTAACCGCAGATCGAGAAATTTCATGTAATAAGCAAGAATGTCGTGTCGAGAGATATCTTAGTGATTTATATACCAGGAGTTCTCTGCAGCACAGAAAGTCATTTACTGGACTGACTATGAGAGCCACTGGTGTGGTAATGGAAGCCTATCAATGAATCCCCCAAGAGTTACTATATTTTTCCCTCTTTATAGATCAATGCTCTGCCTTTGAACTCCTCTAAAAAGGATATATTTGCTTTTCTAGAGTCCCAGGATCAAATTCACTTGGATACCTATGCCCGTTTTGGTTACCAGTCCCGTCAACCCCTAAGGGAAATGTTGGACTGCAAGTAAGGGGGGTTTTATAAGGCAAAAGAATCGATTTCTTAAAAGCTTTATATTCCGTAGATTTAAGTACACCATAAGAGATCGCTGGACAGATGGCAATGTTACTGGCGGCATGATTGGCGACCTTATTAACGGCCTGGCGGATATATCAGTAGCCCCTTTTATTTATTCCCTTGATAGGGGCATCTTTCTGCAGCCACTCACCAAGTTCACCGTGTTCCGGGAAATCTGCATCTTTCGTAACCCCCGATCCGTGTCCGCTGGGCTAAGTGCAACCGAGTTCCTGCAGCCCTTCAGCGGAGGAGTCTGGCTAACATTTGCCCTATTACTCATGCTAGCTGGTTGCCTGCTCTGGATCACCTTTATGGTGGAGCGCCGTCAGAAATGGAAACCTTCGCTACTGACCAGTTGCCTGTTATCCTTCGGGGCTGGTTGCATTCAGGGAGCCTGGCTTACTCCCAGGTCGACGGGCGGACGAATGGGCTTCTTTGCCTTGATGGTGACCTCATTTCTCATGTACAACTACTACACCTCGATTGTGGTGTCCAAGCTGCTGGGACAGCCGGTGAGATCCAACATCCGGACAGTGCAGCAGTTGGCGGACAGCAGCCTGGAGGTTGGAATCGAACCAAATGTTTACACCCGCGTCTTTATAGAGACCTCCGAGGAAAAGAGTGTTCGTAGTTTGTATTTAAAAAAGGTGGCTGGAAGCAAACGCTCACCGGATCAGATTTGGTTGTCCACCGAGGTTGGAGTGCAAGCTGTTAGGGATTATGTGGGGTTTGTATATATAACCGGTGTGGCTACTGGCTATGAGTTTGTAAGGAAGTACTTTTTGCCCCACCAAATCTGCGAGCTCAATGAGATTTCTTTGCGCGATGCCACGCACACTCAGACCCACACGGTGGCGGTGAAGGGTTCGCCATATGCAGAGTTATTTAAGTTAAAGTGAGTAGAGTTGATCTATATATTTCCACCTTTATATATCCTTATTATATATCCCCTTCAGTGACCTACGCATGATGGAGACCGGTGTACATATCAAGCACGAACGCTATTGGATGAGAACCAAGTTGCATTGCTACCAGCACAATCACACGGTAGCTGTGGGTCTGGAGTATGCCGCTCCCCTGTTCATCCTGTTGCTAGGTGCTATGATTTTCTGTGTGGGCGTGCTGGTACTGGAGGTCATCTGGCACCGGCACACGGCCATACCCTAAGGTAAGAGTAAACCAGACCCCTCTTTCAAGGGTATTGGCAAATTGTCCAGCGATTTGGGGCAATTTAAAACAAACAAAACAACGCAAAATGTTGACAACTAAAGTGGTCCTGGAAGGGGACTTTATGGCACTATAAAAAGGGGAATCCCTCATTCAAAAGTTAAAGAGCCAAAGTCAACAATGCAGCTGGTGCAGTTGGCCAACTTTGTGCTGGACAATCTCCTGCAGTCACGAGTCGGATTCATTGTCATCTTTCACTGTTGGCCAATGGATGAAAGTGGGCAAGGCAGATGTTACGATTTCTAATACTTTTAAATAAACTTTCCTTTTAGGTCTCCAGTTTGCTTTGCAGTTTGTCAACCCCATTCATCCCAACCTTGTCTATCATCAATATGTTCAAATGGAAGGAGTCCAAGATTGGTCACATCTCGAGCTTAGTTACCTAGAACACCTGCAGCCAACTTTAGCTATTTATGTGGATCTAAAGTGCGATCAGGCTGAGGCATTGCTAGAGGAGGTTTAAATTAGAGTAATATGTAAAGAAATATATTCAAGTTAATGTTTCCATAGGCTAGTCTAAGGCAACAGTATAACCAACACTATCATTGGCTCTTGCATGGCAACCAGTCTTCTCAGGATTTCTATAATTTCTTTTCACCCTTTAATATATCTATTGATGCTGATGTCAGTTATGTTCAGGAATACGATCAGACGGACAATACCACGGTTTTGTATAATATTTACGATGTATACAATAATGGCAAGATTATAGGAGGCCAGCTGAACATGACAGGGTCCTATGAGAGCACCTGTGGCCTTAAGGAATGCTTAAAGACTAGATATCTTAGTACCCTGCAAATGCGTTCAAAGTATGGTAATAGAGAACAGCTCGAAGATGTTGTACTGAGGGGTAAGAGTTCAAAAATATTTAACTTCTATTTTAATGTGTCTTCTCCCCTAGTGGCTACGGTGGTCACACAGCGACCTCTTACCTGGTCAGAAAATCAACTCATAGACTTCTTGAGCCAGGAGAATGAAACCCACATTGATTCCCTGGCCAGATTCGGTTTTCACCTGACCCTAATCCTAAGAGATTTACTTCACTGCAAGTCTGTTGATTAATCGGTAAAATGAAACCCCAATTTAAGTTTATGTTCTTTCCAGAATGCGGTTCATATTCTCTGATAGTTGGAGCAAGTCGGATATTGTGGGAGGTTCAATTGGCGCATTGGTGGATCAAACGGCGGACATCACGGCCACGCCCTCCTTGGCCACCGAGGGCAGGCTCAAGTATCTCTCAGCCATTATTGAAACAGGCTTCTTTCGATCGGTCTGCATTTTCCGTACTCCCCACAATGCTGGCCTCCGTGGAGATGTTTTCCTGCAGCCATTCAGTCCCTTGGTTTGGTATCTTTTTGGTGGAGTTCTTTCGTTGATTGGTTTCCTTTTGTGGATCACATTCTACATGGAGTGCCGGCGGATGCGACGTCGCTGGCGATTGGATTACCTGCCCTCGTTGCTTAGTACATTCCTGATCAGCTTCGGAGCAGCCTGCATCCAAAGTTCAGTGTTGATACCACGCTCTACGGGTGGCAGGTTGATATATTTTGCCCTGTTCCTGATCAGCTTCATTATGTACAACTATTACACTTCGGTGGTGGTTTCCTCCCTGCTTAGTTCTCCTGTCAAATCCAAGATCAAGACAATGCAGCAACTGGCGGAGAGTCCATTGACTGTGGGCTTGGAGCCGTTGCCTTTTACCAAAAGCTACCTTAATGTGGGTTTAATTCTTTATGCCTTAATCTTGCAAACTTTTAAGAATTTAAATTGTTATTTCAGTATTCCAGGCTACCCGAAATCCATTTGTTTATAAAACGCAAAATTGAGCCACAGGCTAAGAACCCACAGCTTTGGCTGCCCGCTGAGGAAGGTGTTCTCCGGGTGAGGGACAATCCTGGTTATGTCTATGTCTTTGAGACCTCATCTGGCTATGCCTATGTGGAGCGATATTTTACAGCCCAGCAGATATGCGATTTAAATGAGGTTTTATTCCGACCCGAGCAGCTGTTCTACACGCACTTGCATCGCAACTCCACCTACAAGGAGCTCTTCAGACTTCGGTAACCTAAAGTATTTCAGAATCTCTGATAGTCTTCCTTATTAATCTCCCATTTCAGCTTCCTCAGAGTTTTGGAAACTGGTGTCTATCGGAAGCAGCGAAGCTACTGGGTGCACATGAAGCTGCATTGCGTGGCCCAGAACTTTGTGATAACCGTTGGCATGGAATATGTGGCACCGCTCCTCCTCATGCTGATCTGTGCCTACATCCTGGTGGTGCTCATACTCTTAATCGAGCTGGCCTGGAAGCGATTTCTCACCCAACCCCTGCCTACCTATAGCACATAGCGCTTTAAAATCCCTTTAAGCTGCAACACAACTATATAAATATATATATATATACATATTTGCAAGAGAAAATAAAAACACTGCGTTAACTTTTCGCATCGCGAAATTATGCAGGGGCCAACGCTTTTCCCCGCTTCCTGTTTTCCAGCTCTCACGTTTTACCATTCATCCGCTTTTCCCGCCCGAAAATTGCAACACGCCTCGTTAAGCGGAGGGATGGCTACAGGATGGAGGATATAGGGGCAAGGATATGGCTGGTGGCCATGTTTTCATGCGATTTTCGTATTTGCATTAAAAACTTTTCGTGTTTGGCGGTTACTTTTTATTCTCCATTTTCACTTTTGGCAATGATTTTATTCACTCTCCTCAGTCCATTTTATTTGCATTTTAATGTCGACATTCGAACTGGGAACTTTTGTGTTCTGGTCTCGTGTGAATTTTTGATAGCTGAAGTCTAACAGGCCTATTAGAAATAGATAAATGTTCAAGGGTTTTCCCTTCCGCTTTTTCCATCATAGTTTTTCTTATGACTCAATCATTCTGCGCTTCTCTGTGATTTATGTTGTTTTAATGGTTTCTGCCCTTGGCGACAGATATTTGGAGGGATATTGATGACAAAATCACCAAAGGTTGAGAAATACGAGAAATAGCCAAAGATCTTAATAGAAAATAAGTATAGTTTTCCCAGATTAACTTAAATATATCAGCAAGAAAAGAAAACTAACTTCGAAAATGCCAAACGAATTATAACTAAGGAAGAAGTATTTAATTCATTTGGAAAGGTTTACTGTGTTTGTTTTTATTAAAATGCTACCGTATTGGGCTTAAATATTTTAAAAATTGCCTCTAAGAAAATGTCAAATGTATTTATTCTAGGGACAATAAATAAATGTTTTTATATGCAAATTTTTTTGCTAAATCATAGTTTTTTAAATCGCATAACTAAGCCAAAAATGCATTTTCATTGTGTTAGAAGCTTCTGCTTAAAATTATATCTTTCAAGATTATAATAAATATGTAGGAAAATTAAGGGTCTGTTGATTAACTAAGTTATTCTGTAAACTTAGATTATAAGTTGTAAATATTATTAATACAAATTGCTGAATCACTTTGAATTAAAATAAAGTAATGGAATCTATGCCAATATAGAAATGAATTGCAAAATAAATGCATGCACAGCTGATTATATATCCAGGCCTGATCCATCCAATAGCAAATATATACAAGATATAATAGTCATGGTAAAGACTTACCCGAGTAGAGGACACGTCATCGATTAAATTCATCCAGTGTAGAGTTACTTTCCTGGTGACTCCAATTAGGCTTCGCATTGTATCATCCACGTCAGCTTCTTCCTGGTTATCCATTGCTCAGATGATATTTTTGGTTTCCAAGGCAATCACTATCACTTTCACTATCACAATCGATGTTATCGCTAGGTACCCCTAGGACAGACTGAAGCCGGCGGGCCTTTGGTGCCTCTATTTATACTCGCCGAGCAGAGCAGAGCAGAGCAGAGCAGAGCAGAGCTGAGCAGAGCAGAGCAGGGCAGAGCAGAGCAGAGCAGAGCAGAGAAGAGCAAAGCAGAGCAGAGCAGAGCAGAGCGAGTGGCAGCGAGTGGGAGCGAGAGAGTGAGTGAGAAAGAGTATGGCTAAAGCGGGAGGCCACTGGAGCTACACACTGAGTGATCGAGAGAGAGGGAGTGTGGGAAAGAGGGAGAGAGGGCGCTGGAGTAAATGTTGTTTACAGGGAACTGCATAAAATGTGTGTGTGTGTTTTTGCACCCTAGTTATGCTGTTTAAGTTAATCAACATTTTAAGTCTTTAAGGGCTGTGTAACTGACACAAATATTTATCAAACCGAAAACCTATTACTATAATAAATTGCCTTAACGATTTGTCAGCTCAATCGGGCTGTCAACAGGCCCAACGCCTGGGCCATGGTTTTCCCCTTAAAGGATATAACTTTTCCTTAGCTACTCGAAATTGACAGGCAATTGTGAATTATTTACAACATTGAACAAGGCACTCTCTCTAACCCTGCTTTATTTTTTTGCAATTTGTCAACAACATGTTTTTTATTGTTTTATTTTTTATATACTCTATACTTTATACCACGCCATGCTGCAGGGCATAGTTGGGGGAAAAGCGTTCCCTGCTTTGCGGCTGCGGTTTGAAATTGGTTTTGGCGGTTTCTGTACGTGCTAAATGAGCGCGAAATGGATTTGATTTCAACGGGTTTTAAAATGTAGAAGCCAAAAGGAAACAGCAGGAAAGGCAAATGAATTGTATTATTGACAAAAACTCTCGGCTAGTCCAATAATTAGATTTAACGGCATGGCGTGAAAAGATAGCTAACTTTATGTTCGTCGTTGATTGCCTTTTGCCTGGCCTGATATCTTAAGATTTATATGGCCCAATGCTGTGGAGCATCTTATCTGTAATTTAATCTGTCAACCCCCTTCAACGATAATGATAATGTCGATTGCTGGCCGTCCGGCTGTAATCTGAATTCCTTAGTACCCGTGTATAGACGGACAAGTCCTCAGTTGGTTTCCAGTTGGTTTCCAGTTGGTCGGTTCGGTTGGTCGAGTTCCCAGCCGGAAATAATTCGAAAGTACGTACTTGGTTTTTTGTTTTTTTGGGGGGAAAATTAAACCCTCAACCCGAACTTTATGGCACACTCTGCCTTGGATTTATAGCCCAGCTAAGCCTCAAGTGTGTCTCTCGTAAAGTGTTTTTTTGAAAACTTCAATACGAATTAAGCAAACACATATATATGTACTAGTATATATATGAAATTGCTCTAAAATTAGCTGGCAAATTTCCAGTTATTGTTTGCATAACCGAAACCGTTTTGTGTTGACAGCTTCGAGTTAAATAACCTTTATAATTATGAGAAAGTACGATGAAAACAAGTTTAATTTGGTTTCCTTGATTATTAAATAATCATTTTTTCCTTTCTAAATTGATATACATTAGTTTTTAGTCTGTGGTTAAGCTAAGTATTGGAAATTAATCGAATGTATTTCGCTGTGCTAATATTACGCATACGCCACATTACGCATACGCCACGTGCGCGCCGGTCAAACTTAAGAAAATGCAATTGAAATTGGCTTAAAATGGTCATTAGCAGGTGTTAACACAAAGTGTGAGCTCATTAAAAGCCCAATAAAGTTTGAATTACTTTGTAGAGTCTATATGAAAAAGGGGAAAAAAAGCTTATTCCCAAGGGAAGAATGTGAAAACACTTGCCTAGAATTATCTACACAATCTAATCGATATCAGGATCAGCTAATGTCAAAAAAGATGACTAAACCGATAAGCCAGCTTAATCGCAAGGTAAAAAAACGTACAGAACATCTTATCGTAATCAAGCAACCCTCTTGGGAGGACGGCGTCCACTTGCCAACCTGAAAAACGTGACGTTAGCTCGCTGACCGACCTCAACTCCCCCCGATTGCCACCATCGAAACGAATTGAATCAACTTAAATTGAATTAAATCCATCGCTGCACACGATATCTATATCTATGTGTATAATTACCTGCTAGCTATAAACTTGCCTGATCGGCACTTTGGCACTTGTTGCATCTGCAATTGTTTTAGTTTTAGATTGTTATTGTTGCCGTTCGGCACTTTTTTGATTTTTTGTTTTTCTTTTTTTGTATTTCTTTTGTTTTTATGCTGTCGCTGGCAACTCGCGTGATACCTCGCACTTTAGGTCCCAAATCGTTTGGTTCTCAGTGATATCGGTTCTCGTTCCGATCGGCTGGGAGGGCCCATTCAGGTTCAGTCACTCATTGAACGCCCGAAGGCGCGAAACGTTGTCGTTTGCCGTTCTTATCAACGTTCGGAGAACGGACTTTTCACCATTAACTTGGAATCCGGATAGCAATTAACTAAGTTTTTATTAAGGTTTGTCTACCTAAAGGAAATTTACAAAGGTGCTTAAAGTGCGGGAACTAAAAATAATAAACGGTTCGATATATTTTTAAATGATAAATGTAAAGATTGGTGAAAAGGATAATACAAAAGTTGGCTTCATAAATGGAAAATAAAACAATATAATTTATTAATAAATTCATTAGTATATTAAAGAATATTTCTTTAAACACAACAATATGAAACATTTAATGAAAAGTGCTTCAAATTAAACAAACCAATTGTTTTTTTTTTTTTCAAATATCTTCTATATTTTAAATTTGTTCTATTTCATGAACATTAATTCGATTAAACTTGTTGCTGTTCTATTATTTTTGGAGTCCAAGGCAATACCCTAAAGAGTTCATCTAGCATTCTCAATTTACTGTCCATATTTCAAAATGCTTTTCATAAGATATCAAATTATTTATATATATATTTTTGATACTAAGCAAAAGTAACTGGATAGGACAGGGCATTGCAAAGTAGGCCAACGACTTGGGAACTGCGCAAATGGATCGAGTGAATCCCAAGCTAATGAGTCAATAGTTTCCAGTCAAGTGCAATTGGCTAAAGAACCTCCTAGGGCTTACAGTAATAACGGGTTTTTGCACAATCTAATAGAATATATAATAGAATTATTATAATTTTTGTATAATTAGTTGCCTTGGTTAACAACACATTGTTACTTACTTTATTTTTTATTTAGCTAGCAAGGTCAACTCAAATGATCTGGCAAATTATAAGTGTCAGTCAATAAACTTGAGTGAATAGGGATATAGCTTCTCTATATACTAAATATTGATCCCCTTTCCGGTTTAGTTCTTAACTTCCCTATTTCATCCTGTCCACTTCCTCTTTACTTTGTCATCGGTCACAAGTTCTGTCGGATGTAAACAAATCAAGTCACTGCACTTTGCACCACACAAATCATTGCCAAAAGTAAAATGGGTAATCAATAATATATAGAATATATATTTATATAGCCGGGCAATGTCCCATTTAGTTTATTTACCCCCCGTGACTTTAAACTATTAGGTATAAAGAAAACTAAGTAAATATTCCCTCACTTAGCATGAGAACTTTTCGCAGTAACAAGCTAAGCTAGCTTAACAAAGCACTTAAATTAATTATAGAAAAAATATCAATGTAAAAAGTAGTTATACGAAAAATAAAACGAGGCTCTTAACCTGTCAAGCCCTGAGCTTTGCCTAAACAGCTGTCTTTGGCTGCCTTCAATATTATTGTTTGTTCGGTTTTGTTTTTTAAGCATTTAGTGCACGTAGTTTCCACGAAAGTCAAGCTCATTCATTTAACTCACTTCCCCCATTGCCGGCTTCGAGCAAGTTCACGACCAATGACGTACATGCTCAGCTTAACAAATTAAACAATTTGCCTAAATAATTCATAAAAATAATTAACACCAACTCAAGAGTAGCTTAGCACTCTTAAGAGTAAAAAAGCTTAAGAATAAATCAAGAGAAACCTAATAGTTATAAGATATACTTTAAGAGAGGCAATGCACTGAAATAAAATATTTGATTATTATTTAAATCTCTTAATTTTTAAGTTTGCCGGTTCAATATGACGGCAAGCAAGCAGCAGGAGGCCGAGGCCGAACATGATCCCCAGGTGGTGGTCACACCCGCAGATGCTACCCACAGCTCTCGCCATGACAAGGGTCTGTGGCGGGATCTCACCTCCTACTGGATCCTGGGTCTGTGCAACAACTATGGCTATGTGGTGATGCTAAGTGCTGCGCACGATATCATCAAGCAGTTTAATCCGGTGAGTTAACCATAAAGATTATATCCCATATCCTATAAAACATATCAACTCTAATCTTATAGAACGACGAGTCTGCCGAGAGTGATTCGGGTAGAAATTGCCACTTGGTGTCCACCGGAGCCATTCTGTTGGCCGATGTGCTTCCCTCACTGTTTGTCAAAATGCTGATGCCCTTCTTTCCCTTTTGGGTTAAGTAAGTCCTCTCCAAGACTACAGTTCGTATATATAATTACTTCTTTACTCCAGCTTTCGCATTGCTCTGGCCGTGATCTTCTCGGCAGCTGGTTTCCTGCTGGTGGGTTTCGCCAATGCCGAGTGGATGGCCCTGCTGGGCGTGATCATTACCTCGGCTAGCAGTGGAATTGGAGAGACCACTTTTCTGGCCTATTCTTCGCGCTACAACAAGTGAGTATAAGCTGAATTTCACTAAAGAATAGCTCTAATTCAGAATCTCCTTTATAGGAATGTGATATCCACCTGGTCATCTGGAACTGGTGGTGCCGGTGTCATCGGTTCCCTTAGCTATGCCAGCTTGAGATCTCTGGACTTTAGTCCCAGGGACACTATGCTGATAATGCTGATCTTTCCGGCCATAGAGGCCTTTGCCTTTTGGTTGCTCCTGCGTCGTCCTCAGGTCGACATCCTTCCGGTCACCACAGTGGAGTCCACTGAGGTGCTGATCTCCGACGAGAAGCCGCTGGTTGGCTTCAAAGAGAAGTTCTTCTACATCAAGCATCTCTTCAAGTACATGTTGCCGCTCTGCCTGGTGTATTTCTTTGAGTACTTCATCAATCAGGGATTGGTAGGTCAATAAGCTTTCCCTATAACAACTTCTCACACATTGATTTTTGCAGTTTGAGTTGGTATACTTCGAGGACATCTTCCTGGACAAGGATTCGCAGTATCGCTGGCTGAATGTGGACTATCAGATTGGTGTCTTCATATCTCGGTCATCGGTGAACATCTTCCAGCTAGACAAGATCTGGCTGATGTCAATCTTCCAGTTTGTCAATGTGATCTACTTCCTCACCGAGGTCATCTGGTGGTACACGCCCAGCATCTGGATAGTGTTCGCCATTGTCCTATGGGAGGGCCTTCTCGGAGGCGGTGCCTACGTGAACACCTTCTATCGGATGTCCAAGGAAATATCACCAGAGCGTCAGCAATTCGCCATGGCCATGGTGGTCCAGTCGGATTCCTATGGAATTGCCCTGGCCGGTTTCCTTGCCATTCCCGTGCACAACGCCATCTGTGGATTGCCGGCGGCGGTAAGAAGCGTTGTCTGGTGATCGATAATTGGTTCTGGATCAGGATCAGGATCAGATTATGCCTTTACTGTGTGCATGTGTTGCTAATTAAGTGTGTATGTCTGTGCATGTCCCGATAGTATTAGCCACTGAGTGTGACTCCCAGGAGCCAGGTGTGTAGATGTTATGTACTGCTCCTGTTCGATTACTCTAAGCTTAGTTTAATAACAAATAAAATATATACATTTTTGTGCTCTTAAAAATGATATTTTAATGTGTTAAAAAAGGTATCTAACGAACTTTACTAATAAACAAATAGAAGTCGACTTAAAAATGTTTAACCCTGACAGTTCTGGGACTTTCAATTTGCCAAAGCCAAGTGTAATGCATATCTTTAAAGTTTATTCTTTCCAAATCGATCACGGCTAACCAGATCGCTATAACTACACCGAAAAAAAGAAGGCTCCTCTCCCTGAGTTATATAAATTATTTCTTTAAAAATGAGTTTAAAATGTATATGAGTTTAAGTTTGGTATATATAGATGACTTTATTCAGCTTATTAAACAACAAACTGAAATGTTTCGTATTAGCACTTGCTATTATATATATGTTATTTTGCCGCTGACTTATTACTACATCAAGTTGTGAGTGGCCGATAATTTGGTTCGATTGAATCGAACGAAACTGAATCTGGGAGAGACCAATTTGGGAGATCGATAGAGACCCAAACCGAGTCGCGCCGAGTCGAGGCGAGATGTTACGTGGAGCTCTCACGGCATCAGTTGGCTGGGAGCTGCCGTGTGGAGCACAACGCTATCGATTCAGTTCGGGAATTGAGTAACCATGATGCGGGGCTTATCAGCGTTTTTACTTTTACTCTGCCTGCAAAGGGTGATGACAGATGCGGCAACAGCAAGGCGACCCAACATAATCATCATAATGGCCGATGACATGGTGGAACAAGTTTCTCAAACATAAATCAAGAAATTTTGGTGCTAAAACAAAGCAAATGTATGCCATTTCAGGGCTTCGATGATGTGAGTTTTCGCGGTGGACGAGAGTATCTAACGCCCAATATCGATGCCTTGGCTTATCATGGACGACTCCTTGATCGCCTTTACGCCCCAGCTATGTGCACTCCCTCCCGAGGAGCTCTGCTCAGTGGACGATATCCCATACACACGGGTACTTATAGCATCATATTCCTGACTTGAAATCAAACTATGAAGTTTTTAATCAACCACGACAGGAACCCAGCACTTTGTGATCAGCAACGAGGAACCCTGGTCTCTGACACTCAATGCCACTTTAATGCCGGAGATCTTTCAGCGAGCGGGTTACTCCACCAATCTGGTGGGCAAGTGGCACTTGGGCTTCTCCCGTCCGGAATATACTCCCACCCGGCGAGGCTTCGACTACCATTATGGTTACTGGGGCGCCTACATAGATTACTATCAAAGACGATCCAAGATGCCGGTGGCCAACTACAGTCTGGGCTATGACTTCCGGCGGAATATGGAGGTGGAGTGCCAAGATCGTGGGGTTTATGTAACAGACTTGCTGACCAATGAGGCGGAGCGGTTGATAAAGAAGAATGCAGGCAAGGATCAGCCTTTGTTTCTGATGCTCAGCCACTTGGCTGCCCATACCGCCAATGAAGATGATCCCCTGCAGGCGCCTGAAGAGGAGATACAAAAATTCGCCTACATCAAGAATCCCAACAGGAGGAAGTATGCGGGTAAGTACTGCGATTTCCCTCCCAAGGAACTATTAAGTTAATGGCTCACTCTCTCGTTAAGCCATGGTTTCCAAGCTGGACCAAAGTGTGGGCCGTGTGATCAGCACGCTGGCCAGCACGGAGCAGCTGGAGGACAGCATTGTGATCTTCTATTCGGACAATGGGGCGCCATCGGTGGGCATGTTCTCCAATACGGGCTCCAACTGGCCGCTTCGTGGTCAGAAGAACACACCATGGGAGGGAGGAGTTCGTGTGGCCGGGGCCATTTGGAGTTCTCGTCTGCAGGCACGCGGCAACATCTTTACCCAGCCCATTTATGTAGGCGACTGGCTGCCCACACTGGCCCATGCGGCTGACATTGAGTTGGAGGACTCCGTCTCCCACCAGCTAGATGGCATTGACCTATGGCCACAGTTGGCAGGCCCTTCGGATGCTCCTCATGTGCCGCGAGAGATTCTCCATAGCCTGGATGATGTGTGGCGGGTGGCGTCCCTTCAAATGGGGCAGTGGAAATATGTGAATGGTACCACCTCTGCGGGACAATATGATTCGGTGCTCACCTACCGGGAGCTAGATGATCTGGATCCTCGCGAAAGCCGTTATCCTGTGACTATAAGGAACTCAGCAGCTTCGAGGGCGCTTTCCCGATTCGATTTGCGTCGCCTGACACAGCAAAGGATCACGGCCATTCGACGATCGGCGGGTGTGCGTTGTGCCGACTTCCAAAGATCCTGTAATCCTTTGCTGGAGGAGTGCTTGTTCGACATCACGACGGATCCTTGCGAGCAGAATAATCTGGCGTACTCCAGCCGGCACTCCGATGTCTTGGCCGCCCTGCGAAGGCGATTGCGAGAGCTAAGGGCAAGTGCCGCAACTCCGGGTAACCGGGCGAGCATGCCGGCCGCTGACCCCACCTGGCACACCTGCACCTGGGAATCTTACGAGCTGCACAAACCAAGAACCGGTTAGTTATCATTATTGTCCTAATTCGTACATATTTATAATTATTTATAACATTTCAACTTTGCAGTACGCTTGGAATGCGATTACCATGGCGTACCCTGTGAAACCAATCATTAGATAACCGGAAAGAACAAGCAATCGTTATATTATATTGTTCATAATTTAGGTAGTTGGAAAATTATTAGAAAAAAAATATATATACTCTGTTGTATACACCAAAATATGTGACTTTTTTCAAGGTATTTCAATTTTAGTCAGAAGCTTGTAACGCCGTCAGAAGTCATTTCCGACTCCATAAATCATATATATTCTTGATCAGAATGAACAGCTGAATCGATCTAGCCATGTCTAGTGGAAAAATAAATTTTTGCATTTTTTCCGAAATTTGAAAAAAAGATAAGAGGTTACATCGTTAAAATTAGCAAAATTCGACAAAAAATGGAATTTTTTAAATTTAAAAACGCAGTATGCAGATTTGTTAGCGCTATAAAAACTAGCACAGAACAGCTTTCCGAATTGAAAATAACGCATTTTTGGCTTAATTATGGTGTTTGAAAAACGATGATTTTTTAAAAAAATTGCCTGTTTTTACTTTTTTTCTGGGTATTATAATTTTAGTCAAAATCTTTTAACAGCATCAACAAACGCAGTATGCAGATTTGTTAGCGCTATAAAGACTAGTATAGAGCAGCTTTCCGATTTAAAATTAATGCATTTTTGGCTTAATTACGAAGTTTGAAAAACACTGATTATTTAAAAAATTGCCTGTTTTTATACCTTTTTGCAGGGTCTTAGTATTAATCAGAAGCTTATAACACAATGAAGGAATCATTTCCGACCCCATAAAGCATATATATTCTTGATCAGAATGAACAGCTGAATCGATCTAGCCATGTCTAGTGGAAAAATAAATTTTTTAATTTTTTCCGAAATTTGAAAAAAAGATAAGGGGTTACATCATTAAAATTGGCAAAATTCGACAAAAAATGGAATTTTTTAAATTTAACAAGAAAGGAAGCTAACTTCGGCACGCCGAAGTTTATATACCCTTGCAGATAGAACTTCTATGAATAGGAATCCATACAATATAAATTAGATATATTTGTGTTAAAAAACAATGAAGTAATACCTGCTTTCATTTCATTCACCTATACATATTATATTTGCAGTTTTACATTCACAGATTTGCATTTTTCCTCTACATCAAAAGATCGTTTGTATGGCACCTATATGATATAGTCGTCCGATTTTTATGAAATTTGCCACAAAATTTAAAACTTATATAAAATGGCTATACCTCAAATTGGATGAAAATCAGCTGAAAACTAAAAAAGTTATAAATTTAATTGTATTAATTTCTCGATCGTTCCTATGGGAGCTATATGATATAGTAGTCCGATTTTCATAAAATTTTATACAAAATTTTAGAATAATATGAAATGGCTATATAATTAAAATTTGATTAAATTCTGTTGAAAACTAAAAATGTTATCGCCACCGCGATTGTCAGTCTTCCGACAACAGCCACCGCCATTCTCATTCCTCTCAAATTTCTCGATCGTTCCTATGGGAGCTATATGATATATTAGTCCGATTTTCATAAAATTTTACACAAAATTGTAGAATAATATGAAACGGCTATATCTCAAATTTAATGAAAATCTGTTGAAAACTGAAAATGTTATACTTATTAATTGAATTAATTTCTCGATCGTTCCTATGGGAGCTATATGATATAGCCGTCCGATTTTCATAAAATTTTACACAAAATTGTAGAATAATATGAAATGGCTATATCTCAAATTTGATCAAATTCTGTTGAAAAATAAAAATTGTATAATTTTTTTTGTAAAACTTTTCGGATCATTCCTATGACAGCTATAAGATATAGTCGTCCGATCCGGCCCGTTCCGACATATATACGAGTGAGAGTATATAGAAGACTAACTGCAAAGTTTCATTCAGATAGCTTCAAAACTGAGAGACTAGTTTGCGTAGAAACGGACAGACGGACAGACGGACAGACGGACAGACGGACATGGCTAGATCGACTCGGCTGTTGATCCTGATCAAGAATATATATACTTTATATAGTCGGAGGTGCCTCCTTCACTGCGTTGCAAACTTCTGACTGAAATTATAATACCCTGCAAGGGTATAAAAACGCAGTATGCAGATTTGTTAGCGCTATAAAAACTAGCACAGAACAGCTTTCCGAATTGAAAATAACGCATTTTTGGCTTAATTATGGTGTTTGAAAAACGATGATTTTTTAAAAAAATTGCCTGTTTTTACTTTTTTTCTGGGTATTATAATTTTAGTCAAAATCTTTTAACAGCATCAACAAACGCAGTATGCAGATTTGTTAGCGCTATAAAGACTAGTATAGAGCAGCTCTCCGATTTAAAATTAATGCATTTTTGGCTTAATTACGAAGTTTGAAAAACACTGATTATTTAAAAAATTGCCTGTTTTTATACCTTTTTGCAGGGTCTTAGTATTAATCAGAAGCTTATAACACAATGAAGGAATCATTTCCGACCCCATGAAGCATATATATTCTTGATCAGAATGAACAGCTGAATCGATCTAGCCATGTCTAGTGGAAAAATAAATTTTTTAATTTTTTCCGAAATTTGAAAAAAAGATAAGGGTTACATCATTAAAATTGGCAAAATTCGACAAAAAATGGAATTTTTTAAATTTAAAAACGCAGTATGCAGATTTGTTAGCGCTATAAAAACTAGCACAGAACAGCTTTCCGAATTGAAAATAACGCATTTTTGGCTTAATTATGGTGTTTGAAAAACGATGATTTTTTAAAAAAATTGCCTGTTTTTACTTTTTTTCTGGGTATTATAATTTTAGTCAAAATCTTTTAACAGCATCAACAAACGCAGTATGCAGATTTGTTAGCGCTATAAAGACTAGTATAGAGCAGCTCTCCGATTTAAAATTAATGCATTTTTGGCTTAATTACGAAGTTTGAAAAACACTGATTATTTAAAAAATTGCCTGTTTTTATACCTTTTTGCAGGGTCTTAGTATTAATCAGAAGCTTATAACACAATGAAGGAATCATTTCCGACCCCATAAAGCATATATATTCTTGATCAGAATGAACAGCTGAATCGATCTAGCCATGTCTAGTGGAAAAATAAATTTTTTAATTTTTTCCGAAATTTGAAAAAAAGATAAGGGTTACATCATTAAAATTGGCAAAATTCGACAAAAAATGGAATTTTTTAAATTTAAAAACGCAGTATGCAGATTTGTTAGCGCTATAAAAACTAGCACAGAACAGCTTTCCGAATTGAAAATAACGCATTTTTGGCTTAATTATGGTGTTTGAAAAACGATGATTTTTAAAAAAATTGCCTGTTTTTACTTTTTTTCTGGGTATTATAATTTTAGTCAAAATCTTTTAACAGCATCAACAAACGCAGTATGCAGATTTGTTAGCGCTATAAAGACTAGTATAGAGCAGCTTTCCGATTTAAAATTAATGCATTTTTGGCTTAATTACGAAGTTTGAAAAACACTGATTATTTAAAAAATTGCCTGTTTTTATACCTTTTTGCAGGGTCTTAGTATTAATCAGAAGCTTATAACACAATGAAGGAATCATTTCCGACCCCATAAAGCATATATATTCTTGATCAGAATGAACAGCTGAATCGATCTAGCCATGTCTAGTGGAAAAATAAATTTTTAATTTTTTCCGAAATTTGAAAAAAGATAAGGGGTTACATCATTAAAATTGGCAAAATTCGACAAAAAATGGAATTTTTTAAATTTAAAAACGCAGTATGCAGATTTGTTAGCGCTATAAAAACTAGCACAGAACAGCTTTCCGAATTGAAAATAACGCATTTTTGGCTTAATTATGGTGTTTGAAAAACGATGATTTTTTAAAAAAATTGCCTGTTTTTATTTTTTTTCTGGGTATTATAATTTTAGTCAAAATCTTTTAACAGCATCAACAAACGCAGTATGCAGATTTGTTAGCGCTATAAAGACTAGTATAGAGCAGCTTTCCGATTTAAAATTAATGCATTTTTGGCTTAATTACGAAGTTTGAAAAACACTGATTATTTAAAAAATTGCCTGTTTTTATACCTTTTTGCAGGGTCTTAGTATTAATCAGAAGCTTATAACACAATGAAGGAATCATTTCCGACCCCATAAAGCATATATATTCTTGATCAGAATGAACAGCTGAATCGATCTAGCCATGTCTAGTGGAAAAATAAATTTTTTAATTTTTTCCGAAATTTGAAAAAAAGATAAGGGGTTACATCATTAAAATTGGCAAAATTCGACAAAAAATGGAATTTTTTAAATTTAAAAACGCAGTATGCAGATTTGTTAGCGCTATAAAAACTAGCACAGAACAGCTTTCCGAATTGAAAATAACGCATTTTTGGCTTAATTATGGTGTTTGAAAAACGATGATTTTTTAAAAAAATTGCCTGTTTTTACTTTTTTTCTGGGTATTATAATTTTAGTCAAAATCTTTTAACAGCATCAACAAACGCAGTATGCAGATTTGTTAGCGCTATAAAGACTAGTATAGAGCAGCTTTCCGATTTAAAATTAATGCATTTTTGGCTTAATTACGAAGTTTGAAAAACACTGATTATTTAAAAAATTGCCTGTTTTTATACCTTTTTGCAGGGTCTTAGTATTAATCAGAAGCTTATAACACAATGAAGGAATCATTTCCGACCCCATAAAGCATATATATTCTTGATCAGAATGAACAGCTAAATCGATCTAGCCATGTCTAGTGGAAAAATAAATATTTAATTTTTTCCGAAATTTGAAAAAAAGATAAGGGGTTACATCATTAAAATTGGCAAAATTCGACAAAAAATGGAATTTTTTAAATTTAAAAACGCAGTATGCAGATTTGTTAGCGCTATAAAAACTAGTATAGAGCAGCTTTCCGATTTAAAATTAATGCATTTTTGGCTTAATTACGAAGTTTGAAAAACACTGATTATTTAAAAAATTGCCTGTTTTTATACCTTTTTGCAGGGTCTTAGTATTAATCAGAAGCTTATAACACAATGAAGGAATCATTTCCGACCCCATAAAGCATATATATTCTTGATCAGAATGAACAGCTGAATCGATCTAGCCATGTCTAGTGGAAAAATAAATTTTTTAATTTTTTCCGAAATTTGAAAAAAAGATAAGGGGTTACATCATTAAAATTGGCAAAATTCGACAAAAAATGGAATTTTTTAAATTTAAAAACGCAGTATGCAGATTTGTTAGCGCTATAAAAACTAGCACAGAACAGCTTTCCGAATTGAAAATAACGCATTTTTGGCTTAATTATGATGTTTGAAAAACGCTGAATTTCTAAAAAAAATTGCCTGTTTTTAGACCTTTTTTCTGGGAATTATATTTTTTGGCAAAATCTTTTAACAGCATCAACAAACGCAGTATGCAGATTTGTTAGCGCTATAAAAACTAGTATAGAGCATCTTTCCGAATTAAAATTTATGCACTTTTGGCTTAATTACGAAGTTTGAAAAACAATGATTATTTTTAAAAATTGCCTGTTTTTATACCTTTTTGCAGGGTCTTAGTTTAAATCAGAAGCTTATTACACAATGAAGGAATCATTTCCGACCCTATAAATCATATATATTCTCGATCAAAATGAACAGCTGAATCAATCATGTGAAAAAATAAATTTTTGCATTTTTTTAAAAATTGACTACAATTAAAGTTATTAAAATGTTTAATTTAGTACGCAGTTTTATTAGCCTAATAAAAACTTGCATAGGAAAACTTTCCGAATTCAAATTATTGTTTTTTGGGCTTAGTTATGAGTTTTTAAAACTTGGATTTGTCGGAAAAATTGTCATTTGAAAATTACAATAAATGTCGATTCACAAAATGCGAATATTTTAAGCTTACTTATGATCGATTTCCGATTCGATCTGCTAACTCAATTTTACATTAAAATTCGGCTTTCCAAAGTTAGTTTCATTTCTTGTTAATGATGAATAACTTTCAAGTAAAATAAACACTTTGTTGTAAAAATTTATTTATTGTTTATGTATTTCTTGTTTAAAAAATAAACTCATATATACAAACAAATTCGTTATGGAAATACATTGCACAAATGCAAGGCTACGAGATGAGAGAGAATGCGTACAAAAGGGATAAAAAGTATAAAAATTGGAAAGACAGTTAATTGTGAGAACTTGGCGACAATCAGTTGATTGTTAAATTTACTACATAATCATATTGGGAAATATTTATATATATATCGATTAAAGTTTGCTAGTTCAGTCCAATCACATTGTGTTCTCGATACCAGATTATTTTGAAATGCTTCGCTTACGTGGCTTTGCTGCAGCAAGGGAATGCTTAAAGCTGTTACTTCTGTGGCTGTTGCTGTTGTGTCTGTTGCTGCTGTTGTATTGGCACCTGTTGATTTTGAGCAGGCGGAGGGCTTTGATTGTTGATTTGCTGCTGCACAGGCTGCTGTTGCTGCTGCACAGGTTGCTGCTGCTGCTGCACCGGCTGCTGTTGCTGCTGCACTGGCTGCTGTTGCTGCTGCACAGGTTGCTGCTGTTGCACAGGCTGTTGTTGCTGCTGCACAGGTTGCTGTTGCTGTTGCTGCTGCACCGGCTGTTGTTGCTGCTCCACCGGCTGCTGTTGCTGATAAACAGGCTGTTGTTGCTGATAGACAGGCTGCTGTTGCTGATAGACAGGCTGCTGTTGCTGCGGAATCGCTCCGGCATGCTGGTACACCTGATTAGGATGTAGCTGCACTGGCTGCCCGTTTCCATATTGCTGCTGTTGGTACTGCTGTGCGTACTGTTGCTGCTGCTGGACGTACTGCTGCTGCTGCTGTGCGTGCACCTGGCCGGGTTGTTGGTAATGAGGCTGCTGAGCGCCAGGATGCGGCGGTGGCTGTTGGTAGGCGACGCCGCCAGGATGCGGTGCAGCATAGTAACCCTGCGGCATGTTGGGATGCGGCGGCAACTGGCCCTGAGCAATCAGACGCTGGACTTCCTCCTGGCGCCGGCGCTCGTACTCCAAGTACTCCTCGTGCGTGTACTGCTGCTGCTGATCGATTGTCTCCCACTCGGGATCCTTCTGGAACTCCTCCTTGCTGGTCTGCATCATGAACTCCTCAATACTAATCAGCCCATCGTGGTTGGTATCGGTCTCCTGGAAGTAGTGCTCACGCATGCGCTCCATCTCCTCTGCCCTCTCCCTCATGTCGTCCTCGGGCAAATCACTCTGGTAGACCTTGTCCAGCTCTTTGACGAACAATGCCTTGACCTCCGCCTCGTCCCAATAACCATTGCTGTCGACGTCGTGAATGGAGAAAAAGGTCTTGGGCTCAAAGTCATTCTTATCCATATGATCTTGCTTCTCCCACACCTCCTCCAGTTGAGCCTTATTGCCCGGGTGGTGCAGCTTTTCGTGGTCCTTGTGCTTCTTTTCCTTCTCTTTGATCTCATTCTCGAACTTCTTGCGTGACTCCTCATCCATCTCCTTCTTCTGCGCCTCACGCTCGAATTCCTTCTGCATTTCGTACTCCTTGAACTCACCGCGTCGCTTACGATCAGCCTCGGCCAGGTCGTCAGACGTCTTCTGGATCAACTTACGCAGATCCTCAATTTCGAATGTGTGCTCGTTGCCGTGATCCAGATGCTGTGGCACCTTCAGATGCTTACGATCTATGTCATTGGCTAGATCATAGGCCTGATTAGCCAGCTCACGCAAACGCTCCAATTCGCGACGTTTTATCTCATCCAGCTTGGTGCGAACGTGGTGATTCACGTAGTCCAACTCCTGGGCTATTTTTCCACTCTGAATAAAAGAATCAAATACAAATTATATACTTAATAGAAAAGATTCCAAGACATAGGGCACTAGGGAAAGACCTTCCAGGAGGACCTAGACACAAGAGACTCCTTCTCCTCCACTCACCCGGATGTCCGCCTCAGGCGCCTTGTCCAGCTTTTTACGGAACTCGGGATCGGCCTCCAGAGCCTCAACAACCTCCCGTAGGTAACGCTCGTACTCCAAGGCTGTCTCCACGTCGGCAGTGGCCGGGGTGCTGGACTCCGCCTCCGCCTTAGCGTCCTTCTCGGCCTTCTTGTTTTGCGTCACGGGCAAGGCTGCGACTAAACAGAGCGATGCAATCAGAGCCAGGCCCAGCAGGGCCACGTTTCGCGCCATGGCTGCTAGTAATGAACACTGGCGCGTGCTTTCAAGTTTTGTTCAATGAAAATCTGACGAAGCAGCTGTGCAAATAATTAAACAAAAACCTAATATTCTGACGTGTCGGAGTAGATTTTGTTGATTAGGGTGACCGTTGCTTCACCCTTGAAATATACCAACTGTTTGTTTAAAATATACCAAAAGCAGTGATGCCACTTAGGTTATAAAATGGTGTAGGGCATATTTAAATTTTCATTTAAAATTCCTACGTTTATTTACTTTGAACGATTATTTTTTCAATTCGAAGCTGAATATTTAATAAATAAATGCTCCAAAGAATTGTATCAGTTACAATAATAGGAATTTAATAGGCATTAAAATTTAAACATAATATTTTTCAGATTGCCTACTTCAGAAATGCCTACTTAATTTTAATGAATTTAATTAAAATTACATAAAGTTTTTATTCTCAGCCTTATGCCTTTTTTATTTTTGAAAAGTTCCCTTTCTTGCCCTTGGGCGTCTTGAGGTTCTTTTTAATTTCGCTGATCTTTTTTAATTTAGAGTTCTGGTCCTTCTTTTCTCCTGGTCGTTTTTTCACAATCTTTTCCGTTTTTTCAAGTTTGCTCAGTTTGACTGACTTTTTATCCTCTTTTTTGTCCCCCTCGGGGCGTATTTTCGTCGTTATATCTTCCCGATCCAAAGGTTTCTTGGCTCGCATCTTGGCCTCCGATTTTCGAACCTTTTTCATTTGCAACATGTATTCCGGAACGGTGCCGCCAGAGTTCTTTATAATCTGAGCAACGCTAGAGAGATAGGAAAATAATATATAATTAGTTATTTCGCATTAGAGTAGACTTTTAGAGATGTTACCTTCTTAAATTGGCCGTGTCCTCTTGAGTAAAGAATGTGATGGCTCGTCCTGGACGCCCAGCGCGTCCCGTTCGACCAATCCGATGGATGTACGAGATAGTGGTGGGCGGAAAATCGTAGTTGATTACCAGATTAACCCCCTTGAAGTCGATACCGCGGCCCATCAGCTCTGTGCAGATGAGCACCCAAATGCTGCCTTCACGGAAGGCACGCACGCAGTTGTCTCGCTGATGCTGGCTGCGCTCGGCATGAATCACGTCCACGTTGATACCATCGTAGAGTAGCTCCTCAAAGAGTTGCTTGGCTCTCTCCTTGCTCTGTACGAAAACGAGCACCGGCGGCTGCAGTCCCTGGCGAACCAGATCCCTCATGGCGACTAATTTCCCGCTCTCAGAACCCACGAACAACAGCTCCTGCTGAACAGTATCCGTGGCACTGTTCTGGACTCCAACAGTGACGCGCACTAGGTTCTTGAGGTGACGTAGCGCCCATTTGGCCACAGGAACTGTGTAGGTTGCACTGAAGAACGCCACACATTTGGCTGGATTGGAGCACGCTGCATAGATATCGTCCAGCTGCTCCTTAAAGTTGTTTTGTCCCTCTTCCATCAGGCGGTCCGCTTCGTCCAACACGAACCATTCGACGTGCGACAAGTCCAGCAGAGGTGGTTGCTGTTGCAGCAGGAATCTCACTCGGTTCGGTGTGGAGACCAGGATGTCGTAGCGTTGCTTGCACTCGGCACCTTGTTTCTGCTTCGCCTCGCTTACCTTGCTGATAAAGTGGGTACGAAGACCAGTTTCTCGGGTTAGTTCTGCACATTCTCGGTAGATTTGCTGGGACAACTCGCGGGTGGGGGCCAGCACTAAAGCTCTTAAGCCGGTGGTTCTATGCGCCCTCAGGCCGTCGATGATGGGCGTGAGGAATGCTAAGGTTTTGCCGGATCCGGTTGGAGCGCAAGCCATCAGTGCCCGACGCTGCAGAAGCACAGGCAGTGCCTGCATCTGGATGGGAGTTGGCTGTGCAAACTCACGTCCCAGCAGGTTCTGCTGCAGTCGGGGAAGCAACTTGTGTTGCTTAACCAGTGCCTCAAAGCTGGTCAACGGCGCGGGTACATTCTTGCCCAGCACGCTGATGTTGTGCCGCTTTCTGGTCTCATTTACCTCATCTATTGCTCTTTGGCGCTCCAGTTCCTCGATGGAGAGTTTCTTAGCTTCCTTACGTTTCTTAGGCTTACTTTGGATGGTGTCATCCGCTAGCAGGCGGAACTCTGAGGTGTGTTCATCATCCTGCTTGGTCTTGACTTCCCTTTTCACCTTCTTAAGTTGCTGGGAATCTTCAGAGAGCGGCTGCAGCTGCGTCTTCGGGGCAGTTGGCTATAGCAATGGTAGCAGTTAATACAATAGCTTAATTTTCATGAAATCATAAAGGGCTTACCTTGGGCCTTTTGGTGAAGCGTACTCCGGCGGTAATCAGCTTAAATATATCGTGTTCGTCCATTGTTTTTCTTTAATTCTCTTTAAAAACAGCGCACGTGCATTTGTTTTGATTTGTTCACAGTGTTAGAGTTGCCGGATATCACAAATTTATGGATAACAGAAAACAATTGTGGTGTTAACAGTGTTAGTGCTGCCACTTTTCCAATTTTTGCGGCTAGATCGAGCTATGTTAACCACAATTTGAATTTATAAAATTGAAAAACAATTAAAAGCAATAAAGTACTAAATAAATAAAAAATGTATGGCACGCATGTTATAGGCTAAAATAAGTAAACATTTAACCTATCTAAACATAAGCCAAAATGAAGAAAATAATGAAGAATTGATTTACTGAGACTTAAACCCCAGATTGAAAGGCTATGACAAGGACCAATGAAACACACTTCTGATGTTAGCATATTTATTCACCAGGCTCAATGGCCACCAGCTCGTCCAAGAGCTCCGCACGTCGCTGCAGACCCTTCGAATCCTTCTCACTGCCCCTAATGCCCTCCACTGGCCCACCCCAGCTGAAGGTGCTTTGTCCATCGTCTGTTAGTCCATCATCCTCGAACTCCTCGCAGAGATTATGCATTGCACAGATGCTCTCCACGATAAGTCGCACCTCGTTCAAATCCCGAGCCTCCAAGGCATACAGTGTATTAAAACGACGCGCCAAAGTATCTAGGACCCTCTCAGCAACCTGGAAGGCAGGACGAAGCAGCTCGTTGAATACCGCATCCTTGCGGAAGCACTCGGCATCAATGGGTCGCATCAGGTAGGATTTCAGTGGAAATACGCTATTCCCGATGAGATAGCTACCCACTGGCATGGTCCTGGGATTCAGGGCCAGCGTCTGACCAATTGGCGAATCCTCGAAACTATACTCAACGAAAAGCTCCACATAGCAGTCAATAATCTTACGCTCCGCGTTGCAGATTAGCTGCAGTACCACCGGCACCTCAGCATGCTCTGATTCCAGGAAGACGTCCAGACGCTTCAGCGTTATGATGCCAAAAAGCTCTCGGAAGCACCGAAGCTGATCCAGCCGTTGGTATCCCTGCAGCGTACTTCGCTGGGCTGCCAGCGAATTGGGCCATTTGATAAAGCTCTCGTAGTTGTCCGAGATGCAGTGCCAGAAACCACGCACCACTTGCTGGCACAGAGCCCAAGGTAGGCGGAACTTCCGGGCTATCTCCTCAAAGTGTTCATCGGTGGCTAGCTTCCACATGGCCAACGATAGCATTGTCTGCGTCGGCGGAGTCGGATAACCGGGCAGTGTGATGCCGCTTAGTGTTTCCTCCAGGGTTTGCTGGACTTTCTGGAATGGAGTAATTCCGGGGGTAGGAAAACAAGAAATACCGGCGCTTACCAAGAATGTGAGCTTGCGCATATGCAGATATGACTCGAATTGGGCGTCCGTGTAGCGGTGCAGTAGATTTAATTCGGCATGGTTCCACTCCAGTTTGGCCACCTTCTGGTCCGGTTTCCGGCCTAATGTGTCCTCCAGCATTCTGCGCTTCCGGCTGACTGTCGCCGTTCGTTTCTGCTGCAACAGGGCGAATATCTCCGCCTCATCATCGTCCTCAGCGGTGGTCAGGAGCGGGAAGCTGCAGGATGTGATGTCTACTGGCGGCTGGTCAATAAGTAGATCCTTGGTGATTATAGAGGCAATGTTGGCCAGCACGGCGCGCTCCTCCATAGCGATAAGGCTGTCCTAGCGAAGAATCCTTTTAAAATTAAGATTTAACTTTGCACTTTTCAGCCTTGTCAACCCCCATTTCCGTTGTCCTTGTTTGTGTATGTATGTGTACGGCTCGTCAGCTGTTCGGCGTAATGCACTTCCACTGACATTATTATGCTTACAGCACTCATAATCACCTTAAAATTACCTGATTTCTTTAATTAATTCCACTCCACGACTTTGTTGTCCTGCGAAGCAAATAAAAGCAATGTTTTTTTGCCTAATATTCCCGTGGAACAGTGCTGCCAGATGGGATTTTATTTAACAGAAGTCTGATATCCTTTCTTAACAGCACTGTTACTTGGAGCGGTTTTTTTAAAAAGTATTTTTGTAGTCTTTATTTTCTTCTTATTTCGTATTAAAACAAAGCTTCCATTTATCTGCAGTTAATTTATTTTCAAGATATTACGGACAAGGGTAAGAACGGATTAAAGGTAGAAAGTCATCCAATTGCTCCTTTACCAGAGTTTCAGTTCACGGTCCTTCGCACTCGGACCACAACCCGCCTGGGTCCGGTACCGGTCGTCTGTCCTGTGCTAGCACGGCGGCGTCGTACTCCACCTCGTCGGATGACCACACGCCTGATGATGACCCGGCGGCGGCGACGCCTCCTCCTCGTGGCGGCAGTTGTTGTAGTGGCAGAGGCATCGGTGGTGGTAGTGGCCGAGGCATCCGTAGTAGTGGTAGCCGAAGCATCCGTGGTCGTTGTAGCCGAGGCACTGGTTGTTGTGGTAGTATCTGCGCCGGAAGTCGGGCCGCTAAGCAGGACCACAGTGGCCAGGACAAGAAGAGATAGAACCAATAGGGAACGCATTGTAAAGGTTTTCTTTTGGTGAACTGGGATCTGATGTCAGTACCCCCAAAACGGTTGGATATTTATAGTGTCTTCTGGGTCGGAGAAATATATTAGGAACCGTGCAAACACAGGTGTAACCCTTCATGTTTTTCGCCTGCTCACCTCTTTGTCACCTTTGTTTCACTTACACTCCATAGTGCCTTCGCCTATTTACGATGTTTTGTTAATCTGTTTGCACCTGCTTTTGAACGTAAATGGAATTTCTATTTCTATGCAAACCCCACTTCGCATACCTAAAGTTTTAAACAAAATAAAGAAACATACTTTTTGGCTTCTTTATCTTGTAACTATTGGGATATTGTTATTATAAATACGCACAAATCGAAGATATCCTGAGTAAGTCAAAATGGTTATAATTCTTCCGCAGATCTAAAATTGTTTAATATTTATTAGATTCAAGATGAAAGTTTCCATAATTCCAAAGCTGATGCTCGAAAATAGTCATCTTTAATGTAAAAATCGTTTCCGGTTGTCCTCATCAACCTTCCTTAGTATGTTCTTTCCAATTTCTAGTACAGTCGTTAATTCTAAATTTTTTGAGTCAGTAAAATATAAATCTGGAAATGTCAAAGGAAAATAAGCCATCCTTCTCAAAGGTCTGGGATATCGGTGTATGGAATTCGAAGGACATTCGGTATTACAACAGCATATCCCGCATCCAAAAACAGCTTCGCCTCGGGAACTGGGAGTATATTTGCAATCATCCTGAGGTAAAATAATACTAATACAAATTTTTAAGATTTCTCAACTAATCACCCCAGATACGTGCCATAATTCGTGTAATACTGCACAATGCCATTAATGAAAAGCCGGAATCGGTTAATCTTCGAAAGTTCTTGGGTGATTTTTTCAACTGTGAGCGCACTCGGTTGCTAGTGCCATTGGTAAGAATGTTGTAAATGTTCCATATTCTGATCTTAAGTCTATAGCACAATATATAGAAAGTAGTCTCGAATTATACAAACTGTTACGATCCTTACATTTCAGATAAACACTCAACTAAAGTACGTTAAGGAGCAACTGAGTCGTGGACGTTGGAGCAAGTTTGATGCGGAGGACCTGTTCATGGAAAGTCCCTCCACTCATTCACTCCTATCGACAGCCTCCGAGGACAGCAATGTTCATCCTGTCCTCACCTATGCGCTGGTCTTCAAGAAGCCCGATGAGTGTGGCATCGAAAAGCCACCTTTTTAGGGACGAGATGGTATTTGTGGGAAGGATTAATCCGAACCAAATTATACCATATTTCTAAAACTGTATAATTAAGTCTTATTGATTGATCCTTTCAATGAAGGCATAAAATTAAATTTCAGGACCCCAAGTACTTAGTTTCATTGAATTTGCTAAAGCCCGATTTTTATTTAGTTGATTTTTAAGTGAAATCAAAAGAAGCGACGTGCCGAGCGACCGAGACGACGCTCTCGCACACGGATACGCCTCACAACGCGGCCATCACCTCGCTCCCTCCTGCGCCGCCCGCCATCTCGTCCTTCACGCTCACGGCGAATAATTATGATGCGCCGGCGCCTGTGACGGCGGCGATGGTGCTTCTTGGTGGTCTCGGTGGTGGTGGTGGCATCTGTTGTGGTTGTAGTTGGAGCCGCCGTCGTGGTCGTCGTAGCCGTAGTGTCGGAACTGGAGCTGCTGCTTGACGGGGAAGTGGAGCTGCTGCTCGACGGGGAAGTGGAGCTGCTGCTCGTCGGGGAAGTGGAGCTACTACTCGTTGGAGAAGTACTGCTTGACGACGAGCTGTCGTCTGAAGTACTTGCCTGCATAGACAGGACCACCAGTGAGGCCAGAACGGCCAGGAAGAACCCTTGTATCGGACGCATGGTGGCTTCTTTTTGAAACTGGGCTTTAGATTCTGCTTCTGTCAGTCACAATACAGAGTTATTTATAGTGAAAGTCTCTACAGCATCCGAATTAATCTCCAGACTTGGTTGTTTGCTGACCAAATATATCACATTCGTGGAGTTTCCAAGCGCTGGATAATTAAGTAATCAAAGCTGTCATTGTTGTCTGATTGTTAAGAGTAAAGAAATTAAAGGTGTAGGAAAATACCTATATATTTTCCTCCTTACGTATTGTTAAGTTAGTTAAGTACGTAATCAACCGAGCCGTGCAGACGCGCACACATAGAATTAATATAGACATAAGATAAATAATCGGAAGAATTTGAAGTATAGAAAGATGAAGAAGGAAAATATTTAAATCAATTGCTCAAATACAAAATTAATATTATTAAATATTGGGTAATGTTATTCTCCTAATTAATTAACAAGTGTCCTATAAATGAAATTATATAATCAAGTATACAAATAGTAGGCTAAATAAAGCCTAAAAACTTCTGTTCAAGTTTATAAAGCTTGTACATATTGGCCTAACCGAGTGCAGAGTTATTGACTTGTCGGTTTTGGCAAACAAAAGAGTTCGAGTAAATATTGAGATAAGAAAAGGAACAAACACGTCTGGTTCACAAAAAACGAAGGGATTCCGGGCCAAAAATAGTTTTATTAGAATTTATTATTGTCTTCTTGTTGAAACTGAAAGTTTTGGATCAGTACTTTTAAAATTTTCCGCTCCCTTGACGTAATAGCCCTTAGTATAAGCCTGTGGAGGGCTATAAAAGGAAAGGTAAAAGGTACAAACTGTTCATTCTTGCTCCATAGAAATTTTACTATGAAGATCCTACTAGCTTTTACTATCGCGCTTTTGGCTGTCCACTTGGTCCCAGTTGACTCTGAATCAAGTTCAGGATCTGAAGCAGAATCGGGCACTGGAACGGGTACTGGAACAGGCACTGGAACGGGCACTGGAACTGGAACAGGCACTGGCACAGCGATCTCTACAACAACTGTGGCTCCCACAACAACAACAACTACCACAGTCGCCCCTGTAACCACCCACAGGACAATCCGTCATCGTAGGCGACGCATAATAAGGAAAATTATTCACAGACGCAATGCAGCAGAGAGAAGGCGTCGAAGGGGTTGAGTGTTTAAATGCATTTTTAAAATTTTAAATCGTACAATCTGTTAAACAACAGTCCCAGCTAACAGTACTGTTAAACGGCAAGGATATCTGACATCGTTAAATTTACCCCTTTCTGGCAGCACTGTTTTTAAAATACTTTCGAGTTTGCACGATTCGTAAATGAAAATAAATAAATTGTGTAAATAAAACTTGATAATATGAAAAGAAAACAATGTACTATTTCACAAGTTATGTATATTATATGTATTACTTTTATTATAATTACTATTAACACTTTCCTTTTTTCCTTTCCTTTTTTAAAGTGTAGCCCCAATTTAATTTTAAAAAATACTAGACACTTTTCTTTGGCCTTTTGTTGACCCCGTTCAAACGGTCACACTGCCAGCACAAGAAAATTCTTTGGACGAAAACTCCAAGATTTCCGTTTTCAATTAACAATAATGAATTAATTAGCGCTTGAATTAGCACAAGGCCTTCAGTTAATCAACTAGCACAACTCCGAGGCACTAGGAAGCGATGGTAAGTCTGCCGGAAAAGGCTGGAAATCGGTTTCTGAAGCAAGGCCAACCGGCTTGACAAACGACCAAAAATAGACCGGAGCGGAGGAGCTGGCCAAAAATAGCAAACAGCCGCAATACCCCCATGTGTTTCCAATCGCCTGATCAGCAGACAACCCCCTTTCATTACAGGCAGTACTGGGCGCCCAATTGGTGATCACCTTGGTGATGGTTAGCGTCATCCAGAAGCTGAGTCCACATTATTCCTTCGCCAAGTGGATACTGTGCCGCACCGGTCTGCACCGTTACCTGCATCCCACCGACGATGAGCTGCGCTCCAAAGGGGGCGTGCCGAAGGAGAAGCCGCCAAAGGGTGGCCGAAACAAGCAGGCGAACGGAAACGCCGCCAGCGCCACACAGTTTCACATACCGCGCAGCATTGAGGTGGAGCTGGAGACTTTACCCGTTCAGGAGCGGGATGTGGTGCACCTGAGGTACTTCACCGAATACCAGTGGCTGCTTGACTTTAGCGTCTACGCGGGCATTGTCTACGTGGTCTCCGAAGTGTTCCACTTCTTCTATCCGCTGCGTCAGGAGATCAACCTAAGCATGGTGTGGTGCCTGCTAGTCATTTTCTTTGCCCTGAAGCTGCTCTCATCGCTCACGGTGCTCTACTTCCAAAGCGAGGAGTCGATTGGTGAGCGGTCAATGGTGATTGTGGCCTGTTTAGTCTACCTGCTTGTCGCCATGATTGTACTGATTGTGGACGAGCGTATACTGGAGACGGGCCTGGAGGATGCTTATGCCAGCTTCAATGCCAGTGCGTCGAAATTCCTAACTGACCAAGGACTGCCATCATCGTAAGTGATTACAACTTATTCAAAGTCTGTCGAACTAATTGGGTTTTTTATTTATACAGCGGTCCCGCGTCCAAGATCGTGGTGAAGTTCTTCCTGGCCATGGGTTGCGGCCTGCTTGGATCATTGTTCACCTTTCCAGGACTACGAATGGCCAAGATGCATTGGGATTCATTGAAATACTGCCGCGGCAACCGGCTGCTGCAAGTTCTGCTGAATCTCAGCTTCGTGCTGCCGTTTATCCTAGTCATCCTCTGGATCCGTCCAATCAGTCGCGACTACCTGACCGTGCGTGTTTTCCAGGGCATGCAACAGCCGCTGTAAGCACACTTCGATATTATGTTAATTTGTAATTTACCCCTATTCCTTGCAGATTGAAGCCTCACGTGTTCGAGACCCTTCGCCTCCTGCTGGTGATCTTTGTCGTGGTGGTCCGCTTTGCCCTTATGCCTATTTATCTGCAGTCGTACCTGAACCTGGCCCATGACAAGATCCTTGACCTACGCAAAGAGGCTGGGCGCATTACTAACGTAGAGTTCAAGCAGAAGGTAAAGAAATAACATATATATCAATGACATAATAACCATCCTCTCCGGTTTTTTCCATTGCAGATCTCGTCGATCTTCTATTATCTGTGCGTTGTGACCCTGCAATTTGCTGCCCCGCTTATATTGTGTTTGTACCTCACGTTGATGTACAAGAGTCTGGGTGGCTTCAGTTGGGCAGGCATATTCAGGGAAAACGTCGTTCTGCAGCACGAATGTGCGGCAGTTGACGAGAATCCGATTACTAACAGTGGAGAAGCTTTAACGACCAATGGTCAGGGGGATTTTAATATTATTGAGTCTGCCCAATCGCTACAAGCCTCGTTTAGCAGCCTTAAAAACGTAAGACCCCTTTTTAATCCATCAAAGTTCAAGATCTTAATTATGGGTATTTTCAGGTATTCTCGACGGAGGTGTACAAGGGCTTTCTGGGATTCGCCACCTGGTGGAGTTACTTTACTCTGTTCGCCACTTCCTCGCTGGGAATTGTCTACCAGTCCTATTTTAACAAAACCTAAGATTTATTGAACAAACCAAAAATGCAGTCTTACATTTTTAATTACCTACATTTGATATTGTTTACACTAGGTTAGTCAATGTCTTGGAGAACACCTTGGTTTTAATGTATTGTAAATAATACTACTTTACTGACTGTTTATAAAGTGTGTGTAATAAAGACAAAAGAGTGTCATAGAAATGACCAAGTTGGTAATATAAACCGATCCAGCTTCTGTGTATAAATGTTAAATAAGTAAGGAGTTTGGAAGGCTTGAAATTGAATGCATATTTGCAAATAGCCTTAATTTGTCGTTTTTTTTTCGTTACTTTTTAAACGTTCGCTCTAGCGGAACCGGAACTGCATTTTAAACATCGGTGTATCGATGAGCCTATGGTATATTCATGTCGTAGGGCTACGGTCACACTTCTTATCAAACTCATGTTTTGTTTACCTATTTTACCTGGTTTTTTTAAGAAATGTTAAGAGTGAATCAAGTTAAAAACAACCTGTTGGACGGCGCCTCCATAGCAGAGGAACTGTACACAACGCCACAAGATGGCGAGAATTTCTTTGAGAGTCTGGACAAACCGGAGAAAGAGCCCACGAAGCTGGCCCCGCGAAACACATGTTAGTTATCCTCCGTCCGCCCCCCAGAAATTTAATTCAAATCCTTTTATCTTTCAGTCATTCGCGCCGGCGTTCTGACGACGGTGAGAGGCTCCGCGTACATGGAATATGGGAATACAAAAGTCCTGGCCATTGTGTCGCCACCAAAAGAGCTAATCCGCGCCAGTGCTCGACGGATGAACATGGGCGTACTCAGCTGCTATGTGAACTTTGCGGCTTTTGCCACCGGCGAGCTGGAATCCGTGCCGGAAAGGGAACGCCACCTAAGCAGCATGTTGACCAAGGCCATGGAGCCGGTTGTCTGCCGGACGGAGTTCCTCAACTTTCAGCTAGACATCCGAGTGCTCATCCTTGACGATGACGGCTGTCTGCTGAGCACGGCCATTAATTGCTGTGGAGTGGCCTTGGTCGAGTGTGGTATTTCCACGTACGACTTGATTACGGCGTCCTCGGCGTGTATCTATCGGGATCACGTCTTTCTTAATCCCAGCGCCAAAATGGAGGAGCTTCTGTGGAAACACCGTACTGGCACTGGCACTGGCACCGGCTCTGACAGCAGTGATAACACCAGCAACAAGTCTGTCCACGAGCACGGTCTGATCATCACTGCCAGCTTGGACACCTTCGAACAGATCGCCCAGTGTCAGCAATGCGGCTATCTCAGCCCGGAGACATACATGAAGCTGCTGGACTACACACTGGCCATGAACAAGTCGCTGCGCCAGCTGGTTAAGGAGGTCCTGACCGCGCGGGTGAAGGAGCAGCATGAACTAGATCTGCGTGAGAAGGCGGAGAGTGCTCTGGAGGATAAGAGGTTGGCCGAAGTCATTGAGCGGCTCAAGATGGGGGGCCTGGACGATTTTATACACTCCAATATCAAGGAGGATCCCTACGTTAAAAGACAGTAGGGTACTGCAAATAAATTAATGAAAGTAAGCTAGATGCATTTGGTTTCAAATTGATAGATAAACATACTTAATGCAATTAAAGTCTACAAATTTGGCTCTGAAAACACTGTTTATTTTATGTATTTTTGCACTTCCAAAGGTTTTTCGAAAGACTCCGAAAGAGGTAACACATCCAATGTGTCTGCTGCGCGTTTTCCAAAACATTTGTTCAATTCAGACTTGTTTCCTTTCGAAAAATGTAATTTTAGTACGCTTCCGTCGTTGTTGAACTTAAATTGCTAAAATGCTTCTACTGCTGATCCGAGGAGGCCTCCAGCACAGCCCCGGAGTAGGCCAGATCCCAGTAGTGCTCCACTTGGTGCTTCTGAAAGAATTCGCGAGCCATTTTCTCCATGGGGAATATCTTGAATTTGATCTCGCCAAAGTGGCGTCGTTGGCTGGTGCCCTCCCAAACTAGCACACACGAATTGGGCACATCCTGGCCGTCATTGCCCTTGGCCAGGTCCTCCTCCCACTTAATGCGATGCAGCATAAGGCGTCTGTACTTCTTCTGTTGCTTGGGACCACCCTCCACGACGACGACGCAGCAATCACGGAACAGGACCACACTGCCGGTCATTTGCAGCTGCTTGGCATTCGTCTCCACCTTGAACTTCTTGCTCTGGTTGTCCTGCAAATCACGGATGCGATAGACGCTTACATGCACCCCACAGCTGGTGTCCTCTCTCAGCTTGCGCTGCTTCTTCTCGCTCTTCTGCTCGCTGGTTAACTTGCGAGCATTGTTTGCATCCTCGTGCGCCTTTTGCCGCTTGGCCATCTGCTCTCGTACATGCTGCTCCATCTTTGTGGGGTCCTGTACTGCCTCCGAGCCAAGAACACGCATCAGGTTTGAGATGCGCAGCTTGGGCTCAGGTGGTGCCACCAGTCCTAGGCGTATCTTCTCCTGCTCCTCCTTCCAGGCCTCACGACGATTCTGACGGCGCAGCTTCTTGCGCTCCTTTTTGGTAAGAAACACCGGCAAGTAAACCGGCTTCAGCGGCTCATCTAGGAGGTAACAGAGTATTTAATTTCGATCACAAAGTATGAAAACAAAGTACGTACTTGGCGGTTTCATTTGTGTAGGATGCTCAATGAGATTGGTGATGGCCGCCTGGCGTATGCTTATCTTACCGCTCGCCTCGTCCACAGTCTCCATGTCCTGGGTAAGTATGACCGAGTCCCACCACTCCATGGCCGGCACATCGTCCGGCATGTCCTGCTTTGGTGCGATCAGTGCTAGCTTGGTAGCCGACGAAATGCCCGTCTTCCTAGCAATCTGTGATATCTCATTTTGCAGCCGCTCCAACTGACTCTTCATGCGCATCCGTTCGGCCAGTTGCTGGAACTTGCCGGGCTCGTGGAAGCGCAGCGTACGTTTATTTCGCACTGTAGGTTTCTGTGCAATCCGGTCATCAAAGTACTTGATCGCCTCGTCCTGTGCCGAGCTGGCCGGGTCGCTGCGCTCACCAACACCTCCCGTTTGACGCTGGAACACCTCCCGCTTCTTGGCCCGGATATTAGCCTTTAGCGTGGGCGTCACCGTAGGTATGTTGATAGTCCGGCCGCTTTTATCCACGGTACGTCCCTCCTCATCCAAGATCAGGGGTTTCGGACGTTCCTGTGCCTGGGCGGCCGCTGCAGCAGCCGCTGCTACTGCCGTGGGTTGGATCAGACTGGCCAAGTTGCCGGTTAGTTTCGCCCTTATCTGCGCCTGCAGCTCGGCTATCTTCCTGGCCTTCTCCGCATCCTCGGGTGTTGGTTTCTTGGCGAGCGCCTGAGCGGCCAGGGCTACGGGCATGCCGATTTGTGGCACGGACGCCAGTAGGGGATCCTTGTCGCGTAGATTGCTTAGTGCCCTCTTGCGCTCCTCGATCTCGCGCTGGGCATGGGCCATCATCAGCTTAATCTGTTGGGAGCTCAGCGAGGCCGTCGATGACGCGTCTTCATGCTTTTCGCTCCCATTTGAGTCCTTGACGTCGAAGCGGGATTTCTTTGGCGCTTCGACAACGCCACCGCCACCGCCGCCTCCGGAATCGGAGGCGGCAGCGCGCTTTCTGGGCAATTTCTGGTCGTTGCCGTCGCCATCCTTCCGCGTTATAATGGACGACATAATTCGCAATTAAATGGGTCTGACTAAAAAGTAAAGGTTATTTACCAACAACTTTGCACATTCCTCGAGCGGTTTTGCAGCAGTTTGTCAGAAAACAACACACAACGTTTTTCAGTGAAAAATTCTCCGAGTCACAGGGTTGTTCAACAAAATACACAGGGTCGTTTCTGTCTAGTCCTAAACTGTCAGAGTGACCAGTTCTCGAGAGTAAGGTTCAGTGCTGCCTGTATTTTAGCGGGAAATGTGTTTAAATTTTCCGCAGAGAAAATCAGATAAATACAAGAAGGGAAGCTATCTTCAGCATCCCAAAGTTTGTTTACCCGTGCAAATTGCAATTGAATTAATAATAAATTAAACAATATAGATTATACATATTTGTGTTAATAAACACCGAAGTGATGCTTACATTCATTTCACTCACCTATACTTATTATATATTATTTTACATTCACAGTTTGGCATTTTCTTTTACAATTAACGACAGTTTCTACGGCAGTTTTATGATATATATACATATATATAGTCTCCCGATTTTCATAAAATTAAAACAACAAATAAATCTGAAATTTTACAAAATGGCTATCTGTTAGATTAGTGAAAATATTTTCAAAACTAAAAAGTCTATAATTTTTTTTTCAACAAATTTTCTGATGGTTTCTATGATATAGCTATATGATATAGTCGTCCGATTTCCATAAAATTATGTTAGAAATTCTTAAATCGTAAAAAAGGCTACATCTCTGAGAAGGTGAAAATATTTGGAAGAAGTTGTAATATCTTGTTGTAATATTTTCTAGATCGGTCCTATGACAACTATATGATATAGTATTCCAATTTTCATAAAATTAAAGCAGATATTCTAAAATATGGTGCCTTTAAAGAATATATATATTTACATGGCCGGATATGACTTTTTCACTGAACTTCTAAAAAAATTTTGTGTGCCCCGCAAGGGTATAAATATAAGTATGTATATAACTAATTTAACCATATTAATAATATTAATACAATGTTTTACTTGCACATTAGTTTAAATGAAGTAATAGTTTAATACTCATTACTAAATTACGTTTACATTTCCCGCTAGAATTCGGACAGCACTGTTCTATCGTCATGCAACCCTGCTTCTCTCATTTTTTTTGTGTCGCTCTCCGCTCCGCCATATTTGTTGAAGCCGCTTACAACTTGTCTATTTTTTTCTCGTCGTGTCTGTGTGTGCTTAATTATTTGTTGTGGAAATAAGCGATATTCGTGTGCATAAATAGCGTAGAAGTTGCGTTCGACGGCAAGCATGGCATCGGAGGAAGACAATGACGATAACTTTCAGGGTGAGTACATTGTTTTAGTCTGCCAAAAGTCGGCGTGAAAAACTTCGGTTGCTCCGGAGAAGGCAAAGAACCGTGGTCATGTTCAAGAGCCGCGATGCCGCGTGTGCCGCCCTTCCCCTTGCCCGCCCTTGCTGTTTATTATTGCCGAAATCACCAATTGGAAATAAAGAGTGAACCGTTCTCTCATAATAAGTATACATTAAGGATATTTGTGAAATTTTTACATGTGTGGCGCGTTTTTTCTGGGCTTTTTCGCCTCCTCCATTCCACACACTTTTATTATTGCATTTTTGTATTCCCCCAATTCGCGAATGCAAGCATATATCTGTCCTGCTCGCACATCAAAACATATGTTTTAAATGGTTGTTTTGATTTTAATGTATAGAGTGGGAGGCAGTAAATACGCATATATTACTATTTTATTTCCATTAATTAGTTCTAAGTTATTTAGGTATATTTATTAATCCGGTTAAGTTTGGGCGTAGAAACTAAGAAAATACCATTGTTTTCCCGCTCTCGGTGTGGCAGTACTCGCAGTAAGACCGTGTCTGCCCCGTGCGAAAACGCCGCGAATAGTGTGACCGCACTGCGGCGGATCGGAAATCCAGAGTCGGCCATGCCTGCCACCATTTACATTCATTGTTGCTTGGACGTGGCAGCCATGACGTGATTTCTGAGTTTTTGTTAAACAGATTACACTATTAATCGTAGCGAAAACTGTAATTTTAGGGGAATACGTGCATTACTCGTCACCGCCTATCGATTTGCCAGTGTGAAGTTAGAAATCCAGTGCGTAATACAACCAACAACCAAAAAGAAGTGTGCAAAAAAAAAAAAACTTGATATTACCACAAAATATTGTGTAAGAAAGCATTGCGAAAAGAAAGAATCAAGAATAAGAATTGTGCATATGTACGAAACGAAACAAAGATGCGTGAAAATCTTATGGAAAATCTTGTCGCACTTGCACTGACGTACATACATATGTGATTTTTTTTTCCACTCCCCCTTTACCGTCGTGTTCGTACTCTTGATTGATTTCTCCACTCTCTCGTGTGGATGCGTCTGTATGTGTACGTGTTATGCACGCGCGCTCCAGCAAACGTCGCCGTCGTCGTCTGTCGCCCGTCGCCGTCTCTGTCGCTCCAACTGCGAAAACGAAACCGAGTAGGAAAAATAATGAAGAAAAAACCCCGACGCGGCGCGCTTTAATTAAATTTAGTAACAAATAGAAACAACCAATTTACAATAATTTCAATAAGTGCCAACAACAAAAAGCTGAAATGAAACGTATATGTCGCCTTTTTAAGCCACTTAACCAAAATATGCCAACACACAAGTAAGAAGAAGCAGAAGCAGCAGACGAAGAGTACTGCTGTGTGGGAAAGAGAGGGAAAGCGGTATGGGATGGAATGGAAGGGAGCCTGTCGAGGAAATTGCTGGAATGTAGTAGTAGAAAACCGATAAACAATATGCCGCTGCCGCCGCCGTGTAACAAACAGCATTATCAACCCCAATTTCGCATACAATTTATGTTAATTCGTTCGCAGCTGTTCCTTTTCTGTCTGCTTGCTCCGCTCTTCTCGTCTGTCCCTGCCCCCATTTTTCGCCTCTCATTTTCCGCTGTTCGACGCTGTTGCACTGTGGGCGTGCGTCCGTGAATATGTATGTATGTATATGAGGTGTGTGCGTGTTTGGGGAAGTTATCCTAGAGAATGAGCGTGGGAGTGTCTAATTTTAACACTCGTCTCCCCCTATTCGTGTTCTAATTGGATTTGTGGTCCGCTGTTGTTATCCTTAGATCCTCTCTCTATATACAGACAAATATAAATATACTCTTCTCTCTATTGTGACGTCTGCCTACAAGTTCTTGGCAATTTCTCTTTGATTTCACCATTTGCCGGTTGTCGGTTGTGGTTGGTTCTGCGATCAATTTTCAATGATTTACATGTGTTAACCAGATGATGAAAGTGTTTATTTTGGCTCCTCACGGAAATAAAAGCAAACAACAAAACGGCAATATATTTTTTCATAATATGTTGTCACGTTCAAGTAAACAATCGAGTAATGAATGCGACATTGCATAAAAGGCTAAAAGGAGAGAGAGATAGACAGCGAGAAGGGTGTTTGAGTGTCACTATTTATGCACAAGTTCAATTAAAGGAAGGAAGAGGAAGAAGCGAGTGACGTATTTTGCTGACGCACTATTCGTTCTGGTCGATTTCCCTTTTAACTTCAGAAGTCCCTATTCAAATTCCATAGATCTGCCTAGAAACGATAGCTAGCTATTCAAAAAATAAAATAAAACTCAATACAAGAAGTGAAAGTATATTGAGTGAGTGTATGTGAGCTGAATTTGCTTGTGTATTGGTGGCGATCTTACCTTGCTTTGGCAAACTACAACTTGCCATCCCGCTCGCACGCACTGCATTCAATCATGCCAACAACAAGTGGTGCCTTTTTATATCCGCCATGTACATACATACATACATATATTAATATATATGCCTGAGTGTTTGTGTGTGCTGGCATTTTGAAAAGTTTACCCGCAGCTTAAAATTCACAAAAACTATGAAACAGAAATATAAGAAATGTAAATATTATTTTAGCTTTCAACACCATTCATTTTTTTCATTTGAAAATCGTTCTCTCTGGGTCGGTTGTGGTTTTTTGTGCACATGTATATATGTAGTTCTTTTCGTTTTTGACATTTGACGCGTATCTCTCTCTCTCGTTTTTTTTTGTGGGAGCGTGTGTCGCTCTTCCAAAGTTGTTTTTATTGCTTTCGGTTGGAGTACACCAATACTGTTGTAGCAGACACAAAATCGGCAGCATTTGACATTGATTACCGTAATACCTTCAGCTTGTGTGGTTGCCTATCTGTCAGACAGAAAGACAGTGCTTCTTAATACATATTTGTGCAACTGCTTGGTTGTCTCTTGTTATTTTACCTATTTACAGTAATTGTGTGAGAGAGAGAGAGGCGAGCGAGAGAAGGCCACGCTTCAGTTCGATGGCTGCTGTTTTCGCTACTACTGCTATTTGTTTCAGATTATTCGTACATATGTATGTACATAAACTTGCAAGCAGTGTTCGCACACACTCGCACTTAATTGATACACATGTATTTGTTTTATTTTTTTTGGAAGTTGTCCGCATACAAATATAGTAGTCTTTACGTACATCCAACGTAATGTTGTGTACAATTTAATTTATTTTTAAAGCATTCACTGTACTTGTGAACGTGAAAAATAATCGAAGCTTATCAACTGGTCGTTCAGCTGATCGATGATGCTATGCAAGTGTGGGTGTGTATAGGGTTGCTATTATTTTTCTACAAGTATCGGATGTTTTGTTTTTAAAAACAATTATTTGTAAAAGGAAATACATTTTGTTATAAGGCGGATAATAATAAGTCTCACCATATAATGTGGTCATATTGGTAGCTTTAAAAGTGGTTAACCTGATATATAGCCTTTTCGATAGGATAAATATTGACAGCCGTAAAATATCTTTAATTAGGTATAATTCCAGGTATTTATTTCTTAATCTTCTTAATTGGCATGTATTTGACAACCCTGATCGGCCAGAAACCCTTCTGCATTTCAATGCTATTTAGTACGGGAGGTGAAAGTGAAGGTCATTAATATTTGCATATGGAAATGTTTACGCAGCAAAAAATGCCAAAACATAAATGGTCATATGGCAAATGCCGTTTCATTTTGTCTCGTTTCTTTTTATTTCGTTTTCCTTTTGCCATCATCGGTGACCATTGTGGCTTAAGTCTCTCTCTCTGGTTCTCTCGACGTGAGCTTTGAATTTGTGTTTCCAGCCAACAAAGTAATGTTGTTTGTTTTAATAGCCTCAACTTAATTGGTTCAATAGTTTTGTAATTGTTATCGTGTTCCGCTTGTGGCCCAGCACAAAGTAGAGCCAAAAATGTTTGCTTCAATTGTCACCAAAAATAGGTTTATGGTGGTTACCTCCACTCTGTTTTCCTGGGTGTGTACAAGTATTAAATAAAAAACAACATCAGCACGCATATCTATTTATGTCACATCCATGCGAAAACACGCGTACAAAATGTGTGTCAGCGAATTTGTGTCATTCCCGTACCGTTTCTTCTTTTATTGGCACATATAATCGAAATTGTTGCTTCCAATCGGTTCTTTTTGCGCCTCACTGTTGTCTAATTAGCCAATTAGTTGGTCGCTAAGCCAAAGCTTTGGCTTATAAGCTCAGAAGTCTCACAATCAGTTTCAGCGCATTGCCAACTAGGTGCATAATTGTTGCCAACGACATTGCCAGCAGCGCCCCACTCTGTGCGTGTGAGTGTGTGTGCGCCTGTGTCTGTGGTTTGACACCGGAGGTCATAATGATAGCAAAAGAATTTAAGTTAAACAGAGGGTTTAAATTTATAAACTAAAATGTATTATGTTATTTAAATGATATTATTTGCAAAATTGTGCAATTGATTTATTTCATTTGTATACTTATTGGAACTATTTTCTTGACCTTATCTATATATTTTGATTGTTGTAATCCGTCGTTAACTTTGGCATAGTTTCGTAGCTGAGAAACTAGAAAATGAAACAACAACAACAAAAAACCCAACATTAAAATTACCAACACACAAGAGACAACAATAAATACAACAACACCAATAGCAGCAACAACAACAACCACTACAAAAATGTAGTTGACAGCCAGCCGTCGTTTTTGTTGTTATTGCCGCGTTGCCACCCCGACTTGTTACATATTGCCACTGCTCTCTGTAGCTGTAATTGTAGCTTAGCTACTGCTCTCGCTTTTGCGACTACGACGGTAGTTACATATATGCATGTGCATGTAGTTGTTGCTTGCGGTGGCTTTAGTCATACTCACGCCGCTCGCCTATAATGTTTATATAATTTTTCGTATCTTTTATTTTTCACATGCATACCGCGCGAGGTTTTTTATGGCTCATTTGTGGGTTGGGTTTTAGGTTTTGTGCACTCAACTCGGCTCAACTCGACAAAAAGCGCAGCTCGAGTGCTGATTTCTGTTGATTTAACCCAACTCTCTGTGGGTTTTTTATTTCGTTGGTTAAGAATAATGTACTTGATAAGAAAACCACAACACATAAAATCGGGGCTTAAGTGATTGTTTGAAGTGACGTTTTGTATAGCTAGGTTTCAGTAACTTCTTAGGCTATAATATTATATATTTGGAATAATATTTATAGTTTGGATCATCATCAACTTGGACTTTCATTCATTATTTTTAATATTTTATAGATTTGATAATTAATTCTACAAATGTTAGTAGCATTGAAGTGGCTGCAATAAAGTTGTATACTACATTTGCTTATTTTTCACTGGTTTTGTAAAGGTCGTATTAGTAATGCCCCAATTAGACTGGTGATTCTTAGGAACCAATGCCTCTTGTCCAGATTTAATATTTTTTGTGCTAAATAAAATGGCAACATACACCGGAAACTCCGGCAAATAGACATGGCAAGGTGATGGTCATTGCTGACGCTTCCAAAGCTTTCGTTGTTGTTGTTGTTGTTGTTATTGTATACATGTGTATGTATGTATGCCACACACAATAGACTGACATAGAGAAGTGGAGAATTCTGCGGAAGTTCAATTAACAACCTACTAAGTGGTTAGAGAGAGAGAGAGAGGAAAAGGTGAAGGGGGAGATGAGATATTGTAGCTAGTGAAAGGAAGCAAAAAGCTCTGAATTGGCAGTTACTTTTAGGCTAGTAAATATTTTAAAAATAAGAAAATTAAACAAAAGTCACT